TTAGTCAATGGCGTGGCGCTGTCGTTCCATACTGACATGCAGCAAGCACTTGAGCGTGCTAAAGAGTGTCTGCGCGTTGCTCGTGAACGTATGAAACGTTTCGCGGATAAGAATCGTTCTGAGAGAACTTTTCAATTGGGAGACCGTGTCTTACTAAGTACTAAGCATATGCGCTTAGACGGTCCTCGTAAACTCCTTCCTCGTTACATCGGTCCTTTTGCTGTAACACAAATTATTAATCCTGTAGCTTATCGTTTAGATCTGCCTACTAACGTGCGTGCACATAATGTGTTTCACGTTTCTCTTCTCAAGCTCTACCGTGATGGTGGACGCGTTCCTTTACCTCCCGTTCCTGATATTGTGGATGGTAATCTCGAATTCGAAGTCAAAAAAATCCTGGACCATCGTATTGTGAAAAGCAAGGGTAAATCTGCTAAGCGTGGCGCTAAGCGATTCTTCCTGCTTCGTTGGAAAGGCCAGGGTCCTGAGTATGACTCTTGGGAGCCTGAGTCTAATCTTACTAACTGCGCTGATCTCCTGCATGATTACTGGGCATCCTCTCCTGCGACAAATCCTATTCCTGGCCCTTCGTCCCAAAACACTCCAGATAGTGTTCTTCCTGAGTCTCCTCCCGTTGAGACTACTCCTGTCGTGCCTCCAATTCCTACTCCTGCGCAAACTCCTATTCCTGAGGTGCGTACTACTCGTTCTGGCCGCGTGATTCGACCACCTGCCCGGACACTCCTTCTTCTCGCTCTTCTTCGCAGCAATCCCGTCAGTGAGGCGCTTACTGCTTTGCTCTTACACGGTTATCCGTGGCGGCGGAATTGAAGCGGGTCTGTCGAGGATGAACAGACTTTAAGAGGGGGAGAATGTTATGAGCATTCCGTTAAATACGGTAATGACTAACATATTCTTATTACTATTACTTGTAACGCATAGGCGGAACAACTCCTGCCGTACTATCGTACATCGTACTCCCACAAGAGTATATCCTTACTTTGGTTAGTTCCGTCTAGGCGGACATTTGGTTATCAAGAACCAACTAGCCACTAAATTCGTATAATCGTTTCCGCTTCCATTTATTCGTATCTCGTCCTTACTTATTCTCTACATTGGTATCCTGAGACCTTTTGGTCCGGGGCATGAACCGTGCTTATCATCTTCGAGCAAATTGGCATCGACAACTTCGTCGTGAATTTTTGGCCTGTACGCTTGCTGACTTTTCTGCGGTTACTGGCGTTACTGGGTCAGCTACTACTACTACCACTACTTCCGAGTTCAATACTCCTCAATCTCCTTCATCGGCTTCTTCTTCTCCTTCTTCCTCTTCTTCTTCTTCATCGTCAGTTGCAATGAGCACTGCCGGTGGTGATTTGGGTCCGATGGCGGCGGCTGGTCAACAGCCCCCGGCCAACGTCGTCGACTTGCCCATGGTCGACCAAGCTAGTGATGCTTCTTCTCCTCGTCTTCCGGTGCTTAAGGAGCCACCACCTGTCGGAGTTTTCGACGTTACTGCGGAGGCGGCGTCCAAGGCGCAGATGGCGTTAGGGGCCTATATCAACTTTGTCGTCATGCTGTTCCGGTCTGCATTCTTAATGTGTGGCTGGAAAGTCTCTGATCCTCATTCGCTTGCTTGGATCAACTTTCATTTGGGCCCTCCTCAGCTCCTTGGCCACCTCCACTCCTGTGTTGCTGCTCTGACTCCTCCGGTCATTCCTTCTTTGGAGTGGCTTGAGAGCTGGCTCGTCGCTAACGTGTCTTCAACCACTGACAATCCTGACTACGTGGCGGCTGGGAACATTCTGGCGATGACTTCCAAGCATTTTCCGGGGCTCAACGACTTACTTAATTTCGTCCTTGAGCAACGTCGCGTTCTAACTACTCATATTTCCGATCACATGTGGATCCTTTTCATCTTCCACATGCTTCCAGACCGTCTACGTTCCATCCTTCAACTGCGGACTGACGGTAACAAGCTCGTCGAGTGGAGTAATCTTGATGAGTTTATGACGACTTGCCGTTGCAACGCGAAGCTTTACCGTCCTCTCGTTTCTGCAGCTAACGCGGGCGCTTCTGGGTCTACTCCTAATGCGCGTACTACTCCTCGTTCCTTCCGTTCGCCGAAGTCGCCGGCTATGCCTACGAAATCTTCGGCGCCTCGCAAGACTCCCATTCCTCCTCCTGCGATTTCTCGTCTTCCTGACAACGTACCTAACAATCGTCGTTTCGTGGATTACGAGCCCGGTCGCAAGCTCTATATCAAGGGCTTGACTGCGGCGTCTTCTCGTCAGTTGAAGGCGCAAAAGAAGTGTTTGCTTTGCAAGAGTAAGCAGCACATGGTGCCTACGTGTGAACTCCGCGCAAGTAAGTTCGCGTCTGGAGATTTCTTTTATTATGAGGATGCGTAGGAATTGTCGTCTTGCCTAGGTTTGGACATGCCTGTGTGTGACTCGTTAGTTGCACTTATGCAAGACTCTCCTCACAGCATTGAGCATACTGTACGTGATCGCGTTTCTGATCGGGTTGATGGCGTTCCTGTGCTGTCTCCTGGCGTTCCTGCGGATGTATGTGTGCCGATGACTGCTACTACTGCTCCTGATGTTGGCTTTCCTGTCCCTACTTCGGACGTTCCTGGGCCTTCGGATGGACTTACTATTGACGTGCCGTCTTCGTGCGATGTGTTTCGCTCTGCTGAAGATGATTTACTTAATTCGCGTGCGAATTGTCCTGGTGCGTCTAAGACTGAAGTGTATAAGACGATGAAACGCGCTTGTCCTATTGACTTCGGATTTCCTGACGCTGCAAAGCGCGCGTCTCCGTTCCTTCGAACGAGTTGTAATCCTAAGACAAATTCGAGCGTCCCGTTAGTCGACTCTTCTCCTCGGGATAATCGTACTATCCTTCGGTCTGAATTTGAGCGTTTGCAGCAATTGACCGGCAAGCATTTTACTCTCGATGCTTGTGCCGACAATTCTGGCAGCAATGCGCTATGTCCCAAATTCAACTCTCCTAAACGAAATTTCCTCTCCGACAGCTGTGCTGGACAACATGTTTGGATGCACGCGCCATTTAATCAGCTTGAAGATTTTCTGCGTCATTACTTGCAGTGCAAAGCTAAAGCGCCGCACCTTACCTCAGGTGGTTTCCTAGTCCCTAAGTGGTTGTCTGCTCGCTGGCGTCCTTTGCTTTCAGGTATGAAACTGTTGCATACGTACCAACCGGGTTATCATTTGTTTCTCTCGCCTACCGTTTTGTCGGGAAAGCCTGTTCGAACTCAAGGGTTGCCTTGGCCTGTTGAGTTTTGGTACGATCCTCCTGCATCTGTTTCTCCTACCTGTGCTGTCCTTCCTGTTCCTGCGGAGCCTGTTCCCTTCTCGGTTTCTAAAGGTCTTATCATGCAGTTTCAAGGTTTGGTCTGCCACTCCGATGCCACCATCGTCATCGATACGGGTTGCATGCCGGCGCACATCCTCAACGCTGGTTTTGCCCGTCGTGTCGGTTTATCGGTACGTCCTGCAGATGCCTTGCCTGTTGCCATTTCTATGGGTGATGGTCGACCTGCTCCTGTGACTGGGATGGCTACCGTGCCCGTTCGCCTGCAAGGTTATAAAGCTCTTTTGCAGTGCGCGGTTGTCGATCTTACTCCTGGCATTGATTTAATTTTAGGTGAGCCTTGGATCGTTTCTACCGGTGCCGTGATAGAGTTGCATAACTCTCGCACTAGGTTGACTTCGCATCCTGGCACGCCCGTCCTAACTTGTCCTGCTTTTTCTTCCAAGTCTCCTGATATTTCGCAGTGTAATCTCATGCAGTCAGTGCGCGATGGCGATGAATTCTTCCTGTGCATGGTTACCGCTGTCGATCCTCCTGCGGAACCGCCACCTCCACCGTCTGATACGCCACCTCCTTCTTCGCCTTTTGACGCATTTCGTCGTCAGGTTTGGGACTCTGTTCCGGGTGAATCTGCTGCTGAATTGCGCTTGCGTGCGGTCCTCTTGGAGAAAGCTCATTTATTTCCTGAGCAATTACCGTCTAGTGTTGCGACTGTAGACCGTCGTCTTCCTGAAATTATTCCACTAGAACCTGGTGCTCGTCCTCCTGCGCAACGTATGTTCCGATACTCGGCTGCCGAGCATGAAGAGATGCGTCGCCAAATTACTGAGCTACTTGAGAAGGATTTCATTGAGCCTTCGTCTTCGCCTTTTGGTGCGCCTGTTCTTTTCGTTAAGAAAAAGGATGGTAGCATTCGATTGTGCATTGATTACCGAAGTCTTAATCGCATTACTGTGAAAAATCGGTATCCTCTTCCGCGTATTGATGACATCCTTGACCGTCTTTCGGGTGCAACTGTTTTTAGTTCTTTCGACATGACGCAGGCTTATCACCAGATTGCCTTGCGCCCCGAAGAACGTGAACGTTCTGCTTTCCGTACTCCTTTTGGTCATTATCAGTACAAGGTTATGCCTTTTGGCTTGACTAACGCTCCTGCGGTTTTTCAGACTGCCATGAATCAAATGTTTGCAGACTTGCCGTTCGTCGTGGTTTACTTGGACGATATCCTCGTGTTTTCTCGTACTCCGGACGAACACGTGGAGCATTGCGCTGCCGTGTTAGCCCGCTTGGAGAAGCATCGTTACTACTGTAAGCTTAAAAAGTGTGAGTTTTTCAAATCGTCTGTTTCTTTCCTTGGTCATATCGTTTCTGCGGATGGTGTCAAACCTGATCCCGCGAAAATTTCTGTTGTTCGAAATTGGCCTCGTCCTACTAATGTTTCTGAGCTGCGATCCTTCCTTGGCCTTGCCAACTATTTTCGCAAGTTCATCCAAGCATATAGCGCGATGGTAGCTCCTCTCACTGCTTTACTGTCCACTAAGGCTTCTTGGCCTCGTGACTGGACGTCCTCTTGTGATGAAGCTTTCCAACGTGTTAAAGATGCTCTTACTTCACCTCCTACTTTGATTGTGCCCAATCCTAAAGAGCCTTTTGAGGTTATTGCTGACGCCTCTAACATTGCTCTTGGTGCAATTCTTCTTCAGCATGGTCGTCCTGTCGCTTTCGAAAGTCGTAAATTTATTCCGGCTGAGCGTAATTACCAGACTACTGAACGTGAACTCTTATCTGTTGTACATGCGCTGAAAACTTGGCGTTGTTACCTCGATGGAGTCAAGTTCACCGTCTATACTGACCATCAACCTAATACTTTTCTTCGTACCCAGCCCATTCTGTCAAGACGTCTGGCGAGGTGGTCGGAGTTTCTTGAATCGTTTGATTTCGAATGGCGGTATCGCGCGGGACGTGGCAATCCTGCCGACCCGTTGTCTCGGTTTCCGGGGCACGTCGAAACACAGACGCCGATAGTTATGACGATTCGCGCCACTCAGGCTTTGGGGCATTTGGCTTCGCTGCCTGGCGCCTCCTCAGAGTTTTCCAGCTCTCTTCCAACGTTTGAAGCAGATGTGCGTGCCGGATACGCTACTGATCCTTGGTTTGCTAACCATACCAATCTCGCTACTCTTACTCAGCGTGATGGATTCTGGTTTCGTGAGCATGCCTTGGTCATTCCTGACGCAAAAGACCTCCGTCTTTCTATCCTTCGTCTTTGCCATGATCATCCTATGGCTGGTCATTTCGGTGTTACTAAAACGTTAGACTTAGTCCGACGCCATTACTGGTGGCCTGGTCTTCGTTCTTTCGTTCATTCCTACTGTACTTCCTGTGATAGCTGTCAGCGTGTTAAACCCGAACATACTAAACCCGCTGGTTTGCTTAAACCTCTTGGTATTCCTCTTCAGAAGTGGTCTGAAGTTACCATGGACTTCATTACTGATCTTCCTCCTGACGCTCATGGTAATGATGCCATTTTCGTCGTCGTTGACCGACTCACCAAAATGGTTCATTTTGCTCCTTGCCGTACAACCCTTACTGCTCTTCAAGCAGTTGAGTTGTTTATTGACGCCGTCATTTCTCGGTATGGTCTTCCTCGAGTGATTGTCTGCGATCGTGACCCGCGGTTCACTGCTGCGTGTTTCAAAGATCTTATTCAGACTCGCTTTGGTTCCTCACTTCGGTTTAGCTCTTCTCATCATCCTCAAACTGATGGACAGACCGAACGTGCCAACCGTGATTTAGAGGATATGTTGCGGCACTACGTGGCTGGTGATCTTACTAGCTGGTCTCGTTTCCTTCCTCTGGTTGAGTTTGCTGTCAATAATTCCTATCATGAAGCCATTAAGAATACACCTTTCTTCCTTAATTACGGCTTCGAACCTCTCACTCCTGCTAGCCAATTGGTTCGCCATTTGGGGGGGGAGAACGCTGTCCTACGTCGCACACAATTTGCGAAAGCTGAAGCTCGTCGCAAGAAAGTGGTGGACGCAGAGCCTTCGTTAGTCAATGGCGTGGCGCTGTCGTTCCATACTGACATGCAGCAAGCATTTGAGCGTGCTAAAGAGTGTCTGCGCGTTGCTCGTGAACGTATGAAACGTTTCGCGGATAAGAATCGTTCTGAGAGAACTTTTCAATTGGGAGACCGTGTCTTACTAAGTACTAAGCATATGCGCTTAGACGGTCCTCGTAAACTCCTTCCTCGTTACATCGGTCCTTTTGCTGTAACACAAATTATTAATCCTGTAGCTTATCGTTTAGATCTGCCTACTAACGTGCGTGCACATAATGTGTTTCACGTTTCTCTTCTTAAGCTCTACCGTGATGGTGGACGCGTTCCTTTACCTCCCGTTCCTGATATTGTGGATGGTAATCTCGAATTCGAAGTCGAAAAAATCCTGGACCATCGTATTGTGAAAAGCAAGGGTAAATCTGCTAAGCGTGGCGCTAAGCGATTCTTCCTGCTTCGTTGGAAAGGCCAGGGTCCTGAGTATGACTCTTGGGAGCCTGAGTCTAATCTTACTAACTGCGCTGATCTCCTGCGTGATTACTGGGCATCCTCTCCTGCGACAAATCCTATTCCTGGCCCTTCGTCCCAAAACACTCCAGATAGTGTTCTTCCTGAGTCTCCTCCCGTTGAGACTACTCCTGTCGTGCCTCCAATTCCTACTCCTGCGCAAACTCCTATTCCTGAGGTGCGTACTACTCGTTCTGGCCGCGTGATTCGACCACCTGCCCGGACACTCCTTCTTCTCGCTCTTCTTCGCAGCAATCCCGTCAGTGAGGCGCTTACTGCTTTGCTCTTACACGGTTATCCGTGGCGGCGGAATTGAAGCGGGTCTGTCGAGGACGAACAGACTTTAAGAGGGGGAGAATGTTATGAGCATTCCGTTAAATACGGTAATGACTAACATATTCTTATTACTATTACTTGTAACGCATAGACGGAACAACTCCTGCCGTACTATCGTACATCGTACTCCCACAAGAGTATATCTTTACTTTGGTTAGTTCCGTCAGGCGGACATTTGGTTGTCAAGAACCAACTAGCCACTAAACTCGTATAATCGTTTCCGCTTCCCTTTATTCGTATCTCGTCCTTACTCTACTCATTACAGGCACCAACAGCCTATCCAAGAGTCTGTAGTACGTCATGATTTATTAACCCAAGGTCATTCCTACTACAAGTAGGTCGGTGTTTCTCCTCCTGCCTGCTCACCAGCTTCCCTACCGTGATTCCGATTGACACAGCATGTCCTTGCTTTGCCACTGGGCGTATCCATGTTAAATCTGCCACTGTCCCCAAAGCAACACCCCCACCGATCATGCGGGCTGCCCTACAGTGAACAGAGCGCCTATACCTTTGGGACCGCATCCCCAAGGGCTCCTTCTCGTTTGTCAACCGTAGCAAGTTTCTGTTGTAAGAAATTGTTGATTGTCGGAATTACGAGATGCGCGCTGGCGAAGAAGGTGGTTGGTTGGCTCCAGGGAGGCTTCATGTCTCGGCAGGTTTGCTTTACAATAACTTAATTGATGCTTGCGTAAAGAACTGTCATCACCTATTGTGGGAACTGTCCAGAATATTGAAGGTTACTCTGTGAAATGATTCCGCGTCCGGTGTCGTTATCGATATCACGAGGAGCGAGCTGCAGTGGCGCAGCATATGGCTTACAGGCCCGCTGCAGTTCCCGGTTTCCTCTTCGATGCCGGAGAATACGCCGAGCTCATGACGTTAATGTATGCGCATCATCTCAATCGTCTGAGTCATCTGAGTCCGCTGGAGGGAAACAGATCCGACGTGTTGGATTCTCCAGCTTGACAACCTGGAAGGACTTCTGTGAGAAGATGGGCGTTTCCGAAAATTTTCCAGCTGGTGAAAGAGAAATGGACAGCACTATTTCTCCCCGGACTTCACAAGAGCTTGATGTTGCTGTTTTAACGTTCCTTGTGGAGTTCCTCAGCAAGCCAATTGTTATGTTTGATGAAGTCGTTCTGCATCCAACCGGTCGGGAGAGGCCCCTTTACCTCCTCATCTATTCTGTCCTGTCCCAACTTGCACTTCTAAATTTTGGCCAACGATCTCTGGTTATCTCCCAAGGTGTGGACCTGTTGATCGTCGCCTTGAATGCGCACTCCTGTGCTTTCAACATAGCTCAACCCATCCTCAGGTCCTGATGATCCATCGGTCCACATGGACCAGGAAGCCCCAGAAGATGAGCAGCAGCAAGAGTCCAGAAATGTGGAGCATGGTGAGTGGCGCCTGCATGCATGATGAAGAATACGGGAATTATTAACAGTTTAATACTTGTGGAATTTCGTAGGCGTTTGCGGTGCAACTGGCGCGAATAGGACACCAGAGGTCACAGGAAATACAGCTCTTACTAGCAGGTCTTGATGACGAGGGGTGCCTGACGGCGTTGCATGGACTCCATCGATGCATGTGCCTCGGCATGAAGGGTGAATACAAAACGTTTCATATGCACAGACCTCTAAGTTTGCAGCATTTTAAGGGAGGTCAAAGGTGTTTCGCACGCAGCAGCTAGTGCAGCTTTGGCCTGAACACTGTATACACGAGTGGCCTACACAAAGGCATACTTTTATACAACAGATTATTAGGCGCTCACAGCTTTGCATGCGTACACATGTTAACCTATAGCCTACAGGCCTATAGACCATGCTGTATACAACAGATCGCCTATAGGTGTGATGTATACGATTGTATACGCGAAATCACCTATATGCCACATATTCCGCGGTTCTACATATTAGGCGATGGCTCGACCTATAGGTGACCTCCCATTTTACTGACGGGACACAGAAGGCTGTAGGGCTTATTTAGTATGATAATGAGCAAGTTGAACTCCTTGGAAAGAGGGGGAAAACCGAATGGTGTGCCAAAACAAGCTGATAGGGGTTAGGCATCATGGGACAGCAAATAAATTACAGTGCTCATCAGAACCAGAACGAATAGTACAAATCCATCCAACAAAAACACTATGTAGTTGGGTATATACCAGGGTTCGACACTGACCTTCCTGAAACTTGCGGGCTCCCCCATACCTCCCAAATTTTTCTTAAGGAGGGGCCTCCGTACCAGGCTCCTGTACCGGCCGAAAACCTTAGGGGGGCCCCCGTAACCCCCGCGAAACCCTTACGGGGGCACTGTCCTTGGCTGAAACGCTGTGGAAAGTAACGCTTTGCATTGTTTTGCCCTGTAAATCGTTATTTTCGTTATTTTCTCGTGAACCATTACACTCGGGGACACATTTCTCGATGTACTTCTTAGCCGCGCCCGACGGGTTGTGATTCTGGCAGACGGTGCAGCCACCAAGGATATGGCCCTTGCAGTTGCGCTTGCCAGTTGTCGTAAACCAGCCGTGCTTACTCATGTAGAGTTGGGCGGTGTCGTCGGCTACAGGGACCTTGGGCGTCGGCTGCTTCGTGGCCGATGGGGTTGCGTCTTCGGCAGACAGGTCCACTATGTCCGTAGCTTGCTGCTGCTCAGCCTCCTGAGTGCAAGGCTCCGTAGAGCCAAGCTCCTCAGGAGCATCGTTGGGGTTGCCTATAACACAAATTTTTCGGTCAACTTTCAGGCCTGCGGTTCTTGTCAATCAGCTTCGAGTCCCTACCCTACCTTCTTTGCAAGGCTTATCATCTACTTTCTTTGTGGGAACAGGTTGGCTTGCAGGCTTTCCACCTGCGTCCGAACCGAACATGAGATCGGCGAGGAGTGGCTACAACCAGCTCCGTTCCCACAATAGCTTACCAGAGCCCCATAGGTCCGACAATTTTAAGGTGGCGCGCTTCTTGGAGGGCGGTGGCTTAGGAGGCCCTTGGTCACCTCCTGACGACTCATTGTCTGCCATCGCTGGATATTACAGACCAGAAGTTATAAAAGTATTATGAAAAGTGTAGTTAAATATTGCAATATGAATTATGTCTGCCAAGTGTGTGGCCTTATCCTTTATATGTTCAGGGGACTTTACGGGCCCGTACGGCCTCTTATAAATCCTTAATATCCTTACAGGAGCCACTGTAACCGGCCTTCGGCCGGTCCGGGGGCGGCCCCGTACGGGGCGCTTCGCGCCCCAAAATCCTTACGGGAGCCACCGCAAAGTCCTATGGGGATACCGGAAAAAGGCCAAAAACTTACGGGCCCGTACAGGGTGTCGAACCCTGGTATATACCCCGATGCTTTCCCAACTTTTTCCAACACAAGACAGCAAGTTCAACCGGGCAGATTTTGGGCACCATTGTGGTTCATAACCCAGGGAGTACTTCCCTGACACTGCCCTGGATAACCTTGTATTTCACCGCAGTCCTAGCCTTCTTCTCTGGGCTCAGCAGGCACTCTACCAATAGGTATGTGTCCTCCCTTCAGCAGGGACAACATCCATTTTTCTGGCGGTAACTATACTCTGCCCTAGTGCAGCAAAACTTCGTCATCCATTCTGCTGGATTCAAATCCCAGCCACACTTTCCCAGCATTGTCATCCCCGATTCTGCAGCAGTGGCCTGGGGCTGACCCCCATCCCTAGTGCAGCTGTCAGCAATGCTACACTCATGGATTGACTCACTGGCATCAGAGAGCTGTGTTCCACTCAGCAGCAGCAGGAGTGGCAGCCCATGGTCTGACCTCTGGTGCCATGAGGTCCTTATGGGCACAGAATCCTGTACAGTGATGGAAGCATGCAAAAGCATTCAGGTTAGGATTTGAGAATGGAGTTTAGCTAGTTGACAGGCCTTGATACCAAGTGTGTGCTGCACTAGTTTTCCATATTCTTGAATAGGTTTGCTGTTATGGTCAGTAGCGCATTTCCTTGAAAACTCAGCAGCAAGGCCATGGTTAAACCAGGAAATCCGGTCAGCCTCTCTTAAGGCAGGCTACCAGTGCCTCAAAATGGCTACTGTTTTGTTCACCTGCATCTGTAATGCTGCCCTGCAGCAAGTTTTTCTAGCACCTTCAGTTTGGGGCAATATGAATTAATAGTGCCTCCTAAAGTTGCTATCATGATGTTGTCCCTTATACCAATGATGGTCATCCTGATGCTCGCTGATACTTGCTCTGCTGGCACTGGTACACCTCCTGAGCAAAGCTTAAGGCCATATTTGGGACCAGTTTTAACTAACAGTATATAATAAAAGCTGCAACTGTTCTATTACTCATGGTTAATGGAATGCGGGCCCTCCTCCACATCACCAGGCACAAGCCCAGAGCATGCTAAACCCTAAGCAGGAGGTAAAACCTTTCGTGCTCATACTCTAATCACAGGGTGTCCTGCTGTCAATCCTACACACAATTTCGGTGACAAAAGATTTATTGTTGTTAACTGAATATCAAGTTTTGATTCCTTTGTATGCACCCTCTTACCCCTGTCAGACAGGGGCTAGGAACCCCTCTGGTTGTTGGCATGTTTGAACCTGGAGTCCATACTAAGCTGCTAACAATCTTATCATACATCAACATTCTCCATGGGCTGTAATGCTGCAGGTCGTTCTGAGTTTGTTGTCCTACGTGTACCCCCTCCAGCGAAGTTACGAGAGAGTTATAACCTGATGGAAACTCTTCAGAACGGTGGCAAGGCAGTGATGGTGGTGGAAGTGAAGAAAACGGTGACTTTCAACAATGACATATGGCAGCCCCTTGCAACAGCTCTTGAGCTGGCAATCCAGAATGAGACGGATCCAGTTACGCTACTGCTCACAGATGCATCATCCTGGTATTTTGCTACTGTGCAGCTGGTCCAAAAGATTGATAATAAAGGACCTCCCATGCCCAAGGGCAACTCCCAGGCACATGGTTTCCAGTTCCAGGCATGTGGTCATGAGTTCTGCCTCTTCGATTGGATGGTGTTCAAATGTGACCTCCTGTTAACTAGACGTATTTCATCAGTTGTGCCTCAGGTAAGGCCTAACTTTGGAGGGTGGTTCCCTTGCAGATAAGGGCCTTGGTGCATAGTGTGAGTGGCTAGACGTTGTGTCATCAGGATGTCTTCCCGCGGGCTTTTAGGAGGCACATTTTGTGAAGGCAGAAGCTGCATTTCATGGATGTGTCCTGACAAGCTTGATACTAATTTGGTTGCATAGACATAATAAGTACTTTGAAGTTTTACAAAATTGGCTAGTTAATTAGTCATACATTACCATGTACGCTTGATGCATTCATGAAATGTTCACTGAAAAGTATACATCCAGCATCTTAGGAGGCCTTTTTAGCAGTCAGCTACTACACTTTTGCAGGTAGATAATGCTCCCTGTGGATCCCTTTGTCTTGCAGATATTCGTTCACATGCACAATGTGCTGTACCCTGGTGAAGACATCACCAAGGTTGCAGATCGGGCAAAGCTAGGCAGTGCGGCACTTCAAGCTCTTGCAGTCAAGTGGGCGGAGCCTGTAATCACAGACGTGGTTACAAGTAAACAGATAAATGACCTGAAGCAGAAGCTGGAGGAAAGTAAGCAGAGGGAGGAGGAAAGTAAGCAGATGCTGGAGAAAGTTAAGCAGAGGGAGGAGGAAAGTAAGCAGAAGCTGGAGGAAAGTAAGCAGAGGGAGGAGGAAAGTAAGCAGATGCTGGAGGCGGAGAAGAAGAAGGCGGCACAAGAGATTGAGGCCCTCAAAAGGCAGCTGCAAAGGCAGCAGCAGCAAGGCCAGTAATGGAGATGTGGTGTATGAAAGTCACCTTTTCACAAATACCCAGCTGCTGGACGAGGCACTGTTGCACTTCCCTAATCTGTGTGCGTTTTCTTGTAGTTGGTGGGGCAGCCCCATGCCAAGTTGAACATCTGGCTTGTTGCTCCGATTCCATTCAAATGGCCAAACTTGCAGACCTAGTCACTATAGATATATGTGTGTTTATGCATCTGTCTGGGTGATGAACAAGTGGCTGTTGTTGCTGTCATAAAATGTTACCAGCTGCAGTCTAGCCCTATGGCAGTCCGGAGACATGTAGCTACAAGCTTGATACATGTGCAGCCCCGAAAATGTGATAATTAGGCACGAATATGTCCGCTTAGTGTGTCAAGTGTTATGATTAGGTTAGTTAAAATGATTTCCAGGCTATATGAGCGCGGGGATGTGGTGTTTGTCCTGATGACCTACTCTCTAGCTATTGCCATTTGGCAATCCAGATATTTGTACAGCCCAAGGCTCAACAGCTACGGGACAGTTCTTACTGTAGATGTGCAGCCCCGAAAGCACGATGGTTACAACTGGTGTATGCATATTAACTGTATTGGTGCTCCGATGTAAGGATGAAAACCCTAAAACCTTAAGGAAGCTTGGATGTCATGCTCGTGGCCCAACGGAAGGCCTATTGTTCCAGCACAAAGAAGCATATTGTTTATAAACAAAAAAGAAAATAGGCATGGTTACCAGAGGCAGCACCGATCGACCTGGTCGACCAGGTCCGCCAATACTGTGTGTCCATGCCACAATATCTGAGGATCGGCTGAACTCATTTTAACCTTGTAACGTTTCCTGACCCGAATAACGACCGTCGAGGTTTCCATGCTATAGGCTGACATAACCGTTCATGTACGGACTTGGATATTATGGCTTCAATGACCTCTGGATCATACACATATCTAGATTACGAAAGAACAGGTGCAGCAGGCCTCGGGAAGGTGGGGCCGATGTCCAGCCGGGAATGGAGGCGGGTGGCCACCGTGAGGAGGATTTGGCGTCCATCAGGGAGGTAAGATGGAAGGGAGGGTCGGGGCGCCATGTGTTTATGTGGGCCGTCAAAAAGCTGTCGTACTACGATAGGGCTATTGAAATACGGCAGATGGTTTTTATGTAGGAAGGTAGTGGTGGGGCACAGCTGTGCCAGGGTTGTTGTTGTTTTGTGGATTCGTTACCCGAGCCCCTCTTTCTTGTTTCTGATGCTATGAAGGTTTGCTGGGGCTGGTTGGGAGAGGGGGGCGTGTATTTGTCAGCGCCATCATTGCCGTGCCTGCCCTAATTGTCATGCTCCCATACAGGAGCTGCAGGTGCAGCAGGCCTCGGAAGGTGGGGCCGATGTCCAGCCGGGAATGGAGGCGGGTATGCGTGTGTGTTTCCCTCCTCTCCCCTCCTCTCCCCTTTTAACTTTCCCTTTTAAGAAATACAACTTTAAAACAAAATGCCCTTAAGGATAATAATTTTCCCATTTTAAAAAGGAAAGTGCTATACGCCCCCAATCCAATTTTTTCATCATTCAAAAAAATGCACATGCTTTACTCTTAATATTTTCAAATTCAAACCGCAGATTCGTCAAGATTTGACTTCGCTGTTGAGCAGCACCATCGTAGATGTGTCGCCGCCCGTGTGGCGCTCAGAGAATGGCACAGAGGCTGTCGACAGGCAGCACGACTTCGTGTTCAGCTCCAAGCGTGACTTGTACCTCATGAACACCATGAGCACGTTGGCGGCCGACGACAAGGAAACCAAAAACACCCTGAAGCTGGGGGACGCTTACCAGGTACTGGATCCGGGGATTGGCGGGATGGGGGTGGGGTGGGGCCTGAGGAGGAGGGGGGGAAAGACGAACCACAAACGAGTGAAGCTGCTGCCAGGGCAAGAGTGTACCAGAGGGGAGGAGGGGGGGTGGGGAGGTACGTGCGGGTGTGGGGGGGGAGGGATGGGGAGGAAGGGAAATTAGCGGTGGACGGGGTCATTGCGAAGACAATGAGATTTATTCTCTCTCTCCGGCAACGCACCCTGTCTGTTTGTGTATGGGTCGATGCCCTAATCATTAGGTTTTCTTCGGTATTGTTCGTACTGTCGTTCTCCCTACAGGGGGGCCCGCAACGGCCCACAACACTGTCGTAACTTCCTCCTGGGTGTCGTACTGCCGTACCGTTCATCAGGTGCTGTCGTCATCGCCAGTCACGACCTGCAGTTCCTCAAGGGCACATGCCGGGAAATCTGGGTGGTGGAGGGGGGGCAGGTGACCAGGCAGCCGCAGGGCGATGTGGGGGAGGCCATCAGTGCATACGCATCGCGACTGATGGAACAGCTCCGACGCAAAGAGGAGAAGCTGCAGCGGCTGCAGCAATAGCAATTGTAGCCGAAGTGGGAAACAAAAGCAGAAACAGGCGGCAGTAGCCGCAGTGCAGCAGTACAGAAGCAAACATTCGTGCCGTGAAGCGAAAGCGGTAGCCATGGCAAGAGCGGTGACGTAGGGCAGTTGATTGGCGGGCTTCTTTACGGGTTCGTGTACTCACTGCTAAGGATTTTGAGACCATCAACTCTCTCAAGGAAAAGCTTGTAGAAGGGGCACCCTGTGACGAAAGCATGAATGACCTGCGCACCCTTATCAATAAGTGTGCTAGAGAGACGTTCGGCGGTGCACGGGTGATGGAAAAGTCTGTGAAGCGTGACTGGTGGAACGAGGACTGTGCAGCTTCGTGGAATGATATGATGAGTTTCCGTAAGGAGGTCAGGGACCCCGTCTCAGGCAAGCTGCCCGATCTACATAGGACTACCTGGAAGGCCAAGCACCGTGCCTTTAAAAAGGCTAGGAAGGCCGCTATTCAGGAGTTTGAAATGGAAGATATGCGGAGGAGGATTAAGGACGCCCGGTTCAACCCACGCGGATTGTGGACATGGCTGCGTGGGGGAAAACCACCTCCTTGCGGGATCTCAGATATTAATGCTTTTACCGAGCATTTTTCCAAGGTGCTTAATGGTACGGGAGAGACGAGGCAATGCCGCAATGAGGGTATTCAGTTTAGATGGCTGGACGAGGACCAGGTGACGCACAGACGGGAATTAGCTGCTTGGCTTAACGAGGATTTTACGGAGGATGAAATTGCTAGTGGCCTTAAGGCTATGCGCAACAATAAGTCCGCGGGCCTGGAGGGAACCCCGGCCGAGTATTATAAGTACGCTATCAGGGAAACTGAAGGGCAGCAACCCGTGCTTGTATTGGCGCCTTACTTAACGGTGCTATTCAACCGCATATACGGAGCTAAATACCCGAGGGAATTCACGACTAGCACCCTGTCCCCCGTATTCAAAAAAGGGGACGTGTCTTGCTGTGACAATTACCGGGGAATTGCAGTTGGGGGTCCCCTGAGCAAACTTTATGCCAATATCATAGGGAGGCGATTAAATAATTACTGTGAGGGCAATAGGCTACGTGCCGTTAGCCAGGCTGGATGTAGGCATGGTTTTGGCACCGAGCATCACTTGTTTACATTAAGGCATCTTATCTCGAAGCACACTGTGGCCGGAGCCAGGCCGCTTATTATCATGCAAATTGACTTTAGTAAGGCGTTCGACTCCGTTGACCATGAGACACTTTGGGATTTCCTAATGTCGTATGGGCTACACGGGCGCATCCTCGATTCTTTAAAGGCTAGCTATGCTGACGTGAAGTTTCGGGTCAAGTTAGGAAATAAGTTGGGACCTGAATTCAAGGTGGGGCGCGGTGTTAAGCAAGGGTGTCCCCTTAGCGTAACCCTTTTTGGGCTCTTCATAGAAGTATTCGCTCATTATATTGATGCCCATGATGCTAATTGCCGTGTATGCCTCCCCAGCCGATGGAGCACCCTTCGTGAGCAGAGTGTTAGCCTGGCGGGCGGTGATCTCACTAACCTACTTTTCGTTGACGATGTGTCACTGGTAGCGACAGGGCACGATAGAGCTGAATGCCTTCTGGGGCTACTCGAAGCCTACTGCAAAGCGACGGGTATGGCCGCGAATGCCGCCAAGTGCGAGGTCCTCATTTTTGGGGGTGCTACGCGTGAGCGGAAGCGGCTTGTTGAAGCTGAGTACCGGTTAGGTGGGGCGGGGTTGCGGGTGCTGACCGGCAACGAGACGGCACGGTATCTCGGGTTGCACTATGGCCCAGGAGTGCAGTTCTCAGCTTGTACCAAGCAACTACTCACAGCAGGGAGGCGGGCCACATTTGGGCTCAGCACCCTGTGTCGTGATAAGAAAATTACCACCCCCAAGCTATGTATGTCTCTCTACAATACACTAGTTGTACCGGTGTTTTCTTATGGAGCGCAAGTTTGGGGACCTGACTTCATTAATGTGAATTTTGAAGGTGCTATGGCTAATCCCATGGTCCAGGAACAACGTGCTTACATGCGAACCGTAGTTGGGGCGAGGAGCCCGACTATGGTTTCCCTATATCGCGAGCTGTCACAGAGGCCACTCCAGTTCCATTGGACCAATCTTGTACTTAGGTTTTGGAACTCTGTGGTTAAGAGGCCGGGAACGTTGTGTCACCGGGCATTTGTCGCTGACCTGGAGTTGGCACTTGGGGGCGCCACTGAGTGTTGGGCAAGCAAGGTACTAGCCTTTCTTACTAGCTTAGGAGTGGAGCCCCCCACTAATACGCGCGGCAATGATCTTATTTCGTACTACACCACCCTTAAATTGCCAGTCGAGAGCATTCTTAAGGTTTTTGCCAAGCGGCTTGATGCTCGATGGGAGTGCCCGAATACCTTGGGTGACCCCCGCGTCTTCCCCATAGGAATTACCGGAGCCAAGGCGTGTCGCTATATGAACTGGATGGGAGCTGCCCCGTCAAGGGGTGCGCGTCTTGATTGGCTGGAGCACACTAAAGGGACCATGCCCCAGCGACTTCATCATGTGCTCATGCGTTTTCGGTTAGGCTGTTGGGAGTTAGAAGTTAATAGGCCTAATGGGCGTGAGCGCACCGCGCGTACCTGCAGGCTTTGTGACTGTGGAGCGGTTGAAGATGAGTTGCATGTTTTCGAAGAATGTCCCGCTTACAAGAGCATACGGGCTAAGTATGATGGTGACCTAGTCCTTGCGGGGCGCAGCATGCGCACCATTATGACTGAGGCGCCACCCCTGGCATTGGCCAGGTACCTCTCGGAAATCTGGGAGGCCAGGCACGTCGCGCTGAGGCGCTTCGCCCTGAAGCGGACGAGGGAGAATGAAGATGACCTCCCGCGTACCCGCATCAATACCAATACAACGTCCATGGCCCCCCCGGCTTTTACGGACACACCCGCACTTGTGTGCGGAACTTGTAACTTGCTAAGGATTTTGAGCTGGGTTCGGTAAGATTGTTCGTTGAAGTGCTTGGAGTAAATATGTAACTCGAAGGGCAGCAGTAGAGCCCACATTGCGATACTATAGCGCCGGCGTTGGCCTCGTACACAATGTATGTTTGTGTGGGTGAGACCGCCGAAGCGCACTCTTCTATTAAGCGCACTCTTCTATTAGCACCGCCGTACAGATCGCACAGCGCTGTGCATGTGTGCAATCCTCCTGCGGGGTTTTACGGGCGTTCTATGTGTAATGTACGGGACTCGCCAGCCCAGCCAGGTTAAAGAGTTACACCGACTCAAGAAGGATGAGACACGTTACTGGATTAGGTTAACAGCAACTGTGTATAAGCAAGGATTAGGTTTGCAGCAGGCATCTCAGAATGCGGGTTGGGGCACCAGCTCCAGGGATGGGGATGGGACCCTGGCTGGCAGGATGAGGATTGGGGGGACACAGCTGCAGGATGGGGATGGGAACCCTGTCGGAGGGATGGGAACAGCACCGGCCCTAGGATGGGGGATGGGGGACGGTTGCCCCTGCCAAGGATGGGAGGATGGCTGACCAGTACCCCGTCCCCCCCCCCCTGATAGGGGAATTGGACCCCTTTTGCAACACCCCTCTGTTTGACCCCTTAAAGCCCAAACAATCGTCCCACAAGCCACAATACGCCTTTCGTATTCGACTTATTTCTTGTGAGTATATGAGTATATGAGCAAAGAGGAACTGATGGGTGCCTGCAGGCCTTTATAAATGGCTGCTGCCTGCTGGTAGGTGTACGGGGAAAAAAGGTTGGAACCTGTACTACACTGTACCACTCACAAATCTTATATGGTTGTAGCGGAGATATCCGAAAGGAGATGGAAAAGGCAAAGCTAATTAGAGTACGCCGGGACCTGACCGAGAACCAGCGCAAAGGGCGCATCTGCGAGACATTATTATAAGCGACGTTGGAACCTATGGACCTTATATGATGTGGTCTACAAAATTACAACCGTCACCCAGTAGACTAGAGTTGCGTTAGCTATTACTGAAAGACGATTTTCTTCAACCAGCTCAACAACAACAGCCTGTACCACTTGCTGGCCATTTTCCTGTTTGCAACGTTGGTTGCCTCCCCGTATTACAAAATGTGGTCCGGTGCCAGCTTGGAAGCTGCAGCTGTTGTCGCTCGTTCTCCTGATTCTCTGGCCCGCATCTGTCCGTGGCGGGATCTCCTCAACTCGTCACGAGCTCATGGCTGAGCGGGGGCCAGGGTAGCCCTACACTCCGGCGGCAGGCGGCAGGTAGAGGTGCTCCAACTCCCGAGGGTGCCTCAGGAAGAGCCTTAGGTCCGGCAGCTGCAGGGCCTCCATGACACGGCGGAGAGCCGCTGACGGCTCCTGCAGGCTACCACCACCCTCCCCCTCGCCCCCCTCCTCCCCCTCCTTCCCTTCCTCGTCCTTGTGCTCCCCCTCCTGCAAACCCTCTGCCCCGTCCTTCTGCTCTTGCTGCTGTTGCTGTTGCTGCTGCTGCTGCCGCCACTGGACAACTTCCGCAATCAATGGCTCTGGCAGTACGCCCAGGGCAATTGCCATACCCCGAAGGGCCTGTCGCGTCAGCTCCCACCTCGCCTCCTCCTCCTCCTCCGCCTCCTGCTCCTTCCTCGTTTGCGTAGCCCCCACTGTCACCCAGGCGGGGGAGACGCACTCTGGAACGGCCCAACGTAGCCGCGTGACCCCGCCGCCACCACCGCCACCGCCGCCGCCGCTGCTGCTGCCGTCTGCGTTATAGGAGGGCTCCGAAACCGGGTTTCTATCCTGCAGGGCAGCGAACCAGTGCCGCCAAGAGAGCTGCGGCTGCGATGTACGACGACCAGCAGGCGCCGTCAAGGAGTCATCGCGAGGAGGACGCGGCGGCGGAGAAGGAAGAGCTCTGCCGGCAGCGCCGTCGCCGCTACTGCCGCCGATAGCGCGGGCGGTGGCTACGGCGCTGGCGGCGGGCACTACTGCCGCTACTGCCGGTTTTACTGTTACGTCCTGCTTCTCGTCGTCCCGCGTCTGCGTCAGATAGCCCGACAGGTGATGCAGCGGCGGCAGTAGCATGCCAGGTCGTAGGGCGGCGGTATGGCGCCAGTCGGGCTGTTTCTGGCGCCCATGGCCACCTCGACGACCGTGCCCTTGTCCTGCGCGCCTAGATCTATTGTACTTCTCAAACATGCAAACAGTGTCTGTTAAGTGGTGCTCTTGGCCATTTGTACAACCTCTGCCGCGGTCTTTGCTGCTACTGCTGCTAGTGCCGCGACTGCTGCTACTACTGCTTCTTCCACTGCCGCTGGAGCTATCACCGCTGATGGTGGTGATTGTGGTTCGGCTTGTGGTGATGCCGCTGTTGTCCGTACCTCCACCACTGCTACTGCCTTCATCTACATGCCCGCTACCGCCGCAACTGCCGGTGCTGCCGCTACTGTCACTACCATCGCCGCCGCCGGCTCCGTTACTGTCGCTGCAACCACTGCTGTTCCTTTCCGCGTCGCTACTGCACGACATCGCAATGCGAGCAGCGGCGAGCCTTATGTGTCGGTCGCACGACATGCCGTGACAGTCGCCGCCGCCGCCGCTGTTGCCGGCATCCTTGACGGCGGCTGTTCCGGCATCTCCGGGATGAGACGATCGTCGCCGCTTCTTGCTTGCCTGCACCCAAAGAGGCGACCCCCTCTCTTCTGCTGCTGCCCCCATCGCTGCGCCCGCTACAGCCTCCTCATCCTCCTCCACCTCACATTCATGCCACCTCTTAGGCACCCTAGCCGTGGCGCCTTCGCTGCGTGCGTTTCGGCCGCCACCGCCGCTGCCACCGCCGCCTTTGCTGCGACTGCAGCCTCCACCATCACCGCCCAGTCCGCTTCCATTGCCCCCTGCATCCTCACACGCCGCCGTCATCTGCCGTCGACCACCTGCATATCCACGGTCCTCCAGTTGCCCGAGTTGTCGACCCCGACGTTGTCGCAAATGTTGTTTTCCACTTTGGTGGTCGAAGTGATGGGGGCGGTCTGAAAGCACCTCCAGAGCCGGTGCAGCAGTGGCGGTGAGCAGCCGTTCAGCTCCCCACCATGCCATCATCAATGTAATACGGCGCGGCGGCGGCGGAACAGCTGCCGCCGCTGCTGTCCCAAGTTGCGACCGGGTAACCACTGCCGGCCGAGACGGCGGCGGCGGCGGCGGATGCTGACGCTGTCTTGTAGGGTCGGGGAAGGGCGGGAGAGGAGACCTAGACGCTGCGTCGTCCCGCTGCGGCAATGGCGGCGGCGGCGCCAGTGGGCACTGTACCCTCGGCGGCGACGAGGACGGCCGCAGCGGCGGCAGTTTTGGTTTCGGAGGGAAGGGCTGCGGTACGACGCCGTGTAGGAGGTTCCCCGGGAAGAGAAGCAACCGATTTTGGCGGGGCCCTATGGCCCAGGCCCGCAGCGCGACGGGGGACGGTGACGGCGACGTCGATGGCGCGGGGTGGTCAGCGGCTGCGATGGGGTCCTTGTCAGCGGAAGTTGGTGTTGGTGTTGCCGGGGGGGGTGCTTGCGTGTTGCGAGGATGACGTTGCCCTCCCCCACCGAGCGCACGTGCCCCTGTGCCTGGTGGCGGGTGCCGGGCGAGGGGTTTTAAGGTGAGGGGACATGCCGCAGGGGGGAAAGACGAACCACGAACGAGCGAAGCTGCTGCCGCAGGGGGGGAGGGGGTTTGAAGGTCAACAACAGTCCAGCTCCTTATGGGGCGATGGTGGTGGTGCTCATTGGTGTGGGCTACTAGGCAGTTTGGAACCTGGAGAGCACGGGACGAAGAAATCACGAATACAGAGAAGACTCATGGCATTTGAGTCTCAACTGACTAACTAACTGACCAATTATTCGCATCTACCAGCTACGGCAGCATTCTTGGCCCCAGGCTTTGGCACTCTTCATAATGTCAGCCAGCCCCTTACTTCGTGTTTTCAACCAGTAATAAGATGACACACTTTTGCCTCCACATGCATACGGCAGCACCGCATCCGAGTACAAACCACAAATCCGCATTATAATCAACCACTCGCGAGCTGAGGGAACACGCAGTCATGCGTCCAGATCAGATCGGTTGAAGCCGCGCGTTGAGGCCGCGCGTTGAAGCCGCGGTCATTTGCTGTTGCACATTCCAACACCAGTCCCAGCCGAAAAGCCCATGACCTCCCCCATGAATAATCCCCTCCTGGTGGCGTTCCCATGGATTTTCTTCCCCCTTCCCCCCCTCCGGCTGATTGCCTGTCATCTTCAGTTGAGCCACCGGCCATTTGCCCAACAGATTTCCCCGCACACACGCACACACACAAACGAAAAACCGAAAATCAACCATGAACCGTGAACTAAACCACCATGAAACCACCAACTAACCTTTAGGTGTCTGATCCAACACCACTGTGGGACCTCCGGGGCAGCCCCCCACCTCCTGTCCATCATTCCCTTCTCCACGGGATCCGAATCCGAATCCGAATCCAGGTCCAGATCCCGGCAAGGCACGACCCGAATACGAAAATGGCTTTGGAGGCGGAGGAGGCGATGAAGATGGCAAAGGTAGATCAGACACCGATTTTAGAGATCTCGCGGTCGCCGCCTCCTCGCCACGGAGCGCCGCGGCTACGGCCACCTCCGCGACATTGGCCGCCTCCGCGACATTGGCGCCCGCCGCCGCCGCCGCCGCCGTCACCGCCACCGGCAGCGGCAGCGGCGCCGTCGGCAGGAAAAGCACGCTGCTGATCATGGGGTGGACCAGGTGGTACGCGTCCAGACCCTGAGAGAGGGCGATGTGTAGAGAGGTGGTGAGGGATTTGTGATCTTGGAGGGGGGGAAGAGGAAGGGATGAAGGGCTGCATGCTGATGCGCTTCCGTGTGCTGCCGTATGCCTTGTGGAGGATGGTCCTGTGGTCCTGCGGTTTGTGGTCTTATGCGGCCGTGGGGCTCTTCAGTTTTAGGGTTTTGTGGGGTTTAGGCGCCGCGGCGGCATGCGAGCTCTCACCCGGCCAGCCCTACCCCTGCCCCTGCCCCCTTCGCGCCTGGCCCCTCCTGTTGCTACACGTGCCTACACGTCCTCAAGCTCTGGAACCCTGTAAAGGACACCAAGGCCCTACGGACCCGTCTCAGGACGTCTTCATTGACGTCGAAGTGCAGCTGGTGCGCCGCTGCCGGGTCGCGGTGATGCGCCCACCACTCCACCACTGCCACCGCGGGCGGTCGCCGCCCCGTTGCGGAAGGAACCGCCGTTGGCGCCACCGCTAAAGCCGTGAACCCCGCCGCCCGCTCCGCCGCCGAGCCCGTCGTACGGAACTCCAATACGGAATCCGTCTCGGAATGGGGCCGTGGCGGCGGAGTAGGGGCCCCAAAAGGGGCTGGGAATGATGCCGATTCCGGTTGCTGCTGTAGCTGTTGCTGCCCTTCCGACTTGGCGGTCTGTAGCAGCGGCAGTAGCAGTCGCCTGTGTAGCTCCTGAATTGCTTCCTCCACCACCGACGTGGGCGGCTGATCCTGGGGTTGGTTTCGGAGGCCGCGAGATGGGGAATGGCGGAAGGCCGACGCGACGAAATGGGGGCCATACCACACGACAGAGGGAGCGGATCATTTGTGGGTATTTTACAGGGAATTTTACATGTAAGCAGCACAGGGCACGTGCATTTTAGGGGGCTGTGAGAAGAGGTTAAGGACATGGAAATGCATTTTAGGGGGCTGTGAGAAGAGGTTAAGTAAGGACATGGAAATGCATTTTAGGGGGCTGTGAGAAGAGGTTAAGTAAGGACATGGAAATGCATTTTAGGGGGCTGTGAGAAGAGGTTAAGTAAGGACATGGAAATGAGGAATAATCAGCAACGCGTGGTGGGCCGTGATGAAGGGGGCAAGGGGACAAATGACAATCCAAAAATCAAGAATTTAAACGCACGTGAGGAACTGCGAGCGATACAAGCCGGCAATGCACGGCTACGCTACAGAAATGGAAAAAAAAGTTTTAAAAAATAAAATCTCGGTAGTCGTTCGGCCTACTAGGGATCCAAGCACCTGCCAAGGATCCACAAAAAACGTCCAACCACAAAACGGATTGTCGTACCAGCCGATACAGGTAGCTGAAGAACGGCGTCTTACGCCTGCCGTACCGGTGTTGGCGCCAGTACGGCGTGGCGCCGGCGGGGTCGAATGCCATTGCCAGGCGGCGCATCAGCGCCGTCGGCAACACGTCATCGCAGACGAGCGGCGTCACCAACAGCATCTCCACCGGCTGCGGCTCTAGCTGCGCCTGCAGCTTACGAAGCTCCGGAACCGCCAGCCCCCCGTGTGGTTCTCCTCCTCTTTCTTCGCGCCCGCGATCTCCATCCCTAGCGGCAGGAGGAGGCGCACCACCAGGAGGAGGCGCCGGAGCGGCCGCGCGATCTGCGATATGCGAAGCAGGCAGTCCGACAGGTGACGATGCTGGCACGTCAGACGCCGCCGTCACCGCCGCCACGACAGCAGCGGCGGCGTCAGCGGCAGGGGTTCCAGAAGCGGGGTGTCGGTCGACGGGGTGTTGGTCGTCGACGGTGGTAACAGCGGCAGCTGTAGCTGTAGCTGCACCGGCGGCTGTCGTACCTGTGTTGGCGTTATGGAGCTGAAGGCCAACACTAGATGCACACGCAACCCAAACCTCCTCGGAGAGGCGCAGCCGGAAGCCCAGACCCGCGACCCATGGGTCGGCCTTGGCGCCGCGACCCGCCGCACATAATGCCACAGCCTGCGTACCATAGCCGTAGCCGTCGCATTGTACTGGATTGCTTCACATGGGGCTCTGGGGGGGGAGGGGAGCGGCCCCCGGAAATGGGCAGGTTGGATATGGGTGAGTGGGTTCGGCCCGGGTCGAGAAGGAGGAACACGCCAAGGTACGGCAGTACGACACCACTGGGCCACGCGAGGTAGGTCAGGCGATGATGCGGCTGGCTAGTCCCCAAACGGCTGCTGTACGGCATGATCGGCAAGGATAACCTGCGTCCATCGACCAGGGCCTGGGGGTTCCCCCCTTGCATGGCTGGGGCCCATACTGGGGCCTGAACGCAATGTACGGGTGACGAGGCCGTACACGGACTGCCATACTGCACGTGTGGTACGGCGCGCGGCTGGTACTTACGTGCAGGTACTGAGCTTGGGCCAGCTCCTGGCAGGTGAGTGCAAGAAGCTCCCGCAGGCATGCCCAGTATTTGGTTGCCTCGGCAGCAGCAGTAGCAGTAGCAGTAGCAGTAGCAGTTGCAGCAGCAGCAGCAGCAGCAGCAGCGTCGGGCCCATCGACAGGAGTCCAACGCGATGGCGGTGGCGTCCAGCAGCCGAGGGAAGCATCAGGCGCGGCCGCGGGCGCGGTGCCGCAAGCCATGGGTTTGAGCGTCTTGGGCGTTGGCATGGCCTTGCCGTTATCATCATTGCGATGTTGATGCGTGCTGCTGCTGCTGTTGGCTTGGTTTGAAGTGGGGAGGAGGCCTGGGTGGGCAGTTATTATCGGCGGTAGGCTAGCGCCAGCGGCTGCTACGGATTCGGGATGTGGTTGTGGCAAGCTGTCCAGACAGCAGCGCAAGCGGCGAGTTGCCTCGGTAAGCGCCACGGTGGCAGCTTGCAGGTCCGACTGCAAAGGGAAACAGCTTTGAAATATTGATACTTATTAATAAGTTAAACATAGGGGTCGACGACAACGGTTTGCGGCGTCAGGTATACATTTTTTCAACGCGCGACTTGCCTTGTTACAACCTTCCCATTGTTGGACAGCTTGGTGAACCTGAAGCAGCATTTCAGACATATTGAGATACCGGAACCCAAGTTTGGACCATTCATATCACAGAAGGAAACAGATTGAGACATATCATTAGTAACGAGCTGGATCGGGCAAAGGCATGGTTTCGGAGCCGACTTTCGGAATTGCAAGTCCATGCACATTAAGCTTGCAATAAATAATAGTTTCGATGAGAAGTCTTCGTTACAAACTGAAATAGAATTCTAAGCGAGGAAAGATAGGCTTTAAGAAAGGGTAGGGCTGGGCGCGGGCACACCTCCTCAGAGGAAGTGAACAAACAAGGCACACAGACCAACCGCTTCAGGACAGTACCCTAACGTATCTCTACGCAAAACCTCACGCGACACGTATGTCGGCTTGCCCACCTGAAGATTTTTATTACTGCCTACTGGGTGCGGTTGAGGGTGCTGCAGCCTATGTTGTGATGGAACTTATGAGAAATGGTATGAGCACGGTGACTCGAAAGAGGTGCAATTACCGATGGAACGCTTACAAGGAGCAAAGCTAATTGACGAGTTGCGCTCGTGTAACAAACTCCACACTAGGAAAGCATTCTTCGTCTTGTAGCTGGTTTGTGCCTTGGTGGCCGAAAGGCCGACTTCTTCGCCTGATTTGCCTGGATGTGTTCGGGTAATCCTGGGATGCGTTGGGAAGATCCTGAGCCTTTTTGTCTGAAAGACAAACACGGCAATACAAGCAACATAACACCCTCCTCACCCTCTCCCTCCCCTCTCCCTCCCCTCTCCCTCCCCTCTCCCTCCCCTCTCCCTCCCCTCTCCCTCCCCTCTCCTCCCCCTCTTGTAACCGTCTTGCGTAACCGTCATGCTCGGCCACTACTTCACACAGCTCATCTTCCTGGCTTCTGCGCTTCGCATTTTACCGTGTTTCCTCTCAAGAACACCGCGCTTCGGCCCCGGCTGCAACACCTCTTTTTACGACATTCTTGCGGTCGCGCAAAGAGTAATTGTGTCTCAGTCCGAGCAAGCCAACCCGATACAAAGCCAAGCACGCCACCATGCCGTACAGTTTTCACTCCAAATTCACAAAAATCAGAATGCGCGATGCAGCTTTGCACTTTTAGCTGAACAGTACCAAGTAGCTTTCATTTCGCAACTTCGGTAATATGGCCGCGAAACTCCCCTAAGAACAGAGCAGACGTGCTATCCTTTAAGCGATTGAAAAGACCGCATAAATCGTCAACCTTACGGCTGCTTCGCGAACTTAGTCGATATGGTTTACCTTAATAGATCACACCTCTTGGCCATTGCATAGCTGTACGGAAAATATACACGATCGCAAGCCCGTGCACGTTACCGTAACACCTTCGGCGAGCTTTGACTCACGCGGGCTACTGTACACCGAAGCGTCGCAGACATAATCGTCGATTACGATTACGGGCCAAGTCAAAATCTGAATAGAAAACGCCATGAACGTTGATCGATTGGGTCGACAGCTGTGTTAGCAGTCCAGTTGGCGGCTTTGCTACTGTAACACAACACGGCATGACTGAGCAATAATTCGGTGACATGACCCCCAAAAACCCCGTTCGTAAAAGCAGCACACCCAGTATCCCCAAATCGTTCCAAAGATGGCAATTTTTACCATCTCCCGCGAGTTTCAGCGGCTGCGACAGCGTTTCGAACTTTGTCGAGGTAGGTATCCTTACAGGAAACCAAACAAATTGGAATATCTAGAAGGATAACTCTTCATGGAAAATCCTTAATAAAGTACGTCGCCGCCGATCAGCGATCAACAAACAGATCATGTTCCTCGCCGCACGGGCGATACGAAGCAGAGCGAAGCTGGTACAGTATGCTCGTGGCGATACAGTGGCCTAACATACTAATGGACCGAAAATAAAGCAACAATACGAATCATCAATTATTATCCTGAAGAGAAACCCGTCGGGAGCACATAGCATGGGGGAATCTGGGCCCCATCTGTACCTTCAGTACGGGCAACGCAACCAACACTAATAATCCCCGATGAGGCGCCGGAACACATATATACCTGGACAAGACTGTAATAGTCTGCCTGGAAACGGATTATAAATATTTAATTACACGTTCCGAATGGGAGCTACGAGCGATCAAACTATTCGTCGTATATGGCACAGTCCAGAGTGCAAAAGGAAGACGCATTCCAACGCTGCAATGGCGCCCACCCCACTCTTTGAGCCCCGATTTGGAAGCTCTCGAAGCATAGCAGCTGCAGACGATGTCACAGTTGGCTACCGCAAGGTTGACCGACCGCAACTTCCACCCAGCAGGCTGATGCCGCTACAGATGCCTCTGTTCCTCCTGCTGCTGCTGCTCTCCTCACGACTTCCGGAAACCCGAGCGCAACGGCCCTACCCGCTGATGGGCGCCGACGGGCCCCTGCCAACTAACATCACAAACGGCACAATCCCGCACTCCGACATCAGCGCCACGGTTCTGCTAGAACGCGTGGTCAAGCTTCTGGAGCGCGAGAACGCCTACGAGGTAAAGCCCCTGGTAGTGAAACGGGTGCGGGAGTTGAATGTCGAAATGCACGAAGCTCCACATGTGGATGATTTGATTTTCCTAAAGTGCTGTCTGTAGTAGGAAACCATTACATACGTCCTGAAAATGGCACGTTGGGCTCTCCGTGCCATGCGCATCTCTCAGGCGGTATGGTGGCTGGTGCTGTCGTGGACGGATTTCAACGCGGGGAGGGTCGTACAGGCGTCCACAGCCGCCACTGCGGGCGCAGCTGCCACGTCAATCTCCACGAACTGCTCCCGCTACTGCGACAGCGGCGGCCTGGCTTCCATGGGCTGCTGCGACGGCATCTGGCTGCCGCACATTGAAATGCTGAACATCCTGCAGTACTTTGAAGTGAGTGATTACTGACGGGCTTGCTCCGGAACCAGCATGTTACCTCCGCAACCGTCACAATGCCGACCATGGGGGCCAACATCGCCAACGGCACCAGTCGCTCTTAGTCCATACGCCATACACGTACTTGCTGAGCCACACACACCACAACAACTCTCATCTAATCCTCTCCCTTTGTCAAGTTGCACCGCTCCTTGTCCTAATTCTCCTGCTAATGTTACTTACTGTTATACTTGTGTTTCGATTTTCCGTGGACTCCTACGACCCTAACCCTACACCCTATGGCCCTGATCCGCTCAGGACCAGCTCCCTCGCTACCGCATCAATGCAAACCCCAACACGGGAATCGTCACCTGGTCGACTCGTCTCGTGGGCAAATGGTGCGTGTGTGTATGGGTTTATGCGTGTGCGCGACATCCCTCGCTCCCTTTCTTTTGCTCGAACATCCCCTCCTCGCCCTCTCCCCTTCTCTCAGTATATGTAAGGAGTAGATTCCCTTGAAGTGTATGAAGGTATGAATCCCTTTCTTTTCGGCCATGGGCTAAAGGAATGGATTTACGTCCAGCCGCACAAATTCATTCCTTGGGGCAGGTTTGGCCGGAATGTCTCCGCCATCCCCCTCCTGCCATAACGCCTTCCCAGATGTGGGGGTATGGAATGGATAGTCCTTGAAAGACCCCTAACAGAAGCCAACGGGACATCATAGCTTTCCTGACAAGGCCAGACACGGTGAAGTGCGCCAGAGAGTTTATTTATCGCAGGGAACCACCAAAGGGTCATGCCCAGGCTTTGCAAATTCAGTTTGTCATTTACCGGGGGATTTGGGGGCTCCGAAGGAGGGCCCTCAGCGCCTCACGGTTAAGAATGTCTTACCAGCCTAACTCTAAAAGATCTTTCCTTGGTTTGTATTAAATTTAATTTCCCGTAAACGCCTTCTCCTTCTTTTCCTCGACTACTTCCTCAACCGCCTCCCTGCCGGGCATCTGTCCTCCGCTCTCCTCACTCCCCTTGTCGATTGCATCCCCTCCCTGTCCTCCTCTCCCCCAACCCCCGGCCAGCGGCCACATTCCCTCTCCCCACAATCGCCACTCCTACCTAACTGCCTCCCCGCGCTGCCCCGGGGGCCCCCTCCAGGTACACGCCCCTGGACTTCCGCGCGTACCCCTTCGAGCACCAGCACCTGCTGTTCGAGTTCGCGCTGGCGGACAGTCAGTCGACCGTGGCCGGCCTGCTCTGGGACCACGTGGCGCAGCTGAACAACACCGCACACACAAAAGGTGGGCAGGTGGGGTTCGTGGGCTGGTGGGGCTGGTGGGGCTGGTGGGGCTGGTGGGGTTGGTGGGGTTGGTGGGTTGGTGGGGTTGGTGGGGTTGGTGGGGTTGGTGGGGTTGGTGGGGTGGCGGGTTGGTGGGGTTGGTGGGGTTGGTGGGGTTGCGCTGGTGGGCTGGTGGGCTGGTGGGCTGGTGGGCTGGTGGGCTGGTGGGCTGGTGGGCTGGTGGGCTGGTGGGCTGGTGGGCTGGTGGGCTGGTGGGCTGGTGGGCAGGTGGGCTGGTGGGCAGGTGGGCTGGTGGGTTGGTGGGCTGGTGGGCTGGTGGGCTGGTGGGGCTGGTGGGCTGGTGGGGCTGGTGGGTTGGGGGTTGGGGTTGTGGTACACTCTGAGCTCTGTGGTGCGCTACACATCACCCACCGCTATGACCCTCCGGAACGGGGATCCTAAATAGGAGCCGATCTGGCCGGTTGGCGAATCAACTGGAGCAAGGCCAAAGTGTACGACAGCCAACGGTGCTACAAGGACTATAATGTAACTGCACCTCGGTGGGTCCCACCTGGGTGTCTGTGTGTATGTCTGTGTGTGTGGGGGATTTGCTTAGTCGTTGTCATCACTTCATTTTTCCGCTCCTCGTCCTGCTGCTTAACGGTTTTTAAGGATTTCATGAACCAGGACGTGGCTCGTGGGATTGCGGAAACAGGCTGCCGAGCTCAGCTCAGCAGCCTTAGCACTTGGGGTTTTCGTAACTGTGCTTGTGACATCGATATCGATGCGGCTACATGCTTGATTGCCGTACGCAGGTACGACGTCTCGTCCACAGCGCCCTTCAGCAACGCATCTGGCAGCGAGCAGGTTGCGGGCTACCAGGCCATTGCCATCCACGACCGCTACTTCGCCAACAACACCGCGCGGGGTACCACCAAGCCGAAGCATTGCGGGCTTTTCAAGAAATACGACGAGTCCCGCGCCCTTTACGGGCCTGTCGTACTAGTGGCTGACATCATGGCACGTATTTCCGGGGGGAGGGAAAGGCGTTTACATGGGCGTTTACCAACGAACGCGGGATTACCAACGAACGCGTCCGGACCGTACCTGACTAGTCAGCGAGGGCTTGTCACTGCACCTGTGCCGCTACCTGGTGACCGCACACACCGCTTACTGCCGTTCTCTCCTCCTCTCACCCTTCTTCCGAATCTCCTGATCCTCCACCCGTCCCCTCCACCTACAGGTCAAGCGTGTGTCATCCTACTACGTTCTGACCAACCTCCTTCCCATTCTGCTCATCACGGTGATCACCTTCGTGGTGTTCTTCATGCCGCAAAAAGCCCTGGGAGAGCGAATGGGTGCGTGCGGGACAGCGAATGGGTGCGTGCGGGAGAGCGAATGAGCAAGGGAGTCAGTAAGTGTAAGGAGCGCATACATTGCACCTACTACTCCATGCCGCAAGAGGGTTGCTGAACCGGTGAACATGCCCCCCAGTTGGTAACACGTGTCGGGCGCGCAGGCCCCCTTTCCTATCAGCAACTACGGTCCCCCTTTTAAGAAATTTCTCGTGATATTGTTCTGACAAATGTTGCTGTTGTGTCGGCTCCCTGGCCGGGCTGGTCCCCTCCTCAGGTGTCGTGCTGACGATGTTCCTGTCCCTGACGGCCATGCAATTCGTGTTTGACTTCCCGGCGGCCAACTACATCAACGCGCTTCAGATGGTGGGTTCAATGATACTAGGGTGATGCCGCACGTAGTGGTACATAGCATCGATGTTCACGGTGTCATACATGGGGGCATGCATGTTGTGTGGATGGCCAGGTGTAACCAGGTGCACCCCAGCACCCGGGATGACGTAATAACGTGTGCGCCCCCAGGTGGGGTTCGTATTGACCTGCTGAAGGTTATGTTATCCCTTCACCTGGCCAGGTGGTCCTTGTCAGCTATGGCATGATTGCGCTGGCCTGCATTGAGAGCCTCCTGGTAAACCGAATCGCCACGGTTTCGGAACACGTAAGCACCAAGAGGACCTGCGTTCGGAAGTACGGCACCCTTTTAGCCAGGTACGGTGCCGGGGTATGCACGAAACGAGCACACCAACACCGAGAGTGGGACGAAGGGTGAAAGGTCCCTGCGGAGGGACGGGTACTGTAGGTATAGACGCTGCTGTGTACGAGTGCAGTGTGATATATCCAAGGATATGGAATGGAAGACGGAAGCTGCATCGGAGTTCGAGTGGCGGCGGCGGGTGTGGTGGCAATGCTTGCATTTCCTAGAGGTCAAGAGGGCGATGACGCCTTTTAGCGTCATTTAATTCTTCTTCCTCCTCCGCTTACTCCTCTTACTCCTCAATTCTACCTCCTAGAAGCCCACCTCAACCCTACCTCCTGCTTCGCCCTCCACTTGAGTATGAGAGACACGCAGACACGAACGCTCAATGCAGGATCCCCACGTACTTGAGTATGTCACTGTGACGTGCATTGTTGCGGTATTGACATACAGACATACACTTCCGCGGATAGAGATACCTATTCCTTTACTCTCTTCCCCCCCGTTTCGGGTTGATGCCACTCTGCGGCTGCAGCTACTCTCTGGCCCACCTCGGGCCAGGCCTTGGCTCCTTCACCAGGTCGTACGGCAAGGGCGGATCTGCCAACGTCGGTCACCGTGGCGGCCAGGTGGTGCGCGCGTCATCGTTGCTGTCGCGGCTCGGGAGCAAGGGACGTTCGGCGGCGGCGTCGGCGGCGACGGGAGCAGCAACAGGGATGGGGCAAGCGGGATCTACGAATGGAAGCACTGCAAATAGCCCTCGGGTGGAATTTCCCGTCGTTGGGAGCCAGGTAGGGGCGATTACAGGGGTTGGCGGATGGTGCATGGCGGGTGGTGCATGGCGGTTAGCTGTACTGGAGGGACCCCATGATCCGCGGCAGTGGTCCGTAGCTGCTTTCCTTCATCTCTCCACCTGCCTGCCGTCATTGTCGCCTCTGCATCCACCGAGCACCTACCTGTATGTGCGCCTGCCCGTTGCCTGCCTGCCAGCACCCCTCTGTGCCCGCCCGGATGCCTTATACCTGTATGTATGTTGTTACAGGGTGGTTAACTTCGCCAGCTGACCCCTTTCCCGGGGCAGTCCCTGCTCTCCCCTGCTAGAGGGGCACCCTAATCCGTCACCTCATCCGACTTCAGAGTGTACTCTTTGAGTTTGGCAACTTACCACCGGCATCCAACCAAATCCAGCGGATCAACGGCGCGTCAACTTAGTTCCTGATCAGTTCGCAAGTTGATTTTATCACGTCCACACCGTCCACAAGATGGGGGGCCACCCCCCATTTCATCACCTCTCAAACACCCCGAGTGGTCGACAGGCGGATTTGAACCCGGACGCGCCGGACGCGCCGGGAGCAGAAGCCAGGCCTTAACCTCTGCCAGCCGCCTGCCTAATACCTGTGTGTATGTATGTCGTCGGTCTTTTTTGTGTCCTGCTGTTGTTGCCTGGTTTTACCCAACCGGCCTTTCCTCTGTTTCCCACTATTGCAGGGGCTCCTGCAGGAAACGCCAGTACGTGCTCCTCAATCACCTTCGCCACCAATCACACCCCCAACCAAGCCCATACCGAAGCCCGCAGAGGCCAGCCTCGTCCACGACCCCACAACCGCCGCTGCAGCCGCTGGGCCTTCCCTCCCTACCTCCTACGCGGTGTCGACCAACGGCCCGTGGAACGGTGCATCCGATCCCACAGCCTTCTCCGCCCCAGCCCCGGTGACCGCATCCAAGCATCGCACTGGTAGCTTCGGCTGCTGCGTATATAGCGGTCCCCCAGAAAGCGATGCTGGTCTGCTGTCTGCTGATGCCGCCGATCCCGTAACAACACCGCCTCAAGTCCTGTCGCCCTTCGCCTCCACGAGGAACTACACCTCCTTCAATGTGGCCCAGGATGAAATGTGCTTGCCGCCCATCACCGACCAGAACGCCAACGGGGACGCACGTTGCGCTGGCAATGACGGCTGCAGCGGCGTCTCTATCTCCCTCACAAATACACGCGACAATTGCGTGGCCATGGGCCACCGCTACCGTAAGCTGGGGCTATGGAGGACGTTCGGTCTGATGTTGGCCGCGCTGTGGGGCTGGGCGGTGAGCATCGCCAAGGCACCTCGGCACTTATACCAGCAGTGCAAGGAGGACCCCGTTTTCGCGACTTTTGTGGCGACATGCATTGACAAATGGTGCTGCATCATCAGCATCATTCTGTATACGGTTGCCATTTCCGTGCTGCTCGTGATTGAAGTACGGGTGGGCGACCATAAGATGATGCTGGGGGATGCGCCGGGCAACATGTGAGTTCAAGTGGAGGCTGCGGCAAGGATGGCGGGAGGTATGAGAGGAGGAGGAGGAGGAGGAGGAGGAGGAGCAGGAGGAGGAGGAGGAGGAGGCAGCAAAGCAAAGGTAGCGCATGAAGAAGCACGCAGCGGGATGGATGCTCAAAGGTGCAAAGCATATGGAGAGGAAAAAATGGGAAGACGAGGGGAAAGGCTAGATTGACGAGGACGGCAAGACAAGCGGGAAGTGCGGTTTGTGTCTTCATAGTTTTTGGCTTTCGCTGAAAGTACCCCGGGGCGTGTATGCCCTGCTCGTCTAAGATTCTGGAACTCCTTGCTTCAGCTCACGAGCGCGGTTCGTGCCCGTGCTTTACCTTTGTTCTCTTCCCAATACACGATCAAGGTAGGTCAATCAGATGTAAGATGGTAGATCAGTGGCAACCCTTGGCATTCCCGCGAATACTCTTTGTCTGGTCTTACATCAGGAACATGATTGATCAAGATGATTCGCGGCTTGCGGGCAAGAAAAGTGACATCACAATCTGCAGCTGTCAGGTGTCGCCTTACTCTCACAATCATAGCATTAATCCATAGCTGCTTAAATGCGCCTAGGTTTCATGCGTGCACGTGTAGCGTGATTAGGAGCACTCGATGTGTAGTCGAGGGCACATTTTGAGGAAGGTGGACAGGCTGGGGCGAGAAAACGGCATTATCCAGGGGGGTGGCAAATTCAAAATTCGGTATTGCGCAAATATACGTACACGTGTACATGTGGTTAAGCTTTGTTGCTTAGATAGTGCTTTTGCGTTCGCAGGAGTGTACTGCCTATATGAAGAAGCTTTTTTGCCATCCTTTTTGTGCGTATAAAGCGTATGCTCTACTGGGGCTGGGCTGCTACCCAGCAGCACGCAACGTGTCGTAGCAGAGGCTGGCCTTAATAGTGCGACTTGTGTTGCAAGCCTTACGTGAATAGCTACATGCTTTGCTTTTTATTTCTGCTATGCGTGTGCGCGCACATGCCATGTATATGGGCCCGGCGTCCTCGTTACCTGGAGACGAGGAGCACCGTTCGACGTAAGGAGAGTCCCGAATATCGTAGTGCACCTACGCATGTTGCTAATGAATGTTATTATATACTGATCATTTGTTTCACGTCTTGCTTGCCGGTGGCAGCTGGCGATGTTTTGGCGGTTACTCGGTGAAGCGCGGTCTGGGGATGTTGTGTACTGTATTTTAGTTCGATTGCCGGAACCTAAACACATGCACTTGTGTCACCGCGTAAGACCAACCATCTTTGTCATCGTTTAGCATAATAGTTATTAAGCGGATCGGAGCGTTATAAAGCTAAAGTTCTCTGTGAATTTAGAGTAGATTACGTACGACATTGTGGCATGCCTGTTGTTGTGTCGCTGTGAGCGACGATGCTGGTTGATTGGGTTTTTGTTGCGTAGAGAGACCTCGGTGGTAAGTTCGCAAACTCTACTTATCCTATTTACACTTTCAGGATAATATTTCTCTAAGAGTAAATGCTCTTTAGGAAAATAATGCCCTTTAGAAAAAAATTGCGTTTGCCGCTTATGTGCACTCCTGGCACAAAAGCACTACGTAGGTGACTCTGCAACTTGACCAGAGCACGGCCCGTGCTCGGGCCGAAACGCAGACTCTGCAAAATTGATTTCAGTGTTTTCGGCAAAAATGTTCAGTAACACCGGAAAGGCGGAAATTAGTTATCGATGTTTTCGGCAAGCGCCGTACGCTGAATCTGTTTTCAAAGCGTACGCATGTTCTTTCAGCCTTCATAACTTTATATAATGTCAGAATAAATTTAGTACTTAGTGGGGACCAAGGCATCATGGCTCTAACCGAGTCAAAAACAAGTGTGAGAGGCCCCAGGACAGAACCGTTTGGGTTCACTTCAATAAGTAGTTAACGGAGGCTTCGTGATTTTCGCAGGATGGTCAAAGATGGCAACCTGTTTTGCAGCCGCTACAGGTTCGGCGGGAGGGTGAGCACTGAGCACGGGCATCAGTACGGCTATGGAAGCTTCCCCTTAAGGGGCCCAACTACCGCGTAATGGAGCAGCAGTGATACGAATCTGCCACGATCCAAACAAAACGTGCCCTCCGACAACCATAATAGTATCGTTTAAGCTGCGAGCAGCAAGCGATCACGCTATTCGTCGTATCTGGCACAGTCCAGACTGTAAAATGAAGACGCATTCCAACGCTGCAATGGCGCCCACCCCACTCTTTGAGCCCCGATTTGGAAGCTCTCGAAGCATAGCAGCTGGAGACGATGTCGCAGTTGGCTACCGCAAGGTTGACCGGCCGCAACTTCCACCCAGCAGGCTGATGCCGCTACAGATGCCTCTGTTCCTGCTGCTGCTGCTGCTCTCCTCACGACTTCCGGAAACCCGAGCGCAACGGCCCTACCCGCTGATGGGCGCCGACGGGCCCCTGCCAACTAACATCACAAACGGCACAATCCCGCACTCCGACATCAGCGCCACGGTTCTGCTAGAACGCGTGGTCAAGCTTCTGGAGCGCGAGAACGCCTACGAGGTAAAGCCCCTGGTAGTGAAACGGGTGCGGGAGTTGAATGTCGAAATGCACGAAGCTCCACATGTGGATGATTTGATTTTCCTAAAGTGCTGTCTGTAGTAGGAAACCATTACATACGTCCTGAAAATGGCACGTTGGGCTCTCCGTGCCATGCGCATCTCTCAGGCGGTATGGTGGCTGGTGCTGTCGTGGACGGATTTCAACGCGGGGAGGGTCGTACAGGCGTCCACAGCCGCCACTGCGGGCGCAGCTGCCACGTCAATCTCCACGAACTGCTCCCGCTACTGCGACAGCGGCGGCCTGGCTTCCATGGGCTGCTGCGACGGCATCTGGCTGCCGCACATTGAAATGCTGAACATCCTGCAGTACTTTGAAGTGAGTGATTACTGACGGGCTTGCTCCGGAACCAGCATGTTACCTCCGCAACCGTCACAATGCCGACCATGGGGGCCAACATCGCCAACGGCACCAGTCGCTCTTAGTCCATACGCCATACACGTACTTGCTGAGCCACACACACCACAACAACTCTCATCTAATCCTCTCCCTTTGTCAAGTTGCACCGCTCCTTGTCCTAATTCTCCTGCTAATGTTACTTACTGTTATACTTGTGTTTCGATTTTCCGTGGACTCCTACGACCCTAACCCTACACCCTATGGCCCTGATCCGCTCAGGACCAGCTCCCTCGCTACCGCATCAATGCAAACCCCAACACGGGAATCGTCACCTGGTCGACTCGTCTCGTGGGCAAATGGTGCGTGTGTGTATGGGTTTATGCGTGTGCGCGACATCCCTCGCTCCCTTTCTTTTGCTCGAACATCCCCTCCTCGCCCTCTCCCCTTCTCTCAGTATATGTAAGGAGTAGATTCCCTTGAAGTGTATGAAGGTATGAATCCCTTTCTTTTCGGCCATGGGATAAAGGAATGGATTTACGTCCAGCCGCACAAATTCATTCCTTGGGGCAGGTTTGGCCGGAATGTCTCCGCCATCCCCCTCCTGCCATAACGCCTTCCCATATGTGGGGGTATGGAATGGATAGTCCTTGAAAGACCCCTAACAAAAGCCAACAGGACATCATAGCTTTCCTGACAAGGCCAGACACGGTGAAGTGCGCCAAAGAGTCTATTTATCGCAGGGAACCACCAAAGGATCATGCCCCGGCTTTGCAAATTGGTTTGTCATTTACCGGGGGATTTAGGGGCCCCGAAGGAGGTGCCTCAGCGCCTCACGGTTAAGAATGTCTTACCAGCCTAACTCTAAAAGATATTTCCTTGGTTTGTATTAAATTTAATTTCCCGTAAACGCCTTCTCCTTCTTTTCCTCGGCTACTTCCTCAACCGCCTCCCTGCCGGGCATCTGTCCTCCGCTCTCTTCACTCCCCTTGTCGATTGCATCCCCTCCCTGTCCTCCTCTCCCCCAACCCCCGGCCAGCGGCCACATTCCCTCTCCCCACAATCGCCACTTCTACCTAACTGCCTCCCCGCGCTGCCCCGGGGGCCCCCTCCAGGTACACGCCCCTGGACTTCCGCGCATACCCCTTCGAGCACCAGCACCTGCTGTTCGAGTTCGCGCTGGCGGACAGTCAGTCGACCGTGGCCGGCCTGCTCTGGGACCACGTGGCGCAGCTGAACAACACCGCACACACGAAAGGTGGGTTGGGGGGTTGGGGAGTTGGTACACCCTGAGCTCTTGTGCGATAACACCACGCTCCCGCTGATCCGTGGATCCTAAATAGGACATGATCTCGCCGGCTGGCGAATCCTCTGGAGCAAGGCCAAGGTGTACGACAGTCATCCGTGCTACGTGGATTATAATGTAACTGCACCTTGGTGGGTCCCACCTGGGTGTCTGTGTGTATGTCTGTGTAGACGTTGGTGCATTCAGTCTCTGTCGGGGTCAATGACACGGCAAAAGAGTATTTATGCTTACGGTGGAGCCATGTGAGGGGCGAGTGTGGGAAATTTTCGAAGTCGTTGTCCTGTCTTCATCTTTTTGCTTCTCTTTTTCCTGCGCAATGGTCAAAAAATAATGAACCAGGACGCTCGTGGGATTGCGGAAACAGGCTGACGAGCTCAGCTCAGCAGCCTTAGCACTTGGGGTTTTCGTAACTGTGCTTGTGACATCGATATCGATGGGGCTACATGCTTGATTGTCGTACGCAGGTACGACGTCTCGTCCACAGCGCCCTTCAGCAACGCATCCGGCAGCGAGCAGGTTGCGGGCTACCAGGCCATTGCCATCCACGACCGCTACTTCGCCAACAACACCGCGCGGGGTACCACCAAGCCGAAGCATTGCGGGCTTTTCAAGAAATACGACGAGTCCCGCGCCCTTTACGGGCCTGTCGTACTAGTGGCTGACATCATGGCACGTATTTCCGGGGGGAGGGAAAGGCGTTTACAGGGGGGGGCGTCTTTACATGGGCCTGTTTACAAAACCAACGAACGCGTCCTGACCGTTCCTGATTAGGCAGCGAGGGCTTGTCACTGCAGCACCGCTTTACCTGTGCCGCTACCTGGTGAACGCGCACACCGCTTACTGCCGTTCTCTTCCCCGTTCCTCCCTTCTTCCGAATCTCCTGACCCTCCACCCGTCCCCTCCACCTACAGGTCAAGCGTGTGTCATCCTACTACGTTCTGACCAACCTCCTTCCCATTGTGCTCATCACGGTGATCACCTTCGTGGTGTTCTTCATGCCGCAAAAAGCGCTGGGAGAGCGAATGGGTGCGTGCGGGAGAGCGAATGGGTGCGTGCGGGAGAGCGAATCAGCAAGGGAGTCAGTAAGTGTAAGGAGCGCATGCACCAACCTTGCACCGCCTACTTTGCACCTTGCACCACCTACTACTCCATGCCGCAAGAGGGTTGCTGAACTGGTGAACATGCCTCCCAGTTGGCAAGCGCGCAGGCCCCCTTTCCTATCAGCAACTACGGTCCCCCTTTTAAGAAATTTCTCGTGACATTCTTCTGATAAATGTTGCTGTTGTGTTGGCTCCCTTGCCGGGCTGGTCCCCTCCACAGGTGTCGTGCTGACGATGTTCCTGTCCCTGACGGCCATGCAATTCGTGTGTGACTTCCCGCCGGCCAACTACATCAACGCGCTTCAGATGGTGGGTTCAATGATACTAGGGTGATGCCGCACGTAGTGGTACATAGCATCGATGTTCACGGTGTCATGCATGAGGGCATGAAGGCAACACCACGTCCTCCTGTCCTCCGTCCTTAGCATTAGGCGTGTAATAAGGCGTAATTAAACTCGCAGTAGTCAATCTGGTCCAATGAGAGACCCTGCTTGCACCATGCTGCTGCTATCGTTGCCGTTGAAATAGTCACGTTACCTCTTACCGTCTGGGGCACCTCCCCCATGAAAGGGACCCCATGTGTCCTTCGTTGGCATCCGTGGATATACCATCAGATCGACCATGTTCCTTCCTCACTCCATCTGACGCTTCATCCTCCCCCCGGGTCCAGACCTCCCTCGTCGTACTCCCACTTAAGGCTTGCTTTGCGATCCCTTCGCCCTGAGCAGGTGGTAATTGTTAGCTATATCATAATCGCGCTGGCCTGCATTGAGAGCCTCATTGTAAACCGAATCGCCACGGTTTCGGAGTGTGAAAGCATGAAGAAGACCTTTGTACAGAAGTACGGCGCCCTTTTAGCCAGGTACGGTGCTGGGGGATGCACGAAACGAGCACACCAACACCTAGAGTGGGACGGAGGGTGAAAGGTCCCTGCGGAGGGACGGGTACTGTAGGTACTGAGGCTGCTGTGCACGAATGCAGTATGTTTTCCATAGATATAGAATGGAAGATGGAAGCTGCATGGGAGTTCGAGTGGCGGCTGCGGGTGTGGTGGCAATGCTTGCAGTTGCATGGGCGTTCTTGCCGATTGTAAGCGCTAAGCTTCCCCAAACGCTGCAATCGTGCAGAGATGCAATGTTGTGCATGTCACCCATCTCCTCTCATGCACCCTCTACGAGTGAATGTTTTAGCAAGCCCCTGATCCTCCTTTTACCATACCTCATACCTCGTTCACCAGTGGAGACATTACGTGCAATGCAACATCACCCAGATAGATTTGGTTGCTTCTGGCGATGAGCCCTAGGGAAGGCCCAGGACACAGGGAATAGTACTTCGCTCTTTCCCTCCTCCTTCACGCATCTCTTTCGCACGCAGGAGACGCCACCCTGGGTCACGCCTTGGCTCCGTCGCCAGGTCGTACGGCAAGGGCGGATCTGCCAACGTCGGTCACCGTGGCGGCCAGATGGTGCGCGCGCCATCGTTGCTATCGCAGCTCGGGAGCAAGGGACGTTCGGCGGCGGCGGCGGCGGCGACGGGAGCAGCAACAGGGTTGGGGCAAGCGGGATATACGAATGGAAGCACTGCAAGTAGCCCTCGGGTGGAGTTTCCCGTCGTTGGGAGCCAGGTAGGGGCGATTATAGGGGTTGGCGGGTGGTGCATGGCGGGTGGTGCATGGCGGGTGGTGCATGGCGGGTGGTGCATGGCGGGTGGTGCATGGCGGGTGGTGCATGGCGGGTGGTGCATGGCGGGTGGTGCATGGCGGGTGGTGCATGGCGGGTGGTGCATGGCGGGTGGTGCATGGCGGGTGGTGCATGGCGGGTGGTGCATGGCGGGTGGTGCATGGCGGGTGGTGCATGGCGGGTGGTGCATGGCGGGTGGTGCATGGCGGGTGGTGCATGGCGGGTGGTGCATGGCGGGTGGTGCATGGCGGGTAGCTGCACTGGAGGGGCCCCGTGATCCGCGGCAGCGGTCCGTAGCTGCTTTCCTTCATCTCTCCACATGCCTGCCGTCATTGTCGCCTCTGCATCCACCGAGCACCTACCTGTATGTGCGCCTGCCCGTTGTCTGCCTGCCAGCACCCCTCTGTGCCCGCCCGGATGCCTGTCCTGTATGTATGTGTGTCTTCGGTCTTTTTTGTTTCCACCTCTTGTTTGCCTGGTTTTACCCTACCGGCCTTTCCTCTGTTACCCACTATTGCAGGGGCCCCTGCAGGAAACGCCAGTACCTGCTCCTCAATCACCTTCGCCACCAAAGACACCCCCAGCCAAGCCCATACCGAAGCCCGCTGGGGCTTCCCTCCCTACCTCCTACGCGGTGTCGACCAACGGCCCGTGGAACGGTGCATCCGATCCCACAGTCTTCTCCGCCCCAGCCCCGGTGACCGCATCCAAGCATCGCACTGGTCGCTTCGGCTGCTGCGTGTATAGCGGTCCCCCAGAAAGCGATGCTGGTCTGCTGTCTGCTGATGCCGCCGATCCCGTAACAACAACACCTCAAGTCCTGTCGCCTTTCGCCTCCACGAGGAAGTACACCTCCTTTAATGCGGCTCAGGATGAAATGTGCTTGCCGCCCATTACCGACCAGAACGCCAACGGGGAAGCACCCTGCGCCGGCCGTGTTGGCATCTTCCTCTCGCACATGAGTATGCGTGATAGCTATGTCGCCAAAGGTCATTGCCACCGTAAGCTGGGGCTATGGAGGACGTTCGGTCTGATGTTGGCCGCGCTGTGGGGCTGGGCGGTGAGCATCGCCAAGGCACCGCGGCCCTTATACCAGCAGTGCAAGGAGGACTCTAAATTCGCGTTGTTTGCGGCGACCCGCATTGACAAATGGTTCAGCATCATCAGCATCACTCTGTATACGGTTGCCATTTCCGTGCTGCTCGTGATTGAAGTACGGGTGGGCGACCATAAGATGATGCTGGGGGATGCGCCGGGCAACATGTGAGTTCAAGTGGAGGCTGCGGCAAGGATGGAGGGAGGTATGAGAGGAGGAGGAGGATGCAAGGCAGAGGAGGGTAGCGCAGGAAGAAGCACGCAGCAAGGAGGGGGGGAGGAGGGGTATAGCGCGCGAAGACGTAAGCAGTGGGATGGACTAGGGGGACTTGTGGGAACGAATTCTGGTGAGGAAGTTTTGGGATGGTGAGGGTCAAGGATCAAAGTAACGATGACGGAATGAACGAGTTTCGACTTTCGTTGCAGGCGGTTGTATAATGCTCGGTAAAGTAAAGTAAAGCAAAGCAAAATTGCTGTAATATACAGCTGCGTAAATGCGTAGACGTTTGATGTATACATAAAACGGTCGGTAACCGACCGGTTAGCTATTAAGTTATTGCGACGACGACGCGCCAATTATGTCGCTGCTGGGCCGCTGAGGTTTCGATGTTGAAGAGATAATCATACGGTGCACTTGCGGAAATGTATGGTGATGGCTGGTTGCGCCTATGTACGCGGCTGCGCGGGGATTTGAAGTACGCGGTATTTGCTTATGCAGTTCGTTCCTGGTCTTCCATTTTTACTTTGAGAAGCCACTTGCAAACAGCATAGGAATTAACCTCAGGTTCTAGTGTACAAATGCTGGAGTCATTGAAGTGATGCCGAGCTGATGCCTCCCAAAATGCGCACTTCCCGTGAGAAGGCGCTGCCGGAAAGTGATCTCAGGCTAGAACATTATTGTTATGGATGCGGTGGAGGTCTCTAGATGGCGTAGAGGCGCGGATGTGCCAGGCATGGACCGCGGAGGGCGCGCCATTGTGGACTTTGATCGCCTCAAAAACCGTAAGGACCGTAAATTTGGCGCTGAAGCTACCGTCATTACGCTTACACCGTCTGTAATTTACAGCCATTTGGGCGGCTTGACCGTAATAACGGTACCGTAATTACGGAAAACCATCAGACCGTAATACCGTAATTCCCAGCCGGTCGCTTCGGTAGGGTAACCGACATGACGAGATAAACGACCCGGTAACCGACACCGCCGGGAAGCACGACAATGGCAGTGCAGCGGCAATGCAACGTTGGGGGCATGTCGGTGCACGCATGGGTGCTTCCTAAACAGCAGTAGCAGCGGTGGAGGTGGAGGTGGCGGTCGGGGGAAGGAACAGGGGACAGAGAGGAGGGCAGACCCAGCCCAAGGCCAGAAATATGCCGGAGTTAGGGTATATGGTGGTTCTTTTTGCTCGTGGTTTCTCACGACTTGGTGGTTCGCTGCAGGTTCGCACGCGGAGTGCACACATCCAGGCCCTCGTCTGCTGCCTTTAAACCTATCCATATAGCATGGCACAGTGGCTCCGGGCACGGCCGATAGGTGTACGGATTGCGTGCTGAACAGTGCACTACTTTCTTTATTTTGCTTTGGGAAAATCACCTTTCTGGAACCTTTACCTTTGCTAAGTGAGTTATTAGTTAAAAGATGGGCGGAAAGGAGTAGTAGTATTTACAGTGGAGCCTGACTCAAGAACAGCTGTTCGGAACAGCTCGTGCGTGTGCAACACGCCCTAACAAGGGCCAACAGCACAGCACTGTGGGCCTTACACTGTCAAGCATACTAGCTTGCCTCCTTGGCGAAATAGTCTCAGTGAACACACAGTTGACGCCAGAAAACGACATAATACAACATAGTTGCTGGTGTCGGAAAAGAGACGTTTTGGAACCTGCTTGTGCGCAAAAAAATTAACAGCGTTTCCATCTTCTTGCAATCAATATTGAAGCTAAGTAAGGTACATACCTTAGGATGGCCAAACAAACCTGCTTTCTGAATGCATCTCATCGAAACGCTTGTAACCTGTTGAAATGAAACAGGTTTGTCGCGATGAATCCTTTTGCGTGACGGGATGTCCAACCCTGTAGCGTCATCCAAGCTATAAATTTCTCCTTCGTAAATTTCATCCTTAGTTTCTGATCTATGGTCGCGAACCTCACGTCAGATGTGCATTGTACGTAACCCGTAGATTCCACTGCGGCTCCGCTCCATCCCTTCCAAGAGCACACCGTTTGCACACAGCCCTTACGTGGCCTGGCCATTTCCTGACGTGCCTCTTTCGTGTTCGCTACAAGTGGCGCCGAATGCCATCGCCACAGCTGTTTTCACGAACCTACCCTTCTGCGACATGGCGCATTCGTCCTCACTCTTGCTGGCTGATGGCCAATAAGGATACACACGCTTGGCGGAGCCCCTCACCATCGTGGCCCCCGGTCGCAGGCCGTGCCCAGGTCTCCGCATAAAAGTGTTAGACAGAGAGATGACTTTGCTTAGGGCTGACTTGGCCGTGATAAGGGAACCCGTTGACACCTCTTCCGGACTTTGCTGCCGCATACTGTGGAACCCTGAAACCCTAAGGTAACACACCACCGGCCTCATGCAACTTCCTCGTCATGTGCGTCTACGCGCGCGCGGGCATGTTTAGTAGCACACTGGTGGACCGCAAGAACAGGGCAAGGCAGGTGCTAAGGGCAGGTGGGAAGGGCAGGTGCTAAGGGCGCGTGTGTGTGTTGTGTGTGTGTTGTGTGTGTGTTCTTATATGTGTTCTTATGTGTGTTCTTATGTGTGTGTGCGCGCGCGTGATGTGTGCCAACTGGGTTGCCTTTGAGCGCAAGCGATTCCCCACTTGGGTCACGAACCCAACGACGCATCACTTTCCCGGTACACACACCAACGGATGTTGCTGCATGAGCCGACCCTTCCCATAGCCACGTCCTCTAGCTCATAGCAAAGCCAACCTGCGCGGCAGCGCTTCTCAGCCCCCATGCAAATAGATGCGCGCACGGCATAGCTAGGTGCATGCACGGTGCACGCATGCACAGCATAGCTGCATGCACGGAAGGTAAGTTACGGCAATAACTTTAATGGCTAGAGCAGGTACGGCAAGGACCAATGATGGGGCCAGAGACGAGCAGGCCACAGGCGTGAGAAATGCAAAATGTGTGATAATGTGCGAAGGGCGGTGTGCTTCACAGCTCAAAGCTTTCGACATCCATTCCCGATCGGCGGCACCGCAAGCAGACGCCGCTCTTGGAGCACCCCAAATTTGATCGGATCTTGCCCTAAGGAACACGAAAGGCAGGCGTTATTAGGTTTGGTAGGTATTTCCGGTGAAAACGCGGCGAGCGTGCATGGCGCGTCTGCTAGGTGTTTCCGGCTGGTGACGGGAAACACCTAGCACCACACACTTGACTGCTCTTTCACCCGTAATATCCTCTGATGGGATTGTATCATGCAGTGATATAAATAGGGCTCAAAACTTTCTTAGGGATAACTGGGGCCGTTGTAAAATTATCAGGAGCATGGACTCAAGGCTCCGAAGGAGTTCAGACCACACCTGACGGAATACTCGCATGCCTAAAGGTCGCACTTATTGGATGCATCTTGGCCTGGAATGCCGACTGACCTCAGCTGTTCGTCGAAAAGGGTTGGGATGAGACGGAACACTAACGGATCAAGGGGGCTGCCGGGGGTCCCATGGTGTCAAGGAACAGCCTTTTCGGGCAGAGGTGGCAGGTAGAATATTTTGATTTATGGCGGTTGAGAGTGGTCCTCACAAGCTCTTGTTTCATGCGGAACATCTCAAGGCCCCACAAAACAGACATGAGAGTACTGCACACATGCTTTCAATAACATCTGGTGGTTTCATTTAAAGTCATCATCTGGCTTCCTTCCCGTAGCAGAATGGTGCAAGCCCTAAGGCGGCATTTGTTTGATGGTCGTTGCAGTACGAATTGCTGACCGTTCCATGTGATACTGGGGCTTTACCGGCAAGGGCCACGCCTTGCAGTACACACAAAACTACTTTAGGTTAACTCATTTTGGCCAGACAATGGGCATGTGCAAATCCTGAATGTCATTGAGGCTTTTGGGATGCCGAGGATTAATGGAGACCTGGAGGAGAGCTATTGCAGAGAGATATTAAGTTCGTTTAACTGATATAAATATTGATACGTCGTCCAATCGGATGAGGCTTCGAACTGGACTGACCATGTTGGTACCACGCGCAAACTGAAAACCTTTTGGCTCTTCAGCCTATGATACAGACGCATAGCGTTTCGGATAGAATAAAACACCATGCAAAATGGGCTTAGGCAGGCAGACGTTTCCTTTTACCGATACATGGTTATAGGGCCTGGATTGTTTTGGAGCAGCTGGCTCGAAGATTGACTCTAACAAGGACCAGGCACTATCGGCAGCTCGCTTTGGCACTGAGGTGGCTCGAAGCTTTCGGCGCTGCGGGCCGGCGGAAGTCGACTGTAACATAACAGCAGTACCTGAGCCACCATGAGCGAACATCTCAGCCGAAGCAGCAGCTTCTCCAGCGTTGGCAGCGGAGCTAACTCTGTGGCGAGCGATGCCCGGTCCATGTAAGCTAGAGTAGCTGGGGAGCGTACGGCCGCTGTCCCTGTACCGACAACCCTGAAACTTGCTTTCCTAGCAAGTCATCTCAGGCCAGACGACATGCAGAGTTGAAAATTTGACGTTAAGCTAAATTTCGACGCGTATGCTGTGAGGTCTTACATCAGCTGGTCCATAACCATGATTGCAGGGCTGGTGGTGGCGGAGGGGATGTTGGTGCAAATGACCTCCTTGAACAAAATCAGACAGTGCAGGCGGCCGTCTTCGGCGTGCTCTACACCTTGGCGAAGGAGAAACTGGATAGGTCAAAGCGGTTTGCCGTGGCAAGGCTCGCGCTCGACTTCTTGCAGTGTTTTATCCTCATTGTCAACCCCGCATATGGTAAGCATCCTCTCCCCATACTCCAGACTGACCTGTTTCCTGTGCTGAAGCCTTGAAGCCTTGTGTTCCAGGCTGGTCTATCGACACTGGCGCGTGGTACTGGAAAGCCGTGAAATGGGTTCACTTCAGCAACCCTATCGTATCCAAGGTGCGGCCTTCTCCGGAATTAGAAAAACATTCCACGGCGAAAAGGGCCTTTGAGCCGCATGCCGCAAGCACCTCCGGGCAGCGGCCCTGGAGCCCATGGTTAGTATGGTTGGACTGTGCTGCATGCGAAAAAGCGCCGATGTGCCGCTTGGACCTGTTTCCCCCGCGTTTCACACGCGCACAGAAGCGGCACGCGCCAGTACACCTGATTTAAAATCCTTTTGTGGCCGTCGTTACAACTCCTGCGCCCTGATCCCCTGCGGCGCGGCGCCCGCTGCCCTCTCCAAAACTGCGCAGGGTTACCATTTCTTCGTCAGTATCCTTTACTCCCTGGCTGCAGCTTTGGCAGTCAGCGTCGTTTTGTGCGTATGGGTCGGGTGGTGCTTTAAAAACGACCGCTTTCCTTACGTCTGGTGAGTACATATATGCCGAAGTGCATGGCTGTGCATGTAGCGCGAAGCTGAGGAAGACCAGCCGGAAACCAGGTGTCACAGCTATAAGCTCAGACAGAAACGCAGGAGAGCGCTACAACATGGGTGCTCCATGCAGGGGATGGGCAAACGGGCAACAGGGAAGCATCGGGGCCCGGACAGGACCGAAATTTGAATGACCCAGATGAGTTTCGATCTTGCATCATGTACACATCGCTTTACGAGACCTCCGAGGAAAGGCCCCCAAAGGGCTGCTGTGCTGACACCATCTGGGCCAAGTTTTACGGAACGAATGCCGCCACGCAACTGATGAAAACACACCGCTAGGATTCACCCCCGCGTCTTGAGGTCCTTCCTGACCGAGGAGAGAGGGACGATTCAGTGCATTTTCTTCTGTAATGCCGTCGTGTAATATAGAAATACAAGCAGTGCAAGATCTGCTGTGTAAGCGCGACTCCTTGATGACATCTCGCCGTCAACTTTTTTCGACCACCCTAGCAGCCCAGGACACCTGGCCCCACCGCAGTATCCGAACAGAACAAGACGCGCCAGCAGCAGCTCCCACACAACCCACAACCCGCAACCGACCGCCGCCCGTTGGCCTAAAACCCTAAAAGCCGCTAGCAACAGCCCAAGCGAACTATCATCCCCCAGCTACAACCCTGTTGGACTTGCTGTAGTGCCCGGTTGGGCTACTACTATAACGTCCGCCGCTTCGCGGCAGGCGACCGCGCGCAATGGCAGCGATTCGATTCGATGCGATACGTGGAGATAAAGGGATACGGCATTCGTAGCCATTTTAGCCAAAATGCATACAGAAAAGCCCGGTGCTTATGGGGGGTTATGTGGGTGGGTGAGTGAGTGGGTGGAGTCGAGCGGCCGCTGACTCGGCAGGGAGGCAGCGAGCCTCCCCGCAGGTCAAAGAGGATCGAATGTCAGTTTAATCAGTTTAAACACGCCATGCATGCGTATCTGCCGTGTTACTCACGCCGCCTCCTTTGCAAGTTCGCACACCAAGCACTACATGGCAGTGTGTGTCGTTACATCGAAAGACAGCGTCGTATGCTTACCTGCTTATGCCTTAATACGTGTGATGATAAGTCTTGCGTGTGATGTCGTCACAACTGGTTCCCTCGTCTGTCCTAGTAGAATTTTGCCGTGCCGTGTAATTGAATGCTAACAGATTTTGTGTTTTTTCGGGTCTAAGAAAACACCTTTGATTTCCGCAGGCCCATAAAGATGCTTCGCATCGTGGTCGCGACGTTCTTCGTGGTCTTTTATGTGGGCTCTCTCGCCATCTTTATGGTGGCGTTGAGCTGCCGCTGGTTCGACCCAGATCACAACAAACGATTTCACCTTCGCGCCTTTCCCGAAGTTGGTGAGCACTGCTAAATGCTGAGTATGTAATTGTGTTGGGAAGGGCGCGTTGGAGGGGAGTGTTAGAATGACGGTGAGTTAGCAGCGTGTAATGACCTGCAGCACTGGGCGAGTTGCGGCCGGTAGCGGAAAACGCTGAAGCCGCAAGCGCCATGCCAATGCCACAACATGCTACAACATGCTACAGTCCGTGTACGGTAACAACTGGGAAAAGGGTTGTGGAAAAGTCCCCTGGCGATCGATAGGTTGGGGGTGTGGCGGGGGAAGAGGAGGCTTTCGGCTTTACGGGTTTTGGTGTCGTGCAGCTCAGACATTCGCCGTCTTGAATGAGCGACGGCTCAGGGCTACGTGGGCGCAAGCCAGTACGGGTCCATTGGGTTTCAATACGGGTCAGGCTACGTGGGCGCAAGCCAGTACGGGTCCATTGGGCTTCAGAAGCGAGATACGACAGGCAGGCATTGCCGCAGCACCCGGGGAAAACAGCACAGGTTTGAACAGGTTCGAGCGTTCCTGGCACCATCCAAAGCCGCAGTGTGTAAAGCACAGCCCTTGCCGGTGCCAACCGTCCTGTCAGCATGCGGCTCTCTTGCGCCGCTCCCGCAGTCTGGCGCCCACTTTGGGCTGGGCTAGGTCTGGCCATGGCTGGTTTTAGAGAACAGTAAAAACCGCCAACTTGCGTCCCTTCCCTCTTTTTCCTTTCTCCACAGAGTGTCTGAGCATGCCCCATTTGGTACACGGCGCCGTGGCGCTGGGCTGCTCCGTCGTCTTTTGCTTCATAGCCTTTGCGATGACTGTGGCGGACTTTGAGATGAATCCCGCCAGCCGCCGGTGGCTGTCGGCACCGCACGCGAGGGTGGAGGTCCGGGGCCTAATGGTCAAAACCGTCATGACGGTCACGGTGGCGGTCTTGTCAGGCCTGATGCGTGTGCAGGCCGTTATCCTGAGCTCGTCGGCGGCGTTTCTTTTCTGGTCTTACGTGCGATGGGTGAGTGTCTGGAAACGGCGGCGCATTCGTCGTTCAGTGATTTTGAATGGGATGTGCGCGAAGATCGAATCGGGAAACTGGTGAATGGATTTGTGTGTGGTATTTTGGCGGTGACAGGGCATGGCGTTGCGAAGAATCAGCGCCGCAGCGGACGTGTGTCATACACAGTATGGGTTAAAGAATGGTTGTGCATGTGTGGGTGCATGAATGGGTTTAGGAATAAAGTCACAGCCAGGGAGGAATTGAATTGAATTGCAGCGGGGGCATGTGTACGAGGGTTGCATACGAGGGGTGGTTGGCGCGGAAAAAACGGCTTCTTCTGCCTCTCTCGGTCACGGCCTTGTGGCGCTGGTGCGGGGAACCACTGGTGTCATTTCCATGGGGTTGATGGGAAAACGCTGGGGCTCGGGTCCAATTTTTCCAAAAGGAACTTCTGGTCATTCCAGTGCATTCCTGGCATTGGCACTGACAGATGCCAGGGCTTGCAAACAGTTTAAGTAGACTGCTGTAAGGGCATCACTCACTCCACAGCGGCAAGCACTGGAAGCCGTAGGTGGTCATAATGATATGTTTGCATGCGCGGCGCGCTGGCCGGGTGATGACCACCGGGGTTTTTTAATGAAGAGCTTCTACGCACGAGAAGAGCAAAGCAGGGGTTTCGGGAGAGATTGGCTTGCCAGGGAACCGGCTCAAATGTGCGAATGCGTGCCATGTTGTGTGCTGGAGGATGGTCCGGGTTGATGAGGGCCTGGGCCGCGGGTAAGGCTGCGGTAGCTGAGTGCGCGGTCGGGGCGGCGTGTTACCGCGTTACCCAGGACCGTACATCCAAGTACCATGGGCAAGGGGCACAAATTCTGAACCGCGACATATGGTAGCCTGCGTATCGCTCCTGGTGATGAGTGCGTGCTGGGCCCTGTGGCCTTCCCACGACGCATATTAGAGAATCGCGCACGTGATGACGGGCCGCCGAGCATGCTTCGGGCTACCATTCCCGAGCGCCGCACTTTGGCTTTTGACGCTCGCCGTGCGATTTTTTACCCATGCATTTCTGCACGTTCCGTCATACATACCGAATGTCGCTCTGCTTCGCCTGCTGCTGTTTGTACTGTAGGAACCACACTTTATCGAATGGATCAACCATGTGCGAGCTGGGCTGTACGCCATGGTCAGCTGGGCTGGTTTGATGCTGCTGGCTATCACCTTCAGCCCGCATCGCCGCGATGAACACTACCAGTAAGCACAACACACATAAGGCATCGCGCACTGTGGGCCGCCGGGCCCTCGGTTTTGTTGCCCGCATTGGTTTTGCCCCCGTTGACCCTTGCATTTGCCCGCTTGCGTCCTCATGGCGCATCTGCCGACTGAGCCCACATGGGACTCTCGCAGCTTGTGATGTTGGCACTGGGCTGGAGCGGCGGTTATGAGCTGCCCGGTTTATCTTGCCGCTTCGCTATTCGTCGCCCTTGCCAATGGCATGGAGTTTTGAGGCAATGAGCTTTGCGGGTTCGGTGGGGGGGGGGGGAAAGAAGAGTCACCCGATGGGTATACCTCCCAGATTGGCGCCGGTGGCGCACCACTACTTCCTTAAGACCACAGCCAAATAAAAATTACAAGTTACAAGTTCCCCACAAGTGCGGAGATGTCCGTAAAAGCCGGGGGGCCATGGACGAAATTAAAGCACCTTGGAATGGTCATTTTCAATCGCAAAGGAAGCCGCACCATGCAACCCGAAATGATTACCGTCGCCCACACACCGCACCGACTGGCATCCCTTTTTCTGCTCGTGTACGACTCGGTTATATCCCGTACATCAGCTCACCCATGCGCCCAATATGTGCATGTGCATGTGCGTGTTGGAGCTTTTGCGTTGCGTACATGTACCCCGCCGCCCCCTTGCCGCCTGCACAACCCCGGAACGTATGTGTGCTCTGTCGTGGCGTCAGGTCCAAGCTGACCACCATCATGGTGGCCGGATTGTTGCCGGCGCTGGGAGCCGGCTTCCTTATCTCCTTCATCCGCCTGCGATTCAGCGTCAAGCACGCGATTCGGTCGTTCTGGTAAGGATGGACACCCCGGAGAAGGCAATGAAGCAAAGGGGGGCCCGGGGGGGAAGGCGCAGGGCACGTAGCTGCAATATCATCGAGCCGTCAGCGCATGTTGCCTATGCCTCTCGCGCCCGCCCCTGCCCTTAGTATTCTTCAACTGCGACATCACCAGAGGGTATTGGAAGAAATTGACGTCTATACAGTGCATGCGTGTGCATGGCATGCATTCCAGAGGCATGGAGCATCGCACGCCTGCTACTTCTAGCGCTTCTGGCACATTGGACGTGCGTCGCGTTGGTGCCGGAAAAGATCTGCCACGTGCGGAGTTTCGTCAGTGCATCGTTTTACAGCTGCTTGGCCTGTGCAGCTCCCATCGCGCCGCGTTACTGCGCCGCTCTGCCGCTGCTGCTGCCGCTGCTGCTGCTGCTGCTGCTGCTGCTGCCATAACTTCTCCGGGGTGTACCCCCTGCACGCGTTTACCCCTCCCCACCCCCCCCCGCACAGTCACATCGACCCGAACAAGTCCCGTCTGAAGGACATCTACCGCTTCACGGACGCCAGGGAGGTGGAGATTGTGTCGCGCGTGTGTCGCAAGTGGACAGAGGACGACGTGCTGGATTCGGATGCGGTGAAGCTGTCGGAGACCATCATCAAGGTGCGTGGTGTGGATCGCCACCTACTACTACCTACTCGCCTGTCGAGGAATTGAAATGACGCGTCTTTCCTGCACCGGGCTGCGAAGCATTAAGCGTTACGCCCTATTTGAAAATCATTGCTGAATCTTTGGGGGCGGCTCTTTAGTATGATCATGTTAGCTTGCTAGGGGCGTGTATATGCATCCCTGTCAATCCTTACGAGTACGCTTTGAGCACACATGTACACACATGTACACACAAACGCGCATGCCGTGGCGGGCAACCATGACCAGCCAAACAATATGTGATCCGCGGTGACGATGGTGGGAGCAGCGGCGCGGTGCAGCGATATATAGTGCTGGGATAATAGTGTGCTGCGGTAATAGTGCAGCTGATGTGGGTTGTGTAGCGGCTATGGGTCCTTACAGCGCAGCAGCAGCAGCAGCAGCCAATGGCGTCCCCCGCGGCGGTCGACTGCGCGGCATTCCCGTGTGGGAATGCTGCTCCATGCTGTTGGAAAGTGACCGACAGCACCTCATAAAATACAGTACCAGTGAAATGGTGACAGCACAGTAATAGGACCCGGGGGAGGGGGGTTCCGTGGTGCTTTGCCGAGTCTAAAACACATGCATGGGCAACATGTAGGCCTACATGTAGGCCAACATGTAGGCCAACATGCATTTCCTTGGAACACGTGCAGGTGGGGCGGGTGGGGCGCAAGGAGTCCTTGTGTTCACACATCATCATGCCCAGGGGGCTCCTGGGCACTGCATTATTATGGGAGGTGTTTGGGGGAAGGTGTGAACAAAACATCGCTCCGGACGCTCCGGTCACCTGCCGCCACAGCTGCCAAGCTGTGGCCTGAACCTGTACGCGGGTCTTGAGTGTTTCCCTTGCCTTTCCCCTCCCTCCATTCTGTGTGTGCTGTGCGTTACGCCGCGTCGTCGGCTCGTACAGGTCGGCCTGTCGCAGTTCCACGACGATGTGTTCCTGACCATCACGTACTCGAACTTCTTGATCGAGGTTCAGAACAACTACCAGTCTGGTGTGACGCAGCTGCAGCAAGCCAAGAAACTTGAGCCGTCCATCAGCGACCGCTTTGCCATTTTCGTGCGCGAGCAAGAGCACAAGCAAAAGGCGCAGAGCCAGAGCAGTGGAGAGAGCGCTGTGGATCTGGTGTCTTACGTTGAGTTCCAACGCAACTATCGGTACGTGTGCCGAACAGGTCGGGTCGGGTCGGGAGGGTCGGGTCGGGTCGGGAGGGGACGGAGTGCGTGGGAAAAAAATGGTAATTGCGGCTGATCGCAGCTGCCGGTGGACCAGGGAGGTTTGAAGCCGGAAAGGGGTGCAAAAGTTATTTATTTTTTGACAGGCAAGGCTGGCCTGCCGACACGACGTTTGGCACATGTGTTTGATCTGGCTTTGTATTTGTTCGGTTCTGGTTTGAGCGTTTGGCTCTGGTTTGTGTTTTCTTTACCTGGCTTGCGGTACAGCTTTAAGAGTATAGTCTCTTGTGTTACTTGCGGTTTTGCGTTCTTGTTTTCGGCACTGACCTTTCTCAGGCTGCTGCTGCGCGCACACAAGGGCGCGCTGTACGCGACGAGGCACTTTTGGAAGCAGCTGCTTCACCATGACGTCTCTTTCAATGCACTGGCGCGCGCTTTCCGCCAAATTGAGGTATCCAAGACCAAGGCCGACCGCACGTATAAGATGGTGCTTGACAGGTGGGGTTGGCGCGCGCGAGCCGGCGCGGAGGCAGGCTGGCTGCCGGATTGGGTCCCTGCACGAACGGACAACATTCGGCGCCAACCCGCGCCGGCTTCTTCATGTTATCTTTCTTCTTCCCCGTTGTCGCCTTCGCGTATTTGCTCCCCCTTGAATCTATTCTGCGTAGCCGTAGCCATACTGTGCTGCCAAGGCTCCTCTTGCGCTATATGCCATTGCGTTGCGCTTTGGCCACACGCTTGCAGCCACAGACGAAAATGCACACTTCCGCCGTGTCAGGAATGCGCACTAGCTCGATCATCACGGACCGCGTTCCCGTCCTGCATGGACCCGCTGCGTTGACCGTAACCTTCTCGTAACCACCCGTGCTGGTTTGAAGCGCAGGTACCCTAGCAGCGTCAAGTTGCTACGCAGCTACGGGCGTTTCCTGGAGGAGGTCAAAAACGACCCATGGACCGCAGCAAAGTACTACAGGTGTGTGTGTATATATGTATTCGTGTCGGTGAGAGTGCGTGTTGTGTTGCGGGGAGGGCGACCATCAGAAGCTGACCAGGAAAGGAGTTGGGCCGCCGTCGATCCGGCAGATTCCGTTGGATGCCAGTGGTGGGTGCGGAACCTGAGCGATTCATTGAGAAGTTGACTAGGGTGACTAGATGAGGGTGCCCCGAAACACGGGGGAAGGCAGGGTTTCGCCGGGTAGCGGCCACGGGTTGAAGATATGGCCCCCTGTCCCACACCTTTAAGAGGCTGACCGGGAATGGAGGAGAGCAGCACCGTGACGTATGCAGCACCTGCCTTTGCAAAAGCCTTTGCCAGGTCAACCACCCACGACGGCTCTTGAGGTCTCCACGTTGCTCTTTGAGTCGTGTTGCTTCCGCCGCCGACTCGCTGCGTGCATCGGCGACTTCTGTTGTTGGCAAATTCAAGTTTTTCTTCACGCTTTTCTTTTCCTCTCCCTCCCATTCTCACTTCTCTCGCTTTCTCCCCTTGTCCGGACTCCCTTCCTTACTTCCCTTTTTACCTCCCCCTCCCCTAGCGAGGCGGACAAGGTGGAGGAGCAGCAGGAGAATGCCGCAAACGACGCCATGCTGAGCGATGCCGTGGGCGACGGCGACCCGTCATCTATGCTGGCACAGGTGCGTCTTGCTTGGCGCCGGTAGACAAACCTGCCATTTCATAAAAAAAAAAAACCATCTCCAAAACGACGGGTATAACACTTGACCAGCCGTCAGTCTGGCATGGGACTTCTACTTATGTGTGCGGTTTTGGAATTAAAGATAGAATATGTGCGTGTGTGTTACCCCTGGGTTGTTGCGTTGCCCAGAGAGGTGTAACGAGTGCCCATATGAGTGCCAGAATATAAAGGCAAGAGGCACATCCGCTGCCCAGCTCCTCCCTGTAACAAAGAACAGCTGGCATCGGGATGCGTCGTAAGGCCTGGAACCCGTGCCGACGGCTATCTTGCTACTCTGCACAATCTGCATACCTGCAAATGCAAGCGTGCTCTCTTGACTGTCCGATTGGGTCGTACATCGTACATCGTACATCTGATCGATCATGGGCAGCCTCCCTTTCTATCCTGCCTTGCGTGTTTTAAGTTTTTGTAGCAGCATTCGAATTCGGAGGTTTGGGTTTTTTGTTTGCCGGGCAGCATGCGTTCATGCGTGTTTTGCCGGCTTCAACTTACTTTTCTACCTTTCTTCCGCCGGTCTCCCGCGCGCAGGTGGATGAGAAGAACAACGCCGTGGCGGTGATCAACGCGGTGGGCATCATCCAGATGGCGAATAAGCCGCTCATGAAGCTGTTTGGCTACAAGAAGGGAGAGTTGGAGGGCAAGAACATTTCCATACTCATGCCGCAGCCGTTTAGCCAGCGCCACAACGGGTACCTGCGGAACTACACTACCACGGGTGAGCAGGCGGGCCGCGGGTTTCTCAAGGCCAATCATGTTTTGACACCGGAGTCGCCTGGAGGGTTGGGTGGGTGGGGGGCTGTAGCACAGGCCAAAGCTGGAAAGCACGAGACACGAAAGACATGTCGCACGTCGCAACACATGCGTATTCATACCCTAGTTTTTGTATTCTCCAGGACCTAGGCTTCATTTTGTTCCCGCCTTTCTTAGTCAGGCAAATGTCGGTTCCATTTTCGTCTCTGCTTGTGCCTGACTCTCTAAGAAACCCCCCGGGCCCCCTGCCCGGTGGTCGCAGGCAAGGCCAAGATCCTGGACACCGTTCGGGAGGTGGTGGCCATCCACAAAGACCGGTTCGTCTTCCCGCTCAAGATTGCGGTCACCAAGGTGTCGGGCACCGGCGCTGACAGGTGCGAGTTGCGCATCCCGCGGCCGGCTACCGCGTCATCGTATATCCACGATGCCCCTCCTCCAAGCAACCTGTGTTAGGCGACCTTCTACCCCATTCCCCTCTCTTTCCCGCGCGCGCGCGTCCGCTCCTCGTCTGCCTCATACACAACAGCTGGTCTACAAACAGCTGGTCACCAGCCTGTCGCGTTCTGCGCGGGCACCCCGCGGGAGCTGCGAACGAGCTGTCACTCGTGCCGTTGCAACCAACCACCAGCTATTGGCTGGGCACCGTAGTGGCTCGCACGCACGCGGCCGTGCCTGCGTGCGTGCGTGTGCTCAACTGCGACCGATGTCTTATCCGCAATATAATCGATGTGTTGTACCGCCCTGTCCGTCTCCCTTGGGTGTGCGTGTGTGCCATGCCCAGCCTGTTCATGGGCGTGCTTAAGCCGGCCGAGGACGACCCTACCACGGTGCACGCCTGGATGATGACCCAGGGCACCATCCTGTGTGTCGACCAGCGCTTCAGTGACTGGTTTGGCCGCAGCCCCAGCGAGGTTGTGGGCCGCCCATTTAACACGCTGGCCACAGAGCAGGTAACGCGTGGTGTGATGGCGTGGTGCAGTTTGCAGTCCGATTTGGCTCTGATCTCTTCTGGGGTTGGGGACAGGGCATGAAGACGTCTTTACTGAAGTAGTGCAAGAATGTGGCCACAATGCGGACTGCAAACGGCCTGTTCGCGTGTGCCACACTGCCGCTGAGGCTGCTGACGGGATTTGTCCCGTGCTGATTGTGTCGTTGCTAACCGTGTTGCTTTTGTTGTTGTTGTTCTTGCTGTTGTTGTAGTAGTGGTGGTAGCGGTGGTGGTGGCGATGGTGCTGACTCTGCTATTGCCCTTTTGTGTGCAAACGCAAAAAAAGCAAAGTCAGTTTTTTAACTCTGCTAATGCCCTTATGTGCGTTTGCGCGGGCCGCGGCCGCGGCGGCGGCGACTTGCGCTGGCTACAGGACGTGCTCATCAAGCTGTTGGACCTGGCCAATGCCTCAACGGAAGCAGAGTTTCAGGAGGGACGAGTCAGCAGCGAGCAGGTGCATCTGCTGCACAAGTACACGGAGCCGGTGGCGTGCAGACTCAAGGTGCGCATGGGGGCCGCCCTCGTGCCCCGCGGTTGTGCCTTTGTGGCATCGGCAACGGTTTTTCCTTCCTACAGTCTCTCCTACCCTCCGGGAGAGCAACGGCGCCCGGAGATGGTTATATTCCGGAGTTGTCTGGGATATCGACTGGCATGTGTGTGTGTGTGTGTGTTGCATGGTCGTGGGTGCGTTCACCGTCGTGGGTGCGTTCACCGCTCAAGGGCTGCCAGATCGCCTATAAGCACCATCCTACCTCGCACTTCAGGCAAAGCAAGTGATAAAGGATGCTAACGACCGAAGGGAACGGCATGTGACAACCGCAACTGCGCTTTTGCGCTTGTATGCAATTGCTCGAGTTCTTGGGTTGTCGTTTGTTGGGTTGGGTTGACGTGAACCCGGCCTTCCTTTTGCCAAGCGCGCATTTGTTCGCTGCCAAAACTATTCCTGTGCCTCAATCCTCGCCCAAAGCATTCTTACCATTCTTACCATTCCCCTGCCATTCAATGCGCACACTTATTGCATTTTGCAGACTAAGCCAACCTTCCCCATGTCCCGCAGCCCCAGTTGCCCTTTCCTTGCATCCATTCCCCGCACTCATCTCGCCCGCGCTTCTCGCCCTCGCGTTGCTCAGATTACGCTAGGTGGCACGGACAGCCAGCGCATTTTTGTGGTGCACGTCAAGCGCGTGCGTAATGACCAGACCAACATGATGGTGACGGACCATAAGGGCCGCATCATGTACATGAACACCGACCTGGCCACGGCGCTGGGTTACACGCCCAAGCAGGTATGAGCCACGGCGAGCAATGGACGTGTTGGGGGTCAGGAACAAGACGCGCGCGTGGCGGCGACCTCCTCCGGATGCAATTTTGATAGATTTACAAGTGCAATTCAGCTCAATTTTGTCCTGTGTGGTCAAGGCGGCTGCCTAGTTTGTCCCTTTTTATCCCTTACTGTCCGTGCGGACTTCTTACGAAGGAGGTCATCCAAGCTTGGCTTCCTCGCGACATCGCTCGGGAAACTCACGTCTGGCCGGCATCGCCGTTCATCTACTTGGCCGTAAAACACCTCTCCTCCCCCGTGCATGTTTCAAACACCGCAGGCGGTCAAGATGGATATCAGCCAGCTCATGAGCCCGCCGTACTCACAGCTGCACTACAAATACATGAAGGAGCCGCCCGCCAAGGTGCCGCTGCAGAGCTGCAGGTGCGACTACCGGCCTGGGGCCAAGGATCCGTTTGCATTCCGCTCCCCCTCAACGCCGCTGCATGCGTGGCCTCGAGCACCCGGGGTTATCTCTACCGCGACCCTGTTGCTAACTCTGCTCCGTGAAGTCACCACGTGGCCCTTTTTCAGCGCACATTCAAATGCCTCCTGGACACCTTGCGCCTGTCACACGCAACCTGCCCGCGTTTCTCAATCTCCGCACACCTTTCCTACCGTGCTGGCCTGTCGCAAGCGGTTTTCCCTCATCACACTGTGCTGGCCTCGTTTCTCAGCGCAGCTTTATAGCGCACGTGTCCGCCTGTTGTGGGTGGCAAACTTCATGGAGCATTTCAGCCATGTTGCCTTGGCTCGCATTGCCGCTCAGCTCATTGGCTCCGATTCCGCAGGAACGCGGCCACAGTGGTGATGCTGGATGCAAAGAAGCAACCGCACCCCGTCAAGCCCCACCTGTCCATCCGCGAGGAGAATGACGTCATCACGCACGTAGTCAACGTGGAGTTTTCCTCATGGGAGCGGGGCTTGGACGAGCGCCGTCTGTCGCTCATGGTGGACGAGGCGGGCGTGGTGAGTTAGCCAGGGCGGCGCCGTGTGGCAGCTCTGCTCTTCCACTCAGTGGAGTGGGGGACAGACTGCGGCGCGTGGACGGCCGCAGTTTGCAGCTGTGCATAATGACATCCTTTTTTCCAGTATGCCACGTGTTTTGTTTTGCTTTGGTTTATGCTTGCGTTCTTGTTCCGCACGGAGCGTTCGGGGCCTGCAAGCCTGGGGGCCCTTACCTTGGCCCTGTGAGCTGTGAACTGGTCCAGCCTGGTCTAGCCAACTGTCTGAAGCTTTCTTCCACGTATCCCCCCCCCTCCGTGCGTGTGTCGCAGATCCAATCCACGTCCGAAACTCCGATGGGTGTCTTTGGCATCAAGCCGGCTTCCATGGTGGGGCACAGCATTGCTGAGTACGTAGATACGCTGTCGCCGCTTCGCAGCCAGTTGCCCGACATCCTCAAGAAGATGATGGCCATGGTGCGTATCGATTGTATGCTAATGCGCTGATACAGGCGACTCCGGCGCGCTGGTGCTAGTGCTGGTGCTGGTGCTGCGGCGGCTGCTGTTGCAGGCTGCGGCGGGCAACACGGTCGGCCGACGCGCTGCAGCCGCGTTTCCAATTGCCTTTTATTGCACGTCGTCGCTTGCGTCCGCACACCGAACATGTTTTCCACGCACGTGTGCAAGGAATGCGAATGGTACACATGCAGGATTGTTCGGCACCACCTGCACCACCTAAATCTCGAGCTTCCTAAGAGCCCAGTTGACCTGCCACACGTTATTTTTCCCCTTGTGCGTGTTTTTATGATATCCATCTATTTCGGACAGCCTCACGCCCTTGGGCCTTTGCGGCCTTTCAGAGCTCCATGTATGATACATCTTTTGTTACACCTTTTGAGGGTAACACAACTCCAGAGGGTGTGACACACGCGCATATGCGTCCTCATTATAGATATCATGCCTGTTTTGAGATGTAAATTTGCCTTCACGGTTGCAGCAAGCCGAAAAGCCTGGCTACACGTGGCGTGTGGGCGTGCACCCGCCGGTGGACGAGGTGGCGCTGGCGAGCGCCAGTGCTGTGGCTCAGGCCATCCTGGCCAAGAACACGCGGCCCGCGCTGATGGGCATCGAGGTTAAGCCACCCGCCAACGAGGGCGACCTGCCGGTGCGTTTTTGACCCCGTCCCCCTGCCCTGGCCTTGCACAGGGCCCCCCTGTCCTGTGTGGGTTGCGTAGCCCGCGCCCCCTCATTTTCGCTTCAGCAGCCTCTGCGCTTGCCTGTGCATATTGCCACCTCTTTGAGCTGTGTTTCATTGACGCGGCTCAGCGCCACGGTACCGTAAGGATCTATCGGCACGACCTCGCCGCCCATACGCGTCTCGAATCCCGGATCCCTTTTGGTCTTGCCCGAGATAACTTAGAACTTTCCTGCTGGTTTTCCCGCTGATGATCCACAGACGATCACGGTCAGCCTGTACAAGGCCGACATGGTGACGGGCGTGGTGCTGGTAGACCACAACATGGTGGTAATCAAGCCCAACTGCTGCGTGCTGCACACCACAGGTAGACAGGTTTGATAGGCGCAATGTCGTAAGGGGCCCTGGGAGAGAGAAAAAAAGGGGGGTGACTCCCGCTGAATGGATTGGGACGACTTCCTCTGCTGCACCTGCATTTGGAAGACCGACTTCGGCTCGGAAAAGTCCGTGAAAATGTCCGTGAATCAATTCTTTCTTTTGATTCTTTATTTGTCATGTCCCTTCCTGCAACTGATCCGCTTGCTTTTTTTCTTAGATGATTCTCATTAAGGGCATCTGGCACCTGGCCCGCCGCCGCGGCGCGATCGCTCGCGGTCATTTTAATTACATCGGTTTGGTCAAAACGCGCTTTTGAAAAGACACGCCCCTTGTGTGCTCGTTCACCGCTTCCTTGGCCAGGCCTGTGCTTTGGCGTGTCAAATCAGCTGATGCTGAAGCGCAAGATTTCGCAGTTCCTGGACGTGCCCCACAACGTGCACTCTGAGTGGCTGCTTTCGGATCACAAGGTCAAGGGCGCGATGAAGACCGGCACCACCGGCCGAAAGATCGGCCCCACGCGCGTCATCAGCGGATTCCATGAGGATGGTCAGCCGTTGCAGCTGAGGATGACGGTACGTGGGTCCACAGGCCCATGGCTGTGGCTGCGGGCGCGTCAAAGTTGACCATTTACTCTCGCGACCCGATGTGCGAGCGGCCATCCATTTGCTAACATGAAGCCTGCCGCTCGCCTGTTCGTGTGCCGCGTCGTGAGGTCGCAGCCGTCTGAAAGGTTGTACGCTGGGTGTGTCACATGGTGGGGACTTCCCACCTGCCGCTGCTGTCGGTGGCCGTTTTGACCTAAACTCCCCTGCCGTCACCCCCTGCCACCGTCTCGCTGTGGCGGCTACTACGGTGTCGCAGGCCGTTGCGCACGAGAACAAGCGCGTCAACATCAAGCTCAATTTTGCCTCCTACTGGACCGGCAACACCGAGATCTTCATGCGGACGTTGTCAGGGGAGGGGGGACGCACTCAGGCTCGGCCGATGGAGGGCTTTGCAAACCTAGGCCAGGTAATCATGGAGCGACAACTTGGCTGCCTTCACCCTCCATGCTTTGATAGTTTTCTCTTCTCCTTCTTCTTGTTCTTGTTCTTCTTTCCCTCGGCGTCCCTCGTTGGCATGATTATTGCCACTTTCGTCGCTTTGGTGCTCTGTAAGCCTGTGAACGCCTGCCCTCGCCACGCGTCTTCCACTGCTGTGCCCAGGAGCCCAAAACCATCGGCCGAAGCGGCCGCCGTGTGGTGGTCAACACGTCTGGCAAGGGCGGTGTCAAGTGGGCGGGTGACGCGGGTGCCGATGACGACGAAAAAAGCGTCAAGGGAGGGCGGAAGGAGGCGGCGCTGCCGCACTCACCGACTAACGAGAAGCAGGATGGTGGCGGCGGAGGCGGCAGCGACGACGGCCGAAAGTCCGACGAGGGTGCGTTGTTGGGGGTTGTGGGCGCCTTTTAGGGAGAGCGTCTGCATGGCTGGCGACACACGCAGTGGCAGGAGTGGGGGCGCTTTGACTAGGGTTGGTGGACATGAAGGTATGGTTGAGGGAACACGTGCTTCATAGGATCATCTAAGGGGACCCTGGGAACTGGTCCAGCCGATGCCATACGCCCCCCGCCGTATGAGACGTACATCCGAACAGAACAATTTGGGGTTTAGTAACCACAGCGATGTGAACAGGAGCCCCTGTCGGAACGGCCGAACACCTGTGTCGCGCATGCCGCTCGATGCTGTTCACATGCTGTTGCTGTTCGGAATCCCGTACACTTGTTAAAGTCGGGATTTATTGGTATTTATTGTGTGTTGCGGCTCGCGACTTGTGAACAGGGTCGATGTCCGACAGCGGCAGTGGCGGCAGCGGCGGCGGCGACGACGCGGCGGAGGAAGGCAAGGACAAACTGGACGCCCTGGTCGATCCGGCGGCGAACAACGGCTGGGGCCAGAGCCCTGCGAACGGCTGGGCGCAGGGTGTGGAAGACGATCAGGTGCGTGACTGACGGACGATGGTTCAGTTCTTGTAATTTCCTGTTCTGGCCTAGCAATGTCACTATCAGCCTTTGCAATTTCACTAAGCGCCGAGGCATATGTCGCAGGATTCAAGGCTTTGCGCAGAGGGCTGCACCTCACCAAAGAGTTGTGCTGCGTTGGGGAGCAGCGGCTCCCGCGTGTTGAGGTCCTGCCGCTGGCGGGACGCTTGGCAATCACTGTGCTCAGGCTTTCTTCGCCAACTAAAGTCTTTTAACTCTAAACTCTGTGAAACGGATGCACAGCCAAGCGCTGTAAAACACCGTCATGCGGCGGCCACACTATCACCGCATCCCGCCTCTGTCCCTGCCCTGCCCTGCTGTGACCTCCTCCCACTTCGGATTACGCTCCATGACTTCCTCCCCATTTGATTGCCATTTCTGGTCAGAATGTCTTTGCCTCTCCCATGACTTTGCCTCTCCAACTCTTTTCCTTTCCTTTCCATCCCGTGTGTCTGCTTCCTCAGGCGTCTGGCGTGTCGGGTAGCCAGGTAGACGGCGCGTCGGTGGTATCCGGTAGTGAAGCGGGTGGCTACCAGACCGACTTTAAGCGAGGCCGGCGCTTCAAGAAGCTCATGAAGTTGCTATCGTCGGCCAAGGCCAAGGCCGACCTCACGCGTTACAACCGCCACACCTACATCGTCATGGCAGTGCTGTTGCTCGTGCACGTGGTGTGCTTTGCACTGTTCCTGGTGTTTCTGGAGAACCAGAAGAAGTACGTTACGGAGGTTCACGCGACACAGGTGGGAGAGGGAGGGAAGCAGGACCGGGGGCCCCCAGGCGCGGCGGACGGGACAGCGCCTAAAATCCCACATTGACAAAAGCGCGGCAGGGCGTGGCCACTGTGCCCAGCCTGCGTGCCGTCTCACCTACGGCCATCTTCATCGCCGACGCCGCCGAAGGCGGGATTAGGATGACTGCCCTGCCAGGCCATTTACCCTGTGCTGACAGGGTCATCATCACGAGCCGGCTTACCCTTACGCCTTATCATTAATAGCCCAAAAGGGGGGCTTAGTTGCAGGCAGTGCAGGCGCCACATGCACCCCCGAGAGCAGGTCTGTTTCACGGAAGCCTGGGTGGCCTTTGTGGCTGCTGTGTTCTAAACCTGGCCCGTGGGGACCTCGTCATAACCCGTTAAATAAACTTACAAGTCCTATTTTGACCCCACACCTCCCTGGCCCATACCCCTTTTGGGGGCCGTTCCCATCCGGGGCTTTCGGAGCGTCTTTCCTAACACGCTCGCTGCCCCTGGCTATCCGCCTTGCCAGGACACGTCCACTTATGGACTGGACGTGGCCATCCTTGCGCGCGCTTTGGATAACGTGTATAAGAACCAGGTCAACCCCAACTGGTACACCTGGGACGACCTGCAAACCATCCTGGACGATATGACGTACGCCATTGATCGCATGGAGGAGGGGCATCAGGTGCGTGTGATGAGATGAGCGGAAGATAGATTCGGGCTTGTAAGGCGGGATCAGTTTAGCAGCTTCTGATTTTACTCGTCCTGATTGTACTCTTGTCCGGTGTTTACTTATACGTCTTGACGCTGTGGCAGTCCATGCCGGCATTTGAGCCGGTTGCACGGTTGCGCGCGGAGGTCGACGCGGGCAATGTGATAGCTTAATCAGTGGTGGGCTGTGATGGCAGCAGGAGTCAGGAACTCGGCAGGATTCGGCAGCTGTGGTGCATCCTGCTTTATCCGCATTCTCCCTGTTGCTAAACCGGATTCGTAAGAGGACATGGCAAGCGGTTGAGCGGCCTCCAGCGTTTTGCAAAGCAGCTGCTGTGCAACCCTAGGCTCCGCCTGCCCGCCTGAAAGCTCTCCACTGTTACCAAACACACACACACACACCCGCCTCTCGTCTCTGCAGGGACTGTACCTGGGCTTTGGCAAGCTGCGTCATCTGGGGGACGTGTACGAGCTGGGGGCCATATGGGAAGGGCGTACCTTGAACGACACCACCTACATCGACACGCGGAACCCTTACTTTTTGGTGCGTGCGTGCGTGCGTGCGTTCCTTGAACTTTCTGTAACTGCAAGGTGAAAAGTGGAAAACATAGTGAAAAGGCTGCAGTAAAGGTTCGTTCTCTGGTTCGTTCTCTGGTTGTTTGTCCTTGATGCAAGGAACAGGCAAGGCAGAGATGATCTTTAAATGTGAGGCGGTGCGAAATCGATTCATGCCACGGTACTCTCCATGCTACACGCACAACCTGTTAGCTGCTGCCTGATGATGTGGCAGCTGAGCGTTGACGCCCCCAAGCCCATCTCCTTCTGCAGAGTTCTTGGCCTCCATGTTTCGTTTTCGGTTTCTTACCGCGCCGGGCATCCCTGCCTTAAACCCCTTTCCCGGGCACGCGCGCAGTCGTCCAAGAACAGCTTGTGGCTGATGGGCAACGCCTTCATCGCGGCAGGACGCGAGCTGGTGTCCAACCACATCCGCATAGCCAACGCCACAAACAAAAACTTCTTGCTCAACAGGGATTGGCAGTACATCAACAAGAACGGTGCGTAGGGGAAGAATGGTGCGACGCTAACGAGCAAGGTTTCCCATTGCGTATGTGTATGTGGTGTGTGTGTCTGTGTGTGTCTGTGTGTGTCTGTGTGTGTCTGTGTGTGTCTGTGTGTGTATTACACCTTCTGGCGTTGCGTTACTCTCCGAAGGCGTAACCTGGGGGTCCATACCAGGAGCCCTGAGGGGGCCCAAGGGCCACAGTCTAAGGCTCGTATGTGTGTCGAAGGCTTTGGGTTTCCGGCGCGATGATATACGTCCCCCGGCCCCGGCGTGTGCATCGTCGTGTAAGGACACTGCGCTACTGCCAGCCGGTCGTTTCCCACGTCCCGTAGTCCCGCAACCCTGCCCTTCCATGTACATGGCCCCCTCCGCGTCCCCCACCGCCTGGCCCTTTTTCCCGTTGTGCTCTCCAACCCAACTACCAACTTCCCGTCGTGCTCTCCAACCCAACTACCAACTTCCCGTCGTGCTCTCCAACCCAAATACCAACTTCCCGTCGTGCTCTCCAACCCAAATACCAACTTCCCGTCGTGCTCTCCAACCCAACTACCAACTTCCCGTCGTGCTCTCCAACCCAACTACCAACTTCCCGTCGTGCTCTCCAACCCAAATACCAACTTCCCGTCGTGCTCTCCAACCCAACTACCAACGGCACCCAGGCCCCGCATCCATCGCCAGCGGCTACCGCCTAAGTCTAAACGGCATGGTGCTACGCACATGGGACAGCGTTGGTAAGGTCAACATGCTGGGTATCGGGCTGCTGGTGGCGGAGGGCTGCGTCGTGTGCGGCGCGGCGGCGCTATACATGTGGATTCTGCTCAAGCAAGTGGCGCGCCAGCGATACGGCCTCTACTCGGTCTTCCTGGTCATCCCCACCGGCTTCCTGCGCGCGCTGGCCAGCAAGCATGTGCAGGTGGGACCTTGTAGGTGTTTTTTTGGCATGTATATATGTATGTATGTATGTGTGTGTGTGTGGCACAGATAGGGCGTCAAAAGCGCAAGGACAGCACCATTGTGCGGTTTGCTAGCAATATGGGCTCCGTACAGTTCGGTCTGTAGTCGCATGGCTTCGTCGGGCTTCTTCACGCAGGTTAACCTTGTGCGTCGGATCGCGGCAAATATGGTCACCTTCTGTATGTGTGCGTGTGTTTGTGAATTATCTGAGCTGTGATGGGGGAAATGCCGATGGTGGTGGTGGTGGTGGTGGTGGTGGTGGTGGTGGTACACGAATAACTTCACCGAAGCGAGCTCCCTAGTCACCAACGACGTGTTAGGCTTTTCCAAATGGGCCTCTGGACGCAGCTGCTTGAATTTTCAAGTAGGTGCTTGATTAGGAGAGTGACGGTGACGGTGACGGGTTACCCCCTCAGGTAGATGGCGAGGACGATAACGACAGCGACAGCGACGCTGGCGACGATGCGAATGCCAACAAGGAGCGCAACGCGGGCAACAAGGACTCCACTGGCAAGGGCGAGGGTGGTGATGGGAAGGGCGAGGACGAGGCCAAGGTGAGGCGTCGGACGCGTCTGGCGTGTCGGCTTTTAGGCGGACAGCGCTGCTGCGGCGCGGCCCATTTATTTTGCCATGCATCTAACGTTACCCTAGAGCCCCTTTCGTCCTTTCGCCAGCCGATAACTCCAGCTCCCTCCAGCTTTCACCATCCCGTGCCGGTCTTACACCTGGTCTCCTTTGTCCCTGGGTTCCCCTTGTCGCGCCCGCCGCGCAGCCTGTCATCCTGCCGGGCATCAAGACTAAGGCTGTCGTGGTGGAGATGGGTGAGGCGGCTGAGGCGCCGCAGCCGCTGTGGCGCCGCACGCTGCGCGGCGTGTCTAGCTTGCTCGGCATTGACAGGAAGACGCTGGGCAACGGTGGCGTGGATACTGGCAAACGCAAGCTCATCCGCGACAACCGCGACACCATGGTGCTTACGGTGCCCTTCCTGATATGGGGCGCTGTCGTCATCGCTATCTACACCTTCTCCTACCTCACGCTCAAGAAGGTGGGGTGCCACAGGCGGGCCGGGCGGGGGGGGGAAGACTGGAGACACGCAAATGCACAGGAAGGAACTAGCCCCCGCGTGCTAGCCCGGGGGTATCTGCTGGCAAATGCCTAGTTCGTTACTCGTAAACTAACACGACTTTGAACCTTTCCCACAGCTGCTACTTTGTTCCGTGTTACCATTTTTTCGCTTGTTCATGGATGAATGAAGCAGCACTGTGTCCCGCTCGCTCGCTCGCTCGCTCGGGCGTGTGTGTGCGTGCACGCCCTCTTCATTTCCCTCGTTTGCGCCTGCGCCCGCAGGTAGCCGAGCCGCTGGTCAATCTGGATGTGGCCAATCGCGTCAAGACAAAGATCAACCGCTGCGTGTTCACGGCCCAGGAGGTGATCAGCCAAACGGACATCACGAGCCGGACGGCCTGGCAGGCGGAGCTGCTCATCCGCCAGTCGGACCTGGAAATGTTTTACGACGCACTGCTGTACGGCAGCAACAATCTGCCGGGTGGGTGTGTACGGTATGTTTTGTTGGAGGATTGTCGCAATGGCGGGTGACGTGACGTGAAATGCGGAAAGGTTGGATGTGAGACCAGAATGGTCTTTTGGTCGCCTCCACAAGTGCACTGAGTCCTTACCTGGTCGACACCCGAGATGGCGGTTTCCTTAAGTCCCGTTTTCCCGTAAAAACGTTGCTATGACCTGCAGAGATGGCGTTCTCCCACACCAAGGGCACTCTTTTCAGTGGCGCGGCGCCAGCGGAGATGTTCTTCCGCAACAAAGATGTATGCTACGTGACCAAGAACCCCGGACGTTGGTGCTTTCCGGAGGGCGACATGTACCATGAGGTACGGAGGAAGGACAGCACACGCATAAAGCGCTGAACGTCGTAAGAGCATTTACAGCTCTCCGGCAACCCGTCCGCCGGCGGTTGGATTAAAATATGCCGCATGTGCAGTAGTTAGTGCTGTGCGCGCTCCACCCACGTAATGGGGGCGCGCTCGCGCTCCTCCTGTCGAGGACTTTCGGCCTTTCGGCCTGTCGCGTTTTCCTGCCCTCAGAATGTCACCGGATGTGGCGTGGCATAGGCGTCTTGCTGGAGACCGTGCATGCCATGGGTCTTTTATTCTTAGTGATGAGGACGTGTTTGGGGGGCAAGGTTGCGTGTCTGCACCTTATCCCTTAGGCCGGCTTGTTGTGGGTTAAATCGCGGCCTTGGTGGGATCCACACGGCGCCTGCCCCAACGACTATCCTCCATGTGCGTTCTTGCCTCTCCATTCACCCAGCTCCATGCCATGCCATGCCATGCCATGCCATGCCATGCCATGCCATGCCATGCCATGCTTATTCGGAACATGCCGTCAGTTGTGACTTCCTGACGGCCGCGGCAACCCCGCAACCCGTCTACCGCTGCGCCTCGAAGGTGTCCGCGAACGCCCTGGACCCCATGATAAGGCGGCTGATTGAGGAGGCGCTGCTGTTGGGCAACGATGCGCACTCGGACCTCAACTTCAACAGCACCCGTTTCGACTACATCTGGCGGGTGGCGTTCCACCAGCTGATGCAAGGAGTCTGGTCGGCCAACAGCATTTATACAAGTGCGTCGTGTATATTACATAGTCCATGGCCTCCCGGCTTTGACGGACCCCCAGCACTCGTGCGGCACTTGTTACTTGTAACTATATTGCGATGTGTGATGTGATGTGATGTGATGTGATGTGATGTGATGTGATGTGATGTGATGTGATGTGATGTGATGTGATGTGATGTGATGTGATGTGATGTGATGTGATGTGATGTGATGCGTTGTGAGCGCGAGAGCCCCGAGCCCACAACACAGCCCCAACTCTGCGTCCAGCTTTCATTCTGGGCGCCTCCTCCCCGTTATGCTGCCCATGCCCAATTCTTTTTCGCCCACTGATTGATGCGCTTCCATCCCGCTCTCCTCCTCCCGGCGCTCCCCTCCCCCTCCCCCTCCTCAGCCGCCGCCAACGCCAACTTTGGCAAGGTCCGTATGGCCCACATCATACTCTTCGTGTTGTCACTGGCGCTCGTGATGCTGTTCCTCATTTTCATGTTCCGGCCGTTCATCCGGCGCACCGCCATCGAGGCCCGCCAGGTGGCGGAACTGCTTAGTCAGCTGCCGCCTGAGATGGATGTGGAGGGACTTGTCGCATCGGCCATGACCAACAGACGAAGAGGTGCGTGGTCTTCAACGGCTACCTATCGGCGGTGTGGCTCCTGGATCTCTATAGGTTTAGGAAGATGGGGGATCCGGATCCGGATCCAGATTTAACGGGGTGGGGTTTTAGCGCTTTCCCCCTCCTGCTCCCCCCCCCCAATTCCCGCTGGGCTTGCGCTTTCCTGCATACCGCTCCATTCTCCTCTTCCCCACGATATTGCCTGTGTTTGCCAAACCCAAATCCAAACCAGCATCCCAACCAATAAACAGTAATGACAAACAAAGCTCCAGCAGTGTCATGTTAATGATTTAAATAACACGCAGGAACTCACAGACCAGCAATCGAGGCCCAAAGAGCTCGCGGGGGAGCTATTGCCCTGTATTTGTTTTTGTTCTGGTCTTGACATACGTCGAGATACATACATTTGAACCCCTGGGTGGGTTCTCGGTGTTTCATCCCTCCCTTCCTCTAAACCCTGCCTCCGCGCAGGCGAGGATGAGGACGAGGCGGTGGCTGGACGGCAAGTCCGGCGGTCGGCCGATGGGCGGGCTGTGAAGGGAGTCGCGGGTCGGCGCGCTTCTGTTGAGATGCGCGCTTCGGAAGCGGCAGCAGCGAAGAAGGGTCGCGTGGCGGAAGATGACGACGACGCGTCGTCGGTTGGATCCAGCATGGGCTGATATCTTCCAATGCGGCTTTTACATGGCTGCATGGCATCCGCATTTACATTTCGCTCTCTCTCGCAACTCTCCGTATAGCATGCCTAACACCCACCCCAATACACGGCCCTGCTTTCCTGTCAAGTTTTCGTAGAGGGCGAGAAGAATAAAATGTGGCACGCGCCGAATAAGATTTCTGATTAAGACTGGGCCTGCTGGAACCCAAGCGCATTCCCTTGGGCCGCAGTGAGGTTCGGCGGGCGGGCCGTAAAAGTAAAAGTGAAAGGGAGCGAGTGGCTTGCCCCCAAGCCCTCTTGGAATCGACTACATCTAAAGATGCTTGCGTGTCGGTTACTATTACTACAATGTTTATATGCTGATGTATGTGTCTAGAGGGGCCATCCATCCACCATCCCACGCCGGCGCGGGCGCAGCAGACGCGCTTGCGAAGTTTTAGTACTGACGCGGACTGGTAGCACGTCGACGCCGGAGGTGGGCTCTGGAACGATCCGCGTGAAGGTTTGCGAGCTGGGCTAGAAGAGACGGGAGCGCGGTGCCACTGGACCCCCGCGACAAGTCTTTTAGGCGACGCGGAGTATGTGCGCACAACAACGCTGGAGTTATAGCCGTGCTGACAAGTAGGCTGGTGTGGTCGTGAGCCTGCGGCAGTGAGTGGGCTGGGCTGGGGGAAGGGATAGTGCAGTCCGTAAGAGCACTGACCGCAACGGGCCCAGCATGCAGATGCCTCTTATGTCGAATTCCTCAAGATAGGGGGCTGTGAGAGTGAGGGGCGGAAGGGGTGAGCGGAAGGGGTTTGCGCCCAGAGGCCAATGCCACGCGCCATATTGCGAGAGCAATTTTTTGTCGCCTTAACACCTAAATGGGTCGCTAATGCTTCTCTTAGCAAAGAGAGCCGCGGCCTGTAGGCCGCATCTACTGTCGCGGCAAGGCAGGGGAGTCGGTTGTGTGCATGTCGACGTGTCAGCGGCCCCAGTGCAACTTTACCACCGGCCTGTGCAACTAGTTTTTGTGTGGCAAAGGTGCGGCGTCGCTGCGCTACGTTCTGTCATGCAATTGAAAGTTGCGCCCGCGTTCAATTGTGTGTTGTGCACGTCTCTGTGTTCGTGCGAATGTCTGTTTGAGTATGTCGGTGTGCACCTCCCAACGGAAAGGCTTCGTAAGCGTGCGGTCTTGCGTGCGATGTTGCTGCTTGCTGTGCTGTGCTGTGCTGTGCTGTGCTGTGCTGTGCTGCGTAAGAGCCGAGAGGTGTTTGTCGTATAGACAGGGCCAGTTGCCATGTACGGGGAGCAAACGGGGGAAACAAGGGCCGCATGCGCCAGTTCCCGCCGTCTCGTAGGGCGCCAGAAGGCCTAGGGCTCAGTCCTTGCCCCCTGCAGAAGGGCTGCCTGCTGTCTGGAAAAGTCTTTATGTGCGGCTTGAACCTGCGGATGCGGGAGCATGCCTGTGTGTGCATTATGCACGACGCGAGTGTTAGACCGTTCGTTTGGTGCGTCGACGATCACCAAAGACGCCTGGAGCTGCATCAAAGCGATGACGCGTGAGACGGCGAGGGGGGAGCTTTGAAATTTCGATCATTGATGAACCATCTTATCCCCAACCAGGCAATCCAGCTGGGGTAATCGTGCGAAAGAAAAGAGAAACTCTCACGCGGCCAACGCCTGCGTACGTAGTACTACTGATAAGGGTGGCAAGGAGGTTTTCGTGTTGCTGGGGAGGAGCTGTTTCCTACGGTATTTTTGTCCATTCTCCTTGATATGTACGTGATGGGGTATTTGTAGCTCGTTCTGACAATCCACGTCACGCACTTGGGGATTAGTAGCGATGCCGTGCTTCCTCGCGACGCCTTTGACAGTTCTGTCCCCCTAGGCAGGGACGGGCGTTGTGTAATTCTCATTGGTGAAGCCGGCTCTTTTTGGCTTCTTTTCTTTTCTTTCCCGCCGTCGCAAGCCTCCCCAGCGAGGGAGCGCGAAGACGACATGAAGGGAGGGTGGTCATGTCCTATGCAGTCATAGGCGTGCCGGTGTGGGGGGAGCCGCGAGGCGCTTACTGCACTCGCTCTTACTAGCACTTTTGCGTTGGTCATCGCCGTGCTATGCGTGATTTGGTATTTTCACGAAGGAGGCGGATGGTGGAACGAGACACACACACACACACACGCGCGCGAGTAAACGCTTTCTAGTATCCCACAACATCAATCTCATAACAACACCCCTTCTTTCAGCGGTGCTACTGCCGGGGGGGGTGCCGGCCATTGGAAAAGGCTCACTCTGCATTCTGTCAGGACTCCATGGTTTATTAACCTGCCGTGAAGACGTGACACATGTGCGGGCTTTGCGCGAGATAAGTCGGCGCCGCACGTGATGGTGCGCCTCATGTGGTGAAAGGCCTTGCGTGACAAAGCGTTTCATGTGATGATTATTTCTGCAAACATGGTTCGATCGCTTTGCAAAATTGGTTCAGTTGTTTTGCAAACATGTGTTCAGTCGTTCTTTCTCCGTTATGTTAAAGTGGATGATAAGTCGTGATGATGAATGAAGGAATGAGGTTACAGCGGTTGTCAGTGGGTGGATCCATGTTACAAGGCGTGTTGCAACTTGCTTTTCCTACCCAACGTGAGTCCTGGGGCTCTTCCCTGTGTTGTCTTTCTAGATTTAGGAGGACTTCGCGTGAAGGGACACAGTTTGTGATTTGCCGATAAAGTGCCGCAGATGGCTTTGACTTTTGTATTGGTAATATGGGTACAGGAAACGCCTTCATGGGGTCATTTGGCTGTTGCAAATGTTGGTATAACCCAAATGTCTTTCTGGCCCCCTTCAGCGTATTTGTGGGGCCGTGGTATCTCCTTATACCTTCCCAAGTTCCAGGTTGTGCATCGCTTGTCTTTCAGACGGATTCCATCTTTCACGAGAGGATTCCATCCTCACGTGATATAATAGCCTGTTCCCTAATGCGTACATGAATAGCCGTAGCCTGCCGTGTGTAAATGCGCATGCAACTCGGACATCGTACAGGACGTCGTACAGGCTGTTACATCGTACAGGAAGGGATCTCAAAAAAGACTACACACTGCTCGCATGCTGAAAACGTAACCGGACGGCGGTGGTGGTGCAGGGAACAGTGATTAAAAGGCATATGCCGGTTGTGGAATGTGTACACGGCGGCCTTGGGACCGTCAGGCGGTTAGGTAGTACTAAGGGGCCACCAGCACGTCCTAGTCCGCCTCGAGTCGGCAGCTATTGCAGGGCTGGAAATGAATCTTGGTACAGAGACTCGTTGGGGTGGATGGAGCCGTCACACACCGTCAGGTGTTCGCAGCAAGCTTGGGTCTGTTAGACTAACTGAATTGAGCGTGCAGCATGGTAGGCATGCACTCAGAGAAATAGAAGACTTGAAGCGATAGGTGTAAGGAAAGGCTTGAAGCAAACGCGCTGTGAACTTGGTCTGCTATGGAAAGTACGGTACAGCTCCTCCGTGGCGCGTCCAACAGCTACAGGCGAGTACGGTAAAAACCTGCTACAGCAGGCGGTTTCTATGGGGACCGTAGCTATGGAGGGGCTGTTAACGCTGTTTCTTGGCCAGAGTGGCCATCCGGGTCACCTTGCACGCGCCTCTGCAATGCAGAAGCATTTTGCAGTACAGGCCCCTGCAGTACATGCTCACGGCATGGGTAGGCCAACCCGGGGACTTCCCTTCGCTGCAGCTCTCTTTGAGGGCTGATGCTATGCTGTGCCGGCTACCAAGGAAGTCCAGGCTCTTAGAGTCCACTAGGTCCTAAGTCAAGATTTACAAAGCCGTAAAGCGAAAACCGAAAGTTGGGGTTGGTACAGCCAGGGTTGTAGACGGAGCTTCAATAATGCTGCTTTGCCCTTCCTTGCAATACCTGGGTTTTGGACAACATCGGCGTCATTATGCTCGCTTGTAGAAGCCAAAGGTTATTCCGAATATCTAGGCATTAAAAGCCATCCGCGCGGCCCTTGGAACATTTACCTTAGTGCAAATAATTTGCGGAATTTCTTAGCAATGAACATGGGCCTGCATCAGGAACTTCGTACAAGGGGACTCTGGGGTGGAACAGCAAAATTCTTCAGCGCCTATATAAAGTACAACATACTTTTAGGAAGTTATCGCAATTCCGTCAGTAAGAAGTTTGCAGGAGGCTTCCGCTGCCTTCCTCACGTCATTTGCCGTACACCCGCTGCCCTTGTCACGGCATAAGAAGACGCAAAACGCTAGTGTGCTATCGATTTGCTTGCAAAGCGTTAGTCCTTTCATATTTACCCCTTAACCTCACTTCAAAAGTTCTTTAAGTCTCAGAATGTCGTCTTCGTCTGGGCTGCGTTCCATGGCCGTGGACGTTCCGCGCATGCGGTGTGGAGCTGCATCGTCAACTTCTGAAAAGCAGCCAACGGCCACGCAAGCGCAAGGTATACCTCAGGAGCCGCCGCGCCTTGTCCAAACGAAAACACTGACCGGCGTCTGCTGCTTTTCCCTGCTTGAACTTGAATATGTCCAAATACCCACAGATTCCTTCTGTTATTATGCCACGAGGTGAGAGAGGTTACCTTTTCACTGCAGCTTCTGTGCTTCGCGGCATGCGAACGGGCTTGGTCCTTACCTATTGGTTAATTTGGTGCCTTGTAGTCCTACGGCGGTGGCATTTTATGATTTCTCTTTGGGTTCCGCTGGCCGAGCTGAACAACCAACATTTTCTGGAGTCAACTTCTTCTCACGTTTGTTTGCCGCGTCGTCATCGTCATAAATGGTTACAACGTCGCCTGCGCTATGTTCAAGGCTGATTGTACTCGCTTTCTATGCATTGGCTTATCGGCCAGTTTGGGCTTTTCGCCTGTCGAATGTGTGACGACCTGTCCTCGTTGTGTCTCCTGACGTGCAAGCGCTGTTATGACTAGTTCCCATTTAGCGATTGTTAACAATTCATGTACACAATTAGGCTGATGCGCCCTCAATTAATGCTGGCTATGGTGTTACCAGGTTCATATTGAACTGTGTTGGCGGTAAGGAGGTTGCATTTGCTCCGCGCAATCGTGTGTGAAGCGCTCTGCGCTGTCCCAACCAGCATCATGTGCATAGGGCATCATGTTCATAGTCCACTTGCATTTACTGCTGTCTTGAGTGTGTCTTGAGTGTTTTTTCTCTTCCGCGGCGTGCTGTTAGGCGGGATTCCCCTTCGTGCATTCTCGGTTGCGTGCCTGCTATTTGGTGCCCCGGAGCTCGGCGATTTTTATTCTTGATTAGCGCCCGTGACACGCGTGACGAGTAACAAAATAGACGTGTCAGGATGCTGGTCGTCTCGATAGGTGTGGCGCGCGTAAACTTGCGCGCTATTTGACGCGATTTATCGCTGAGATCATCCCTGGAAGGGCATGGCGGAGCACGTTGCGGCTGCTATGGAAAGGGGTATGCAAGGGGGATAAGACCCGCAGGGGTTGCCGAATACATTTCTTTATTCTACTTTCTTGATGGAGAGTGCTTGTCTTACTGCCGAGGCTGTCTTGCCTTTGCCCTCACTGGTTTGAAATGTTAATATGCACCTATGCACGTTTCTGATAGGACATGCTTTCCTGTCAATGGTTTTGGAGCTATGTACGGCCAAGTGGATGTTGTTGTGGGGAATTAATGCATTCTGATCGTTGCAGGCATTCAGACGAATCCGATGATGAAGTGCACAGTGCACCGGAGAGATTGTTGGATTTCCGCTATAGCTTTTTGCTGAGAAGACAATACATGTAATGGCCCCCCATTGAAGATTCGTTTTGGACGCTTGGCAAATGGTGGGCAAATGATGAGTTAACACATATCACCGCCGGCAGGCAGAGTTAAGACATTCATATGAATTTTAAGCTTCCACACCAAACCGTTCCAACAATACCTTGACTCAAAGTAGAAGATTATGATGCTGCCTTGTTGTACCTCACACGACTTGGTTCACAAAAGCGAACCAGTAATGCAAAAACACCCATCGCCGTGGGCAGAAACGCTCTGCCTTCGCCGACCACATCCCCCCGCCCCCTCCCCCCACCGCACATTGCCAGCAGCTCCCCCAAGTAGCTGTCTAGCCTTCCCCGCCCGAGCATGCAACCCCGCGCTCGCGTCTCCCCCACGTAGGGACTTGCTCCTCGTACCGCACCACCACCACACCCGCCACGAACACACAGGCAGCCGCGGCCACCATCAACGTCACTTCCACCCCAACCCAGTCCGCCACGGGCCCCCCTAAAGCCCCGATTGCATAGCCCAGGTCCCGCCAGAAGCGGTACGTCGCCATCGCAGCCGCCATGGAATGCCCTGGCGACACCTCTCCACCCTCTGCCTCCGCTATTCTACCCCCTGTCATCGCTAAACCTCCCGCCCTCCCCGCCCCGCCACCCGCCGCCGCCTCATAACCCTGGCCCCTCTGCCGCTCGAGCTGGTGGTGATGGTCCACCACGGCCGCCGGCATCACCGGGTAAAACACACCAGCACCCGAGCCCATGAGGCAGCTTCCCAGCATAAGATAGCCGTACTGTACGAGCAGCCGCTGCGGTGGCGTGACGGCGGACCCCAGCAGCCGCCCGCCCCAGCCTGCGCCGCAAGCTGACGTCAGCAGCCCTGCGGCGTTGAGTAGGAGGCCCACCAGAACGGGGCCTTTGCGGCCCGTCGAGTCGGACACGGCGCCGGACAGCAGCTGCACAAGGCCCTTTAGGAAAGAATACGACATGGTGAGCAGATTTCGCCCGGGCCCTGATACCCCCAGGGTGTCACGCGCCCATGTGAGCAGCAGTCCCCATGCAAGACTGGTGAGCGCGTTGCTGGTGGCGCCCGCCAGGCACATGGATGCCGTACTGGGGTTTCGCCACGTGTAGTACAGGAAGGCACGGCCGAAGCGTCGTACGCTGGCGAACCATTCTTCGCTGCTGCTGTTGTTCGATGCTGAACGGTCTATAGGGGTTGTTGCAATCTCGCGAAGGCCTGCTGCACTGCCAAGGGCGACTTCAAAGGAAGCCGCCGCCTTGTACGACAGTGGCAATGACGGCTGCTGCTGCGGCGATGACGGCGTTTCGACGACGGCTGCCTCCGCTCCGACGGCAGACACGGAGCCGCCGCTGCCGCCGCAATCGGCAGGGGAATACAAACCGGGGGGATGAAGTGCAATGTAACCGTTAGACAGCGCAGCGCGGTGGTTGCTATCTTGCTGTACATTTACAATACCGTTATTGTACACAAGCCCGGCCCCCGCTTTATTGTCCGAGGTGGCTGCGGAGGTGGCACACGGCAGCAATCGCCGCGTCTCGGCCTCCTGTTCCGACGGCAGCTGCCCGTACGACATTGGGAAAGTGGCCTTGTACGATACGGGCCGCGTCACGGCGCGCTGCAGCCGCGCCAGCCAGGCCCCCGGACCGCGCGCGAGCGACGAGTCCGTGCTGCAGGTGGCCGTCGCCACCGCCTTGGCGGCGTCGTCGGCGCCACCGTCATCAATATCTCCACCGCCATTCCCTCTCCGCCACCCGCTCAGTGCCAGGTACTCCTCCGCAACCTCCCCACGCTTCCCGCCAGGCTCAACTCCCGCCACCGTTAACCCGTCCCCCGCAGCCCCTGACGTCCCGGCCGTCAATGGCAAATGCACCGGCCCACGCCTCGACCGGGAACCGGAACCTGAGCCTGCCGCCGCCGCCGCCGCCGGCAGCAGCAACGCTAGTGGTGCCGCTGGCGGCGCTGGAGAAGGCTCTGCCAGCAGTACCGATGTGACGAGTAAGCCAGCTGGCAGTAGCACCAAGAGCGCTGCCTGGAGCAAGTGGTCGTATCCCCGGCACTGGCACTCGCCCAAACAGGCCGGATCCCAGGTTTCCGCGGATGTGCAAACCTCGTGGTCCAAAAGCAGTAATGGCGGCTGCGACGGCGGCGGCAGCAGCAGCAACCCCGCCGTAGCGTTGCCGTCGGAGGCAGGGTACGACGCCACCGCTGCAGCTGCCGCCGCCGCCGCTGCCGAACACGCAGCGGAGAGCGCCTCCGGCGGCACGGCCCACCCGCAACGCACCATACGAGACTCCAGGATGCCGTACAATGGCGCTGCGGAGGCCACCGCTGCGGTGGAGGGAACGTGGTGGTGGCCGGAGCAGGCAGGGTTTGGTTTCGGCGCGGCGAATGGACTGAACAAGATAGCGGAGGACGGGATGCAGGAGGAGGAGGAGGAGGAGGACGGGGAGGCCGTGGCAACACGCGGAAAGAGATACTGAGTACCTGTCTTGAGTACGTGTCTACGACTACGGGCGCCGACAAGAGGATACAAGCCATGCGGATATCCCACCAGGACGCAAAAAGCTCTCAGAAGCATGTCCCGTCTCGGGATAAGGCTTCCGGAGCAGGACACGGGTTTGGGTGAGGAAGGGGGGCAAGATTAGCCCGGCGGAATCCATCCCATAACAACATCACAAAACCCTCCACCAACACTAGTGCTCCCTAGCCTAGTCGCAACCCCGCTGTACCTCTCTACGATGGCCCCACCTGCATATCCCAGCATCTCGTTCAGACCGGACGCAAATCCACGCCGCGTGTCGGGCATAGTCAAGATCATCACCAGCACCGTGACTGACCAGCACAGCCCCTGTTGGACCCCGAGGAAGGCGTTGGCGCCCAGGACTGCAGGCCAGCCGGAGGCGGCTGGGGCGTGGTGGTTGCCATTGCCGGCGCCGCTGCTGCTGCCACTGCCATTGCCACTGGCAAGCAGTAGCAACAGCGGCATAGCGAGGCCCAGCAGCCAGCCGGCTAGCTCCGTACGGACGTAGCCAAAACGTGTGACGAGCCAGCCCACTGAAAGGTTTGCTACAGCCTTGCTGACTCCGAACACCTCCAGGAAAACCACCTAAGTGTATTAGTCGAGCGGTGGAGAGCAAGGTTGAGGAAAAAAGGGAGGGAAGGGAGGAGGGCGGGCGTGGGGATGTGGGTAGGCGGTAGAGTGGGGAGTTGGAAAGGGGCGAACTGAGGTTGGGAGTCGTTTGAGGGAGGGGGGAGATGGGGGTTGGTGGGTGAGGTTGAGAGAGAGAGCGCGCGCGTACCTTGCCTGCGTACGTGCCCTGGTTGTACTGTCTACCGCTGCTATCTAAAGCAGATAGCTTAGTCAGCTGTAAGGTGAAGCCCACCAGGACGGACAGCAGGCCGGCCACCGCGAGTTGCGTGAGGGCATGCGACCTTAGGCGGGATGCTAACCCAAGAAAGCGATGCATGTCCAAAAGGTTTATCTTGAGCAACAGGATACGTGTCTCTGGAATTAAGATTAACCTACATCATTAAGGCTGTCTTGCAATCCAAAAGGACTGAGGATTCCATTGCATTCTTGTCAGACGCAGTAACCCAGGACGCTACGTTCATAGTGACAGTTATTGTAAAGGTGACAGTTGAGTTGAAGTCTGAAAATAAATGAGTTGAAGGCAGATCGCCGCGGGCTCTCGATATGCGCCTAGCGAGTTGCAGCTGTACGATAGTAGCCTTGGTCAGGTCGGCCCCAAAGGCCAGGCAGCGGCACGCTTAGATGAATACCGCATGTTTCACTTGGGCTTCGCTATACATATTTCGCGAGATGTCATTTCTTATGGGATGCTGGGATCGCGAATTCGCGCATAACCGTTGCAGTAGCCGGATCGGCGGTTATGCAGGCGGTCCTACGACGACTTGACATACCCGGCCGGGTATCAATGGAAACCTACAACCTTCATTCATCCTTGAACTGTGAAGTGAGAGAAGTTGGCACTCGGTTTGTATTGTCATAATAATTGTCAACCAGCCTCAGAAACAGTGGCCTTTGGCAAAGCCTTTCTGGGCTCAGCCTCATCTCTTCCCCGCGCATCTTCTCTCCGCCGTGCTGCCCCATCCCCCGGTATTCCAAAGAATCTTCAGTCGGTGCGTTGTACATGCTGGAGGTCACATACGCAGGCCAAATTACATGGCGGGTGCTTGCATGTACACAGCGGCTGCGTCCAGGAGGAGAAATCTTGCGAAAGGGGTTGGTGGGCCAGGCCTTCACTTCTGGAAGCCAAAGCTGCACCCATGCCGAAAATAGAACTTCCGTATGGAATGTTGTGGTTTGCCCCAATATACCGTACACTCGTACCGTACTACCACCAGCAGTCTCTATGTATGACAAATAGCCAATAAACATGATTAGATATATTTGTTGTTCATGATGAAGGCTTACCTTGATATTGACATTGGCGATGCTGCCGCCTATTCGATCGCCCTTGCGGCGCACCAACGAGCAGCCGATTGGCTCGCCACTGTGGGCTCGCAGGTCTGGCATCCCTCCTTGTGCCGTATGTCCTATTCTTGTATCAATAGCTATACTTATCACCAATATCAGCATATGCGCTGTCGCTGCACAGTATGGCCTGAGCGGCAAGCCGGAGGAGCTCGATGCCGATGCCGCGACGCTTTTGCGGGAAGCTTACAGCTCGGATCCAACCTGGGCTAGCAAAGGCGAGGTATCAACAGCCAAACCGGCGCCAATTCGCGCGGGGCGCATCGTGCTCGAGCTATTTGACAAGGAGGTGAATTGTGTTACCCCTCGGCCCCGTTCTTCCCTTGGCCCCCCTGCAATCATCCATCCATCCATCCATCCATCTTGCCGTTCCATCCAGGTTCCCAAAACAGTTGAGAACTTTCGCTGCTTGCTTACGGGGGAGAAAGGGCTGGGCAAGGCCAGCAAGAAACCCCTGCATTACAAGGTATGCGGTGTGCTAAGTAAGGCATCAGCACCACCGCGAGAACGGAAAACGATGTCTGTGTGCCGTTGTGCGTCTTGGGCGGGCTATGACGTACTTTAGGTGCAGTTGCAGGGCATGACCTCACCCCATGTCAGCTGGGTTCGAAACCTTTCCTGCCCTCCTCCTCTGAGCCAGCTTTGCGACCTCCTCCTCCACTTTCACCGCCACCTCTTCCTCCTCCTCCTCCTCCACCTCCACCCCTACCTCCACCTCCACCTCCTACCCTTCTGCTTTGCATGTGCCCTTGCCGCTAGTTCTGCTGCCTGGCCAGGTGAGTCCAAAGGGTGGTTCGAGCTTTTTCGGTATATCGCGTTGGCGTCGGTCGGCTAGCCGGACTAGGATAGTCGGGTCGGTCGGGTCGGTCTAGTTTGGGGGTTTGGGAGGAGCACTTGCATATCGACAGCTTTTCAGCACCAGCTCATCAGCTAGTTCTCCAGGCCAGCAGCAAACTTTACGCCAGCTTTACGACAGCACTGTTTTACTACTTCTCCGCCGCCGTCACACCTACTTTTCTACACCTACTTCTTTACGGCTTGGCAATACTAATTTTTTAGTCCTGGCGGCTTAGGTGGGTAGTTCCGACATCCTCTTCCGACATCATCTTCACTTCGTCATCACGAGGTCGCAGTCTTCACGGACGCCTTTCGGTCAGTCCTACGTTTGGTACAATCTTCCCAGCTTCATTCGTGTGTGGTTCGTCTTTCCACCCCTACTTCGTCCCCCACCTCTATCCCTCCAGCTCCCTCCTCTTTCCCTTCTCCCCCGCCTTTTCCTCCAGCTCCTCCCTGGCCAACGATTGGCCATCTCCACTCCGCAGTCCTTTATCCCGCAGTCCTTTATCCCGACGGGACGTTCAGTTCGGTCGGTCGGTCGCCCCGCCGGTCAGTCGGTCGGTGCTTCCCGCACTTCCGCCGCTCAGAGATGTTGAGCCCCCGAGCCCCATCCTCGCTCCCCCTCCCTACTCTCCCCCCCCATCCCTGGTGCCGTTCTTAACCCACCGTCACCTTTCCCCCCTCGATCCCAAGGGCTCTAAGTTCCACCGGATTGTGAGGGGGTTTTGCTGCCAAGGGGGCGACATCGTGAGGGGTGAGGGGGAGTGGGCGGGTGGGGGGATGTTGGGGCCGGGGGATGTTAAGGATGGGTACCCATCCTGAACATGGGTAGAAGGAGGGAGGGAAGAGGAGAGGAGGTGGAGGAGGAGGAGGAGGGAAGGTGGAGGAGGAAGGGAAGAGGAGGGGGGAGCAGGGGACGGAAAGGGGGCTAGCCACGACCCCCTCATTCCCCCCCTCTCCTTCGCGGCCTGCCCCTCCTCCCATCCTCCCACCCGCCCCTTTTGTTCTCTCAAGTTACGACAGCCGTGGTGGGTTGTCCGCAGGCGACGGCTCGGGAGGAGATTCCATCTTCGGCGGTCAGTTCAATGACGAGAAGCCCGGTCTGAAGCTCAAACACGACGGGCCCGGGATATTGAGCATGGCTAATAGCGGCAAGAACACCAACACAAGCCAGTAGGTACACCTGGCGGGGTTTGGAGGGGTATGGAGGGGTATGGGAGGGGGGTATGGGAGGGGGGTATGGGAGGGGGGTATGGGAGGGGGGTATGGGAGGGAGTTTGTGAGTCGAAACAAAGGGGACATGGGGGAGCTTTGGGTGGGGTACAGGATGCGGGAGACTTTTTAAAGGAAGGGGGAAGGGAGATGAAAGAATTCCAGTCATCGTGACCCAGGGGCCGTTCAGAAGGCACAGGAACCTCAGACCTCCGAGCCCTTTTTTATTTCGTGTGCATCAACCATAATAACGGCCGCAACCACCACCACCGTAACCACCATCCCAAGCAGGTTTTTCTTCACGCTGGCAGCTGCACCTCAGTGTGATGGTGGGTGGGGAGGGAGAGGGGGAAAAGGGGAGAGGGGAGCTCGCCCAGCCGGCGGGAATAGCGGGAGTAAGGGAGATGGAGAGGGCTAGCAGAGGGACGGGGCTTGCCCTCCCCTTTGACCGCCCTTTAGTCTCCTCCTTCTCCTTCTCCTTCTCCTTCTTCCCCTTCTTCCCCTTCTTCCCCTTCTTCCCCTTCTTCCCCTTCTTCCCCTTCTTCCCCTTCTTCTTCTCCTTCTTCTTCTTTTCTTCTTCTTCTCCTTTTCCTTCTTCTTCTCCTCTTCTTCCCCTTCTTCTCCTTCTCCTTCAATTGTGTTGTGCCCTGTCTTGTCTTGTCGGCTAACCAGGGAAACACGTGGTCTTCGGCAAGGTGGTGGAAGGCCTTGACATTCTGGCGCGGATAGGTACGTACTGCACAACTGTCGTACACAGGACGTGAGCACACAAACCTGACGGCGACGTTGACCCTCGTGGTTTCGGCGCCACGGATCGAAGGCATGACTTCACCAGGAGGCCGGGTTATACCTCATGGATGGATGGATGGATGGATCGTGGATGGATGCGCCGTGCTTCTTTGACCTTTGCTTTCTGCATCAGGTGCAACAGTATTTCCTAACACCCATCACCCAGCAGCAAAAACGAACGTCATGGCCATCTCATCAACCTCTCCCGCCCTTACCCGGATGTGCTACCGCCACAACGGCCCTGCGCAGACTCAGAGGCTGCAAGTCCTGACGGCTCTCCGCGGGTGGATGTCACCATAGCAGACTGCGGAACGTGTTGAGCTGCCTGCTGGGGTTGCCTAATCAGGACTTAGTGGAGCTGGATGGCCCTAGGGTGGGGCTTGGGAGGGCCCTGGGCAGAGTTCGGATTCAACAAAATCGGATTTCAAAACATCATGAAATGCAAGCTGCAGCAAAACAATAACTGCCGACATCCGAAGCATCACCAGACTGCTTTCGGAGTCCAAAATGGTTAGGTAGCTTGCTCGGGTGGTTCCGGAGCGTAAGGATTGGGAGGGGAGGGAAGGGGGAGGATGTGCGGGGGGCTCTTCTCGAGCTCGTGCTCGTGTTCGTGGTAGCAGGCAAGCAAACTCGTGCTCGTGGCACATCAATCGTGGCAAAAAAGGAGCGCCCTGCGCCCTCTGACTCGCACTTCAATCAACATGCGTATTTCATTACCATGCAGAAGTTTCGATGTCGTGACTTTTTCCTCAGCCAGCAGGGACTTTGGACGTCTTTGTTTTGCCCCATGGTGCCTACTACCCCTGGGGCAGAGGATGTGTGTGAACACATAATTGCCTTGGGCTGCCTTGGGCGTGCGCGTGTCTCCTTGTTTTCAGCCGCGGCTTGCTCTTGCCCTCTGTTGGGAACCTGTGCGTTCTGCCGCTTCTTAGGGGGGGGGCCCTACACTCTATCACCCTCTTGAGTAGTGGGCTGCTGATTTGCATTTCATACAGAGTCTCTCGAGCTTCGGGGTGAGCTGTACTGTACTGCTTTTCAAGGTGCGCGTTTTTGTGTGTCTTGTAGGTTACCCAGTGTTGCAGAGCACGGCAGGCCGTTGTGTCCCCCCCCGATGTCGGCCCCCTAGCGCCCTGCTGGGGTACTCCAAATCTTGGGATCTGGGGCGCTCGCTGTAATACCTAGCTGCTACTACTACTGCTACCAAACGACGCGACGGTTATGTTGAATTTACGTAGGTTTGCGACAATCGACTGGCGTTGCATATTTGTTGGTTTGGACGGAGACTGATGCATTTGTGCTTTTGGGATGAGTCTCTTGCACCTATAAGTTTTATCTGGATTATTATGATTTTGCGGTGCGTTTTCGCGCCGCCCACTTGTTTAGATTTCGTAATTGCGGCGTAGAATAATTACGTGTGTAAGTGCCATGGATTTTCCTATCGTCCTATTTGTTACTGGCACAGGCGGAAACTATCCCACTTCGCTCGGCTTTCGCTCCGAGAAGGGAAAGGAGGGAAGAGTCCTAAAAGTTGGATAGCCGGCGGCCGATGGCGTGCTCTAGCTACCGGTGCTCATGCTTCCTCTATTTTTGCGGTTTTGACGTTTTTTCTTCGCCGATAGGCAATCACAAAAACCGAAAAAGGTATTTTCCGGTTCGCCGGAAAGGTAAGATTTGTAGCACATGATGAGGATGTGAAATTGCGACCCTGCCGCGTGTTCAAAAATGGATCGTGAACCGACTTGGGGCCGGCCGGGTGCGGAGTAAGCCTACCTGCCCTACCACAGCTACCTGAACCGTTTGCTAAACATAGCTCATAAACATTTACAGGAAAAAACGCGCTTTCAGTTTATACCCGTGAAATGCATCGCAGGCTTAAGTGGTTGGGGATAAGTGCTCTCGAGTACAGCTTGGCGGCTCGCGTCAGACCCAGAGGCCAAAATTCCTATGACTTTAAAACTTCTAATACGCTGGGGATGCCTGGCCATTCCCTGTTAGAAATGTCTTTAGTGGATAAGCATTATTTTAAGCTTAGCACAAAAAACTGCTTGGGAGCACGTTGTCCAGGCTGTGGATAGAGGAGGTTAGTTGCAGTTGGGCGTCGAAACGGCCGTTGCTCTGACAAATCTAAGCGCACAAATGTTCTTGATACCTTTCAGCAATACCAAAACAAATCTATCTTTTCAGCTTTTTAGTATGCATTTGCACTGGGCAGGCTTTAGGCCCCGTGGCCCCCATCGATATTGTGCGATTGACATGCGTATCCACTGCTGCCTCCGGCAGCGAACTGAAAAGCATGCGTCTAAACCATCGGCAAAATCAGCAAAATTTTAACGTGCTTCGGATGGATATAAAAGATGTTGTACGAACACTTTTGGCCTCAATCGTAGGCCAGGCCAGATGTAAGACGATATCAATTAGATTGACGGCCGCACTAGCGTCGCGATGTATCGAACTGAATATGAATATAAAATACGTATTGTAGCGAGGCTCCATATCGTCGTCATTGTTCAGCCGTTGACTGATATCATCGCTTGGCCTAGTCTGGCGAAACAGTCTAGCCGTGCAAAATGAACTTCTTCTATTCGGCGTTCCTGGTATTCTTATCAGTTTGGTGAGTTTCATTGCTAAATCAACGGTCAAAGTGTACCCAACGCGAACTGATATCAGCTCTTTTCCAATCCCCCAAGCTCGGTTCATGGAGGAAAATACAACCTGACCGGCACCTTGAAGTCATCATTGGTTGCGAGTCATCATGCACCGACTGAGACCTGCTTAGGTTCGTGTCTCGGTTGAGCTGGGGCTGCGCAGAGGTTGTTGCGTAGTGATCGTCGTGAGTTCCCAATTCCAAACGAAGGCCGCACTGATACAGACGCATAATACGTTTAGATGCTCTCAGTTGCTGAGTTTATAGACAGTTTGGTGCCGTCGTCAGCGAACCTTTACCCTTCCTTTCCCTCACATGTCAGGAACAAATGACTCTCGCCTGTATCACCCCGTATAGCAAGCATCCCGCCACAAACTCCCTGACCCACAGCTTCTTCTGGAAACAATATATTATTATAGACCTCCTAATTGCAATCAATTAGCTTCCGGGGCTCGGCGCTTCTCTAGCCTGGAAAGCGGAGGTAAGAGGCTAGTAGGCTTGCGCATTGGCAAGATGGATGTGCGGCTTGGCTACTTCGTAACCGCGTCATGAGTCACGTCAAGTACGGCTGTACAGTTATAAGTTGACGCAGTACACCTCCCGTTCCCTCCCATTTTCCTCCCAAGATGTTCAAGTAAACGTGTAGCATACGATGCTCCGTCCTGCGACAGTCCCCCACGAAGGGCCTTCTGACTTTCCCTCCCTCTCCCCCGCCTCCTCTCTCCCCCCTTCCCCCAACCTCTCCCCTCTCCTCTAATCCCCTCCAGCTCCGGGCGCATGTATACCTGGTGGGTCGGTGGGCGGGTCGGTGGGCGGGTGGCAGTGGGCGGTAGTGGGCATGTAGTCGTCACTTGGGGACTCGGTGTCATAGGCAGGTAAATGCGCAGGTAATCGAGTGCCTTTTCAACTAGGTTGGTAATTTTGTTGGTGGTTGACGGTTGGCGGGTAAAGGAGAGACCCCGCGCCCCGCGGGCCTCCGGAGGAGGTGGGCAACCCGGGCAGCACCTCACCTCACCTCAATTCTCACCCCTCATCTCTCGCCTCTCATAGGCCGGCAAAAAAATGTGACTGCATCGCGACTTTGTTTTTGCCTCACCCCCCTGTTGATTCGTATTTATCCATCTTTTGGTTGTGGCTACATCCCGATCTGCGCCGACCCGTAATGCCCTAACCTCCAACCCATGTCGGGTCCCACCCGGCACATACACACACACATACACACACACACGCACACGCAACCCCCCCCCTCGGCCCCTCACAGTGAATCAGACCATCCCTGGACAGACTCTGTGGTATTGGTGCGGCTTCCACTCCACGCACAAGACCGCCTATAAGGTCATTTCCAACCATGCCACCAACAATTTATCCGGCTCCTGGATGATACGGAAATCCGTACTGCTGGTGGGTGGTTGCTTGGTTGGGGGTTAGATGTGAAGGGTATACGGCAGCTTGCGACGTTGCGATACTGCTTTCTCTCTCTCTCTCTCTTTCTCTTTCTCTCTCTCTCTTTCTCTCTCTCTCTCTTTCTCTCTCTCTCTTTCCCTCTCTCTCTCTCTCCCCCTCCCTCCCTCCCTCTCTCTCTCCATCCCCCTCTCTCTCTCTCCATCCCTCCATCTTTCTCCACACACTCCCCCACACACACTCCGGGCCCCCCCCAACACACACATACCGGATACCACTGGGTGCGTGACTCGGGTGTCCTTAACAAGGGTTGCGCGTACCCCTGGTGGTGTAAATGCCTTGCTTGATGTAATATAATTGTCAGCCAGCATCCGCCTTTCATTGGTCGGCCTTTGCGGTTGCATCAGCAATAAAAAAACTACCCCAACAACAAAAAGTGTCGCAATCGCATTACCTTTGTATGATGAGCAATTAAAAAATATCACGCCGTTTTATGCATTATGCGTTTTATTTATTACAATCATGCTCTTCTGACCTCCCCGCCCCCTCGCCTCCTGGGAAAAAACACACACGCATGCACGCACACACACAGGACTGTGTCCTCCCCAACTTGGCAACCGTGGAGAACTGCCCGACAGTACCAGGTACATGGGGGGCCCAACCGAATACACTTCCTTTGGGGTCATTTAAATGATGTACAAAAGCACAAGGCAATTAAGCTTGATGGCACCTGGCCTCGAAAGGCTCTGAAGAAGGAACCCGGGGGGCCGCAGGCCTTGTTATGAATTAAGGAATGGCATGTCTTGTTTAGGCGCTGAATATTTTGAAATAGAAAATATTCAAGAAAGTTCCTCTTCAGCAAATGTAGATGGATTAATTTCTTCATGCTTCCAGTTTGTGACTGTATCTTTTTGTATATTTTTTTCATGGTCCATTAATTGTTTAATCCGAAGCAAACGGTCCACAATTCCCCACATCGAACGAAATGACACCGCTCCCGTCGCAAGCACGCACGCCGCCTTGTGCATTCGTTGCCCCGCTCAGAGACGTCCTGCACCTCGAAGAAAAGCTGCGCAGTTCGGACGTTCGGCTTGGTGTTCGCTGACGAGACGTAAGGAACGGGGGGGAGCGCATTTCGAAGGTGCACTGTATGTTATGTATGTATGTATGTTGTATGTATGTGTGTGTATGTATGTATGTTGTATGTATGTGTGCACCCTCATTCACGAGGCGAAATCAGGGTGGCCTGCTTTCCGGTAATGTGGTGTCGCGCACGCAGGTGGTAGTGTTGCCACTTTTGTTAGGTAGTTACATTCGTTAGGTACCTTGATATATTCGCTTGGTTTGCGTTCTCGAGCTCGTGATGTTTTTATGTTCGTCGACAACTTGTGTATTCGATTGGAGAGATTGAATACCGGTTTGGCCGGGCCGGGCCGGGCAGCAGCAGCAGCAGCTGCTGCTGCTAGATCGGAAATCGAGTTGTATCCGAATGTAACCTTTCCGCTCGCTTTGGATGGCTGCGGATCGTAATCATGATCAACCAAATTGTGCAGGTGCTTGATGGTGATCAACAACAAAGCCAGTGCCATAGTGGCGACCATTAAAGTCAACAACTGGTATAGCTGTAAGTAATTTGTCAAACTTGCAATTTTGTTTTACCAAGCATATGACGGTTCGGGCGCGGGGTCGTAGCTGGGCGGAATTTTTAGAACCTGCCGCCCGTTAATCCTCTTCACTTTGCACTTCTCCCCATCCTCTTTATCTCGCGTCTGATTGTATGATGTATGATGTTTGTCTGTTGTGATCTACAAACAGATCCCCTAGCTGGACAACCATTTGTAAATTACGCACATCATGATTGGACAGAGATTAAGTTTGTCATGCGCACTTTTTTGACTGACTGGCATTCATATCTGGGACCGGCGCTGTCTTCGAGCGTCTGTGACATCGCGCTTGCAAACCCCCATGCTGCCCCCTTATTTCCCTTTCCTCACGTCTTAAAACGCGGTCCCCCCTTCCTCCTCGCCTTTACCACTGCTTTCTCACTATTTCCACTTCGTTATCTTGCTCTCTGTTCCCCTCCTCCCGCCGCCTCCTCGCGCCCCCCTGCCCGCAATCCACCGCATCCGGCACCACCACCTCAGCCTCCCGGTACTACGGAACGGTGTTCACGGTCGTCCTGGCGGTGGCCGGACTTACCGGGGTGCTCTCGAACGTCGCTTTCCAAGTATGTATGTATGTATGTATGTATGTATGTATGTATGTATGTATGTATGTATGTATGTATGTATGTATGTATGTATGTATGTATGTATGTATGTATGTATGTATGTATGTATGTATGTATGTATGTATGTATGTATGTATGTATGTATGTATGTATGTATGTATGTATGACGTTGATTACACTGTGGGCTGAAAAGCCGGGGGCCCAGGGCCGTAACACAGTATGTATGTATGTATGTATGTATGTATGTATGTATGTATGTATGTATGTATGTATGTATGTATGTGCGCAATGGACATGCCGGCGTGTGTGTGTGGCGTGTCTAGCTAGTAGCTGGCGTGTCTGGCTGAGGGGCTACTAGCTGTGGGGAACCTGGCGCTGTATCTGCCAGCTGCTCCCCGCCCCGCCCCGCCCCAACACAGCTCACTTCTGCTGGGCGCTCATTGCTTATCCAACCTGCGTACGTACGTACGTATGTACATGCATACATACATACGTTACATACATACACGCACGCTAAGGGTACTCATATGTCGTCCTCATGTACCTGTCCCTCTGTCCGCCTGCCTGCCATGATATCTCCTTTGTTAATTGCGTTACACACCCTGTATCTGTTCCCCACCCCACCCCACCCCGCGCACGACGCAACGCAGATGTACACGCGGTGTAAGTCACCGGTGGGCAAGCCACGGCCGCACGTGAAGCGCGAGGACGAGCTGACCCAGGTGGTCAGCCTCGTGGACGACGATCCCAAGTCCGCGGCCGCCGCAGTTCCCGTGCACAGATCCTCCTGGTACAAGAAACTGCTCTTCAGCTTCCGCTCCAAACAGTCGACCTCCGATAAGGACGAAGCGTAATATATTCATAACGGTCCAATATACCAGCAGCACGCGGTCTTGTACGGCTGAGAATAAGCCTATAGCTTGTAGCTCGGAGCTCGGTAACCAGGCTGGGCACGTTGACGACAAGAGGAGCAGCAGTAGTTTTCAGTATTATCTGCTTAGATTTGCGTTTGTTATTTTGCTGTTTTTGTTGTTATTAAAACGACGGAACTCCTCGGGGTCTTGTTGTTTTTTTTGTTTGTATGGGGGACCTGGGAAGTACATCCTGGCTTCCTGGTGTCGATAGATTGACATGCACAGGTGTGAGTAGTATCGCAGTTCTTGGAACGCGTCTGTATGACGTTTTGGAAAGGAACGCTGTGCGCGAGTGATGAGGGTGCTGCATATTGGCCTTCACCTATGCATCCATAGCTGTTTGTGCACGTGTGTGTGTCTATGTGGGTATGCGTGCATGTATGTGTGTTTCTGTATGTGTATGTGCCTGTATATGTATGTGCTATATATCAAATCCGGGCCTGACACTGGCCAGGGGCACCTAACCGTAGAAACCCCAACGGAACGACCGCCGAAGTGGTCACTCTCCTTATTGTGGGGGGGAGAGGGGCGTGAGGGGCCACACTCCCCTCCTGCTCGACCGGTGGCTACCACCGCCCTCAAACAACCAACTCCAGTACGCGCTGCGTCCCAGTTCCGTCCATGCAGCCTGCGCCTTGCGCAGCAGGCGCGGCTGCGCATCCTCTGTATGTATGTCTGTGTGTATGTGTGTGTGTCCGTATGTGTGTTTCTGTGTATGTGTAAGAATGTGTGTGTGAATGTGTATTTCACATGGTCGCGTGCGTACGTACCCCTACCCATAAACCTGCGCCACACGAGCCCCCGTGGCAGCTGAAGGCTTCTCATCAAAATCTCTCTCTGTCGAAAGGCAACAATTTGCAGAGCGACAGAGAGAGAGAGTAAGAAGGAGAGGTCCGCTCAAGGCGTGAGGAGCTGTTGAAGTGTAGCGTTTTTTTCCCGAACCGGCTGACTGGCCGGCCCCGCTGCAGGGCTGCTTGATATTTATAAATCGATCACATGTGAGGTGATGGCCGCGCTGCAGGGAACGAGATCCTTGTTTGCGCCCGGCGGATCCGGATCCCGACGGATCCGGTAATTGTTTGAACAGGGTGGGTGCCCTGCACTGCTTGGGATGTGCGCCAGGAAGGACTGTGTGTGATACTAATGAACGGACCATGAGGCTCCTAATCAAGCTTGGGAACCCGAAATCCACTTGTAGTGGGTTTCGAACATGGGACTCCCTCGTTGGCGGCACTTTTGGACTCTGGTATAGCACGATCTAGCTGCACGCGCACAATTCGTATTTCCTTCGTACCTTCGAAAGAGGACTGCCGGCTTGGTTGCTTAGATTGGCAATGCCTTTCGGTGTCTGAAAGCTTTGACTATACAGTAATGCGGTGCGTGTGTGGATGTATGTATGTATGCGTGTGTGTGAATGTGGATGCAGATACATAGATACGCACGAACATAACCGTATGAGTCTGCGTGCATGCGCCCCTAATGACCCAGGTGTGAATGTTTGTGTACTTGTGTGTATGTGTGTGGACGTGTGTACACGTTTGTACGTGTGTGCATGTGTGTGTGTATTGTGAAGATTACAAGTATCTGACCGGGCCTGACACTGCCCAGTCCCGACGGAAAGACCGCCTAAGAGCTCTCCAGCGGACGGGAGAGGGGCGCGAGGGGGGCTGCTGACCCCTCCTAAGCAAACAAGAGCCGTGTGTATGTGCGTGTGTGTACGTGCGCGGAATGGTTAAACACGGCCACACGGACGCGACACACGTTTGGAGCGACTCTGTGTGTGCGCTTCCACATCAGGTGGCTTGCGGATATGCAGGACTATCCCACATCTATATATGTACTGTACTGTGCAAAGGGCGACGTAGATGTACACTAACAGCAATAACAGTATGTCTAATGCAGGACACTGGGCCGAGGTTATATACCTGGCGTACAACCAAATGCCAATGCTGGTACTGCATACTTAGCCGCTGCTGTTGCTGTTGTTGCTGCTAGCTGCTGCTGCTGCTGCTGTGGGTGTCACGTTGTTGTTGATATATAGCTGTTCATCAGCATAGCAAAATCCGTGGCCCTGAAAATATGCCGGGAGCTGGCCATGGGCCTTCCGGTAGGTTCATTTGGACTTAAGTACAAGCTCCGGAGCAAGCTTGTAAAAAAACCATATCCATCTTTTCATGCCATCCTAAAGGACGCATGTCAGAAAGGTCCTGCTGCTGCTGTTGCAGCGACGACTTCTGTCATGTGGTTGTCGATTTCTCTGCAGTACGGTAGTCGTCGTAGGCTTTGCTTGCCGTGTGTGTGTGTGTGTGTGTGTGTGTGTTACATGGTTGGGGGATGCGTGACCCTATACCTGTAAAACTATCCATACGAGCCGAAGGCCCAAGGGCAAAAAAAATACCTAAACGCCTAAAAGCCACGGAGAACAGGAAACACCGCACTATCAGCCCAGACTAGCGCCCAACGGGAATAACTGAGTTGCGGTGAGCCGTTACATACGTTCCAACATCCTCGCCAGACAGCCTGCTGGCTCCCATTTCATGGCCTCCAACGTGCTCTGTTGTTGATCGAATCCCTCTTCAGCACAATATCATTAAAGGCTGGGCATTCCAATGACACGTGTTCTTCTTGCTTGCTGCGTATGTAACTGCCTCACAACGAACTTGCGGTGATTAGCACTTAGCACATTTCAGGGGCAGCCAAGACCCCAGGCCCTGCTCGTCATGTACTTGTTTCACAATCTGTTGTACTTGTGGCGGTGGTGGCAAATTGATACACAGCAAGTAAAAGCAAAACCCCCTGCCTACCTACCTACCGTACACCTACCTACCAACCTACCGTACACCTACCTACCTACCTACCTACCTACCGTACACCTACCAACCTACCGTACACCTACCTACCTACCTACCTACCTACCGTACCTACCTACCTACCTACCTACCTTGCTACCTACCCTGACATTAAAACACACACTCACACAGACATCGGCAAACGGGGTATTTCTGGTTTCGGGAACGGGTCTATTTCTGTCATCATTGACCACGGCCGTCGGGCAGACCTTCGGGCGCATAACGCCTTTCGTATACGGCGTACGATCCTATTTCTGCAAGCCGGCCGGCTTCGGGAACTCTATTTCTGTTTTCGGGAGTTTCTTCGGTACGACCCGAAACCCCCCAATCGTTTGCCGACGTCTGCTGTAGCAGCTGACCGCTGAAAAGGTCTTTCGAGATGGTGGTGGTCGCGCTACGCGCGTATTTATAGCGCCGTACTGTGTACCGGCTGCTACATCTGCACTCACATACATATAGTCAGTCATATATGAAGTCGGAAGTAGCAGTATATTGTTTGAGTGTGTGTGCATGTGTGTATATACACACAAGCACACATACATACATTGCGACATCCGACCTCATACGGCAGCGTTGCCTGCGTTCCTCTGCTCCCCCTTCCCCTCCCCCTCCTCCCCCTCCTCCTCCTCTTCCCCGTCGCCCTCCTCGCGGCCCAGTTTGTCTGGCCCTGTTTGTTTTCCCCTAAGGAACACCACAGCAGCCCGACAGACCTCATACGGTTGGTCGGTAGGTAGGCAGGCAGATGGTAGGTCGGTAGGTGGTAGTAGTAGATATATATGTGTATATATGTGTGTGTATATGTGTGTGTCGTGTGTATATGTCTGTATATGTGGATGTACGTATATACATGTGGGTGTGTAGCTGTGAAGCAGTGTGCACATGACCTGCACATGACCTCCTGTTCCAGGCGTAATAACAAACCCCCCTCGCATCTGTCGTGGTGCAATCTCTGCTGCAGGCAGGCTGCCGCTTCCCTGCTGCTACAGTAATAGCTGTCGTACAGTACGGCACACTTCGTCAACAAATGCGCGGCCTAAAAAGCGCACGATGCCAACGTCCTCAGTGAGGCCGTTTCAGCTGCCAGAAGCTATATACCTACTACACCGGCGGGTGCATACACGTGCATGTGTGTACACAGGTTCTATATCTCATTTTAGAGATGTATGATAAGCTTATCATTTGGCATTCGGCAGGGCCCCCGGGGCTAGCGAGGGGACCCACATTGAGGTGTCCTCTCACCCATGCAAACGCTCATGCCCCACCCATTACGGAAGCTGTACTGCCGGAAAGCAGCGGAAAGGTGAATCACCAACCAAACCTGTTCACTCCCGTATCCCACCAGAATTTCATGTTTTATATGATTAGTTACAATATTACTTGCGTGTTGAGACACATACACAGACACAGGCACGGTGTATGTATAAATTAAATACATACACCGTCATGGCGATCCGTGCACAACATAAATCCATTTCACATTGCGTAATAATCGCCTGTGTATGTCCGCATGCCCGTATGTATGTATTGATGTATGTATGTGTTGATGTATGTATGTATGTATGTCGGAACCGCCAAGATCCTTACATCGCAAGCATGGTGATATGATCCCCAAGTCACCCCGCCACGACTGGCCCTTCCAGAGCCAGCCAGGCCTCCGCGACAGTCCACCACAGACATACGTACATACAGACAGCTGCGGGTCGCGTATCAATGTATCGGTATCTATCACTTGAATGATATTGGGATGGATGCCCTAAAGTGCCGCAAACACCAAATCACCACCGCCGCCGCCACCAGCACTCAACCGCCTCAACCACCACCGCCTCAACCCCGATGACTACATGACCGTATCTAGAAGTGCGCCACCATCTACTTCACCCCTAGCACCGCGCCTCGCCTGGGACCCCATCCCACCCGCATACATACCTACATACATACAAACTCACAAACACACGCAGCAAACATACACCCAAGTCTCTATAACCCCGGCTCCCAAACACACACTGCCTTTCCCCCCCGCAAACCCCCATCGTCACCTTTGTCCTTCAGGATGAATGAAAACAATCCTAACGTTTGACTCACATACATACACACACACGTTCACACACCCTATCGCTTAAAATGGAAACGTCGTGCAGCACGTGGGACGTCCTAAACGCAGTTCATAAGACGACGCAGACAGCCGCCCCTTTTCCCTTCCCCCTCGTCTGCCTGTATGCCTGTCTGTGAGCCAGCCAGTCCGTCTGTCTACCTGCCTATCTATCTGTCTGTCTGTTTGTCTGTCGGTCTCAGTGTCCTGTAGATGCAGCTGCTTGGCGGTTACGGGCTTGGGCCTCCTGCGGAATGTGTATGATGTGCGGGACAGGGGGTTCCTATCTTACGGTCAGAACTTCTTCTTTAAGAAAAGCAGCTACGTACATACACACATAAGTACATACACACAAGGCACCCAATTGACAAGTCTTTGGTTTCTTGCAGCCTAAGACTCCCTCCCCAATCCCTCCATTCTCTCCTTCCTCAGGCCCCCCCAAACCCACCTGCAGAGCTAGCACCAGGGAGGGTTCGTGTTGTCGTGCATGATGTACGAGATACTCCAGACTCTGCATCTCCGTCAGCCGACTGATGGTGCGGTCCTTGGAAAACCCTAGGTTGTCGTCCACCTGCCAATTGAGACGGGGGGGCGGGCGGGGGGCGCCGGGGGGGGGGCCGCCGGGGGGGGGGGGGGGAATGAAACCGGGGGAAAATAGGGAGAAAAAGACCAGGGAAAGGGGAAGGGGGGAAAGGTATACCTGGAACACACAGCCCGGGAGCAACCTGAGGGGGAACGGGGCGAAGGCGGGATGGGCAGGGGCCGCGGAGGACAGGTACGGGAATGACGACTAGAGCAGGTTTAAATAGTGCGGGATGCGGTCCGAATGGGTTTCCACACCCCGCCAGTCCCTTACCCCCCTTGCCCCTTGCCCCCCTTTCACCGATCAAGGGGGAGGTCACCTACGTAGCTCGCTTCAGTGAAGGTATCCTTGCAACAACCATTCTTGCCATTCTCTTCTCGCGGCTCAAATCTTAAAAACACAGACCCACAGACAGGCAGACAGACAGACAGACACACCTCAGGCCCGGCCCCCCAAACCCACCACCACGTCAGGCAGAGCAGCCAGGTCGGGTCCCTTAGCCGCATCGAACTGCGTGATGATGTTCACGAAGAGGTCCGTGGGGGCGGCTTCAGCGGTCACCAACAAACGGGTCCTGATGGCGGGTGGCGAGGAAGTGGGGAGGAAGTGGGGAGGAAGTGGGGAGGGAAGTGGGGTGTGAGGGTCCATGTGCGCACTCAAAGAAAGGGATTCCGCGACGGCAAGCACACCAAACAGCGGCAGACAGACAGACAGACAGACAGATAGACAGACAGACAGGCAGAAATGAGCGAGAGGAGAGGGGGCTACCCACTCCCTGAACTATGTATGAGCCCTTCCCCCTTCTCTTTGCTAGCCCCACGATCCCACCCGCGCCAGAGGACGATACGATACGTAACGCATAAGTCCCTCTTTATCGTACATGCCGCCGTACCTGGCCTCGTACATGACGTCAATGAGCGTTACGAAGCGGTATGCCTCCGTACGGTTCGCGGCACGAAACACAGGCACTCCCCGCAACGCCACCGTGTGGTAGGTGGCGGTGAGGGCGAGGTAGTCGGCTGCTGCCACGGGTCGACCGCACAGCTCCTGGAACGAAAACATGCAGACCTTGCCTGAGTGTGGAAGCGGGGGAGGGATGGGCAGGGGAGGGGGGAAGCAATGGAACACGGGAACATATATAAACAATAATAATGGTAACAAATAATAACTTATAATGATAATAATAATATAACTAATAATAAAAACAATAATTTAATAAATATAATGATAATAATGATAATCAATAATAATAAGAATAATAAGAATAAGAATAAGCAGCATTTTTCCAAATACTATAGTGCAGCCTTGCTTAATTCCCCACTATCTAAAACTTCTGTTAGTTTCGCTCTATTTCGGATAGTTTAAAAAAATATTTATTCCCTTATTTTAATAATGGTAAAATACGCAAATTACAGGAAGCTCTGTTAAATCATCAAATTTTACGGAATTCCCTGGCACAAATGCCCATTTGTATATAGAATTAGAATAATAACAATAATAATATAATGATAATAATAATAATAAATGTGTGGACATGATAATGGTTTACACACATCCGTTCTCACCCAAGCTGTCCCGCAGTTCCCGGTCCCAGCCCCTGACTGCCAGTCACACTCTTCACGGGGAGGCGGCCGCTTCCTCCCTTCCCTCTGCCTGCTGCTGCTATTTCCGGGCCCCCTCCCTCCTACCTCCAAATTCACCACATACCTCTTCCCCCGATCCATACACCCACGAAACCCCTTTTAACCCTCCCCCAACCCTCCACACACACATACATAAATACATACATACATGCAGGCGGCTGGCAGAAGTTAAGGCCTGACTTCTGCTCCCAGTCGATCCAGTCGACCCGGGTTCAAATCCGCCTGCCAGCTCCTCGGGTGTTTGAGGAGTGATGAAATGGGAGGTGGCCCCCCATCTTGTGGACGGTGTAGGACGTGATAATATCAACTTGCGAGCTGACCAGGAACTAAGTTGATGCGCCGTTGATCCGCTAGATTTGGTTGGATGCTGGTGGTGAGTTGCCGAACCCAACGAATACATTCTGAAGTCGGATGGGGTGACGGATTAGGGTGCCCCTCTAGCAGGGGAGAGCAGGGACTGCCCCGGGAAAGGGGGCCGCTGGCGAAGTTAACCACCCTGTAACAACATACATACATGCACACACCTCCCCATCTCCTTCTCCTAGCTCAGATTGTTAAAACACACACACGAACACGCACAACTACCCCCATTCCCCCAACCCAACCACCCAACCACCTGCCGCAAGAGGTACTTCCAGTGACCGCCCCATCATCACCTCCACCCTGCCGGGCGCCGGAGAGACCCCCGCCTCCGAAACCAGCTCGCGAAACCGCTCCAGGAGAGGGTCCCCCAAGGGGGAATACAACGAGGACGAGGGTGGCGATGACTGCAAGGTGGCGGAAGCGGTACTCCCAGCGCCGCCGCCGCCGCCGCCGCCAGCGACTCTAGGAGTAGTGATGGTGGTGGTGGCGGCGGCGGGGGACGCAGGTGGTACGACGAAATACAGACCCCGCTGGTGCTGAGCGAGTCGGCGGTAGTCGGTGGTGCTGTTCATATCGTGACAGCGGCACTGGGTCTATACTGGGTCCGCACGGGGAGTGCGGGAGCGGGTCGTGGTGGGGAGGGGGAGTCGTGTAGGCTGGAGAGTGTGGGGAGGGGAGGGGGAGGGGGAAAGAATGCAGCATTGGACAGGAATGTCACACCGAGCTTTCCTTCCATCCTGTCCCGCCCATCCAACCCTGGGTGTTTCCCGTCCCGTGCACTTACACATAACACATCCGCCCCACTTACCTCCCCCCCCTCCCCCCAAGAGCGACGGCCCTCCCTTGACACTCCCCCCTCATTCCCAACCCCCCCAGCCAAGACCCTTACTTCCCCCCTTTGATACTCTCTTCCTCCTGGCAGCAGCTTCAATCGTGTGTGGTCCGTCTTTCCCCCCCCCCCCCAACCCGCACCTTGATGCGATGTATGAAGGGCATGAACAGGTTTCTCTGCAGGCCGCCCTTGTACAGGTCGTCCGGGGGACGGTTGCTGGTGGCCACGAGGACCAGGCCACGGTCCCACAGCCGACCAAATAACCTGTGTACGACACATGGGGACGTACGGCATAGGATTGGGGAAATACACCCACCTATTGGGGAGACGCCCGGAGCGAGTTAAATAAACATCTCCCCTGCTTCCTGCGGGTGTTGCCTTGTTGATTTGGAGAAGTTGGTGGTGTCAAGTCTGGTTGCCTGTCTTTGTTTGTCTGTTTGTCTGTCTGTACCCTTTTCCTCATCCGCCATTCCGTTTTCATCTGTTTGTCTGTTCTTCAGTACGTCCGCTTATCTGTCTGTCTATCTATCTGTCTACCTGCCTGTCTGTCTGTGTCTTTGTGCCTGTCTGTGTACCTGTCTGTCTGTCTGCTTGCCTGTCTACTTTCTGCGTTTATGCGTGTGCACGTGTGTCTCTGTATGTAGAACGTATGCTTCAATTAAAGACCGGGCCACGGAGCAGAGTGGTACGGGACTCTGTGCGCGTGGGAATGTGCATTACCTAATGCAAGTCACCCCACCGAACACACAAGTATACGGACGTGACGTGCCTGTTTAGGATCATCGCATCCGCCACGTCCGTCACAAAAAGCTCATCTAGCGCGAGGACCCGGGTTCGAGTCGCGATGCCGTCAGCCACCGTCAGCAGCGGATCAGCCTCCCTGGAGTGACGTCGCAGCGCTGCATGGACCTCCAACATAAAGTCATGGAAATGGGTCCGTAACACCTGTGGCGGAATATTGGGGGCGCGCTGCTTGTATGTATGTATGTACGTATGTATGTACGTATGTATGTACGTATACATATGTATGTATGTATGTATGTATGTATGTATGTATGTATGTATGTATGTATGTATGCTTCGAAAAAACCGGGAAAAGAAGGAGGCCAGGAGAGCCGAGGCCACGTGTAGACGTCTAAAACCCATCCAGGTACCCGCGGGGGGACAGCACCATTCAACACGGTCACCGACCTTAAAATGCGAGGGCGCGGACGACACGAACAAGTCCATGAGCATCGTCTTCCCACATCCGACGCCGCCGTACATGTACAGACCCCGTACGATATCCTGTGCGGAGCTTGATGCGCCCGCCGCGCCGCCGTTATCCCCGCCTCCGCCACCGCCGCCGCCGCTGAGTGCCCGACTTAGATTTGCCAACCACGAAAATCCGCCGCCTCCGCCACCGCTGTCCCGGTCGTTCGCAGAGGGTTCATCATCACCGCCGCCGCCGCCAACGTAATCAACGATTGTGAGCCCCGATGGTCTTCGCCGTGCGCCTCGGTGGTTGTGGTGGTTGCAATGCTGCTGCCCAGGCAGCTTCTTTGATGCGGCCGCTCTCTGCAGGTCCTCATACAACTCCTGGTAACAAAAAGTAAAGCAAACAAAAAGTATAGACAGTAAGTAGACTTAAGGAGATCGGAGAGTAAACAACCGTCGCGGGTAAACTCAGACATTGCGAATATGTACGGTAGTAAAAGCAGGTGTACCGCAGAAAAATTGGCGGTACCTGCAGCATCTGAATTGTAAGTTCCTGGCGCGGATCGGGCCGGTAGAGGCCTGATTTCAATCCTGCGATATACTTGGCAAGAGGTCCCCCCGTTTCCGCCGGAGTAGGGAGCGGGGCATGGCGATGATGGGGCGCTTCGGCATCGTCGTGTGGGAGCTCTGCGGGGCCGGATGCAAGGAAATGGATTGATCAGAAGCTCTAGAGTTTGCTCGAGGTCTGCCTTGCGGCGCTTGACTGAGAGGGGAAGTCGGACACTCGGTCACCATCGCCACGCGGCCTTCTCCGATACATGCTTGCAGCCCGATGATACAGACCTGATGGGCGTGCAGCAGCTGTATATGCACAGCTCCGTGAAACCTGTTGGCTACATGTTGCGACCGGCAAGGGCGACCAAGCTGCGGTCCTGAGCTCGCCGACTCCTGCGATTCAGGAGACAGCCAGTCCCCCCGGACCGTGAGGATCAGTTCGACCTTTTGCCTTACACTCGCTTATGTGTCTAACAATTTTCACGCGGCCTTTGGCCAAACCTGGTAGAAGTCGGGTAAACTCGCCGACGCTTGCTGCCGACCGCACCACCCTAAATGAACACAACACAGCTTTACGCATAGCAAAAGATGTAATAAATTAATTAAGTTTCACCGCGACGGTTTCAAACGTGTCAGGTGATGCGAGCTGCAACGGCAGTCAAAGACAAGCAACGGTGTATGGACAGTCAAAGACATTGAAAGTATAATGAAGGTAGGAGGAAATCAACTTAGGTATTACGCGGCTTGCCCAGCTTGAAGGACCTGGGAACTCAATCGGCGTACGGCGACAGGTCCGTTTTCAGCCGTTTATTGAAGAAATTACGCAGTTACTCAATAGATAACAGCTGTGGCATTATGTATATAACATTTATTAATCACCTTATACACAGGTCGGCAAGGCGAGCGACTCGCGCTGTTGCGCACCCAAGAGCAACGATGATGCACTAAACCGCCAACGAACAGCATTACTATAACCAATCGACCACGACGCTCATGCAGTCATGCTACGTACCTGACTCAACGATCCAACAGCTGCTTATTTGTCGTTTATGGGCAAATCTCCAAACAACATTGTCTCACGAGTCAAACTTGACGGCCTGTACACCCTCTCAGCTAATTATGGCAATTGAGCCACTCAGTTTCTTTCGACTACTCAATCTTCCAGGTCTCTAGCGGAGCCGCTCTCCATATCTAGCTGCACAGCCACCAGAGCCTTACCACTTGCGCTTTTCATTTCACCTCGGCCGCAAGGCCCCCCGCTGAGCCCGTCACAGGCATCCTTCCCCCCCTCACTCCCTCCACCCCGTTCTCCTCTCTCCACCAAATCCCAACCTTCACCGCCACCTTCGCCTCCAATGGCGACTCCCATCCCACCAGCCCTCCTCTCTCCCGCCGAAAGCCCAGCCGTCCGGAAGCCAGCCAGCGGCGCGGCCTCGCTAGCGGCAGTGATGCCGCCGCCATCGCTGACGTTGCCAAGACCTTGAGACTTATCAGCACCGCCGCCGCCGTTGCCGGCGAGACCGCCACCCTCGCCGTTGCTGGTGCAGCTGCCACCGCCGCCGCCGCCGGCGCCGTTGCTGGTACGACCGCCATCGCCGCCATCGCCGCCGCCGCCTCCGTCGCTGACCCGCCGGGGACCGTGCTGCTGAGCACCGCCGAATTGATCTGGGAGCTGTTCGGAATGGTGTGGATTTCCAGAGGAGGCATCCCCGCCGCCGCTGCCGCCACCGCCGTCACCGGTGCCGCCACCGCCGTCACAGCCGCCGCCATCATCAAGACCTTTCTCGCCCTCCCCGCGTTTCAGCGACGACACAACGATGCGGCCCATCAGGCTTCCTGTATGGTACAGCGTCGCCTTGGCCGTCTTGATGGTACGGGCGTACGTGACGACACGCGTCAGTACTGCCGCTGTACGGGAGCCGTAGCGGCGGCGAAGACTGGCCTACATTTCACAAAAAACGGGGAAGTGGTCTTCGGCGGCGCTGCCGGGCTATAAGATGCGCTGTCTTTCATGAACAGGACACAGATTCCGTTACGTTTGTTTTCGCCATTCAAGTCACAGCGAATACGCGCACTTGCATGCGCGGATCAGCTTACCACCGAGATTTCCTACATAATACCACCCGATGCGTACGCATTGGAGCATAAGAATTGCCGTACTGTCGTACTGCCGTACATCTGTCCGGTATGGTTGTTGTACGGATCTCCGCCGGAACGCGGCTAAAGGGGCTTTAACGCGGACGGGAACAGCTTTTATCGTTCTGACGGAACTGCCCTAAAAACTGCCCTAAGACCCTGAAATCTGAAACCCGAAACCTGTAAAACCCGCAGCCCGCCCGGCACATGTTGCTGTTATCGCTATTCTTGTGGGCATCAACTGATAGCGCGATAAAGGGTTTCAGACGTTTGGGAAGAAGCAGCCAGCCTAGCCTCGCCCCGTGTTTTTTTCCCTCTCTTTTCTCTCCAACAAGGAAAAGCCCCTCGACCCCGCCACCGTTCCCTCATCCACATAGATGTGTTCGGTAAATACCCTGGCCCCGGTACGGCAAGGGCTGGTATGCCGTACCCGGATCTCCTGGGGGTCCATGTCGTACACTTTACGGCGGTCGAGCCCCATTTGATCCAATTGCTTTTCCCAGCTTGTACGGGTTATGAAGTACACAAAGACCAGCAGCATGGCCGCGTTGATGCCGATGATACACACGGACAGCAACGTGCGGCCGGTAAACGGCACAACCTGCGGTGGGGAGGAGGGAGGCGAGGTTCAGGTACTGTTGCTCAGGACGTGCCGTATTGACAGCAGCACGTACGGCCGTGCCAACTAAATTTCGTGGGCACTGTGCGTGCTGTACACGTGTACATGGCTGTTTATAGCATCGGTACATAAAGAAACTCAAAACCGAACCGAAGTGAGCTTAATAAGAACCGAACAAATTGGAACCGTTTTCTGAGGATGCAGCATATTGTAGTGTGCCTTTACTACAGACTTTCCTTTTGCTTTGGTGATGTGGCAACAACCCGACAGGTGTATGGGTGGTGCCGCCCACAACCCAGAACCCTCCATTACCCCAGTTTAAAAAAGCCCTCATCCCTTTTCTCGCTCCGTACATCATCTCTTGCAGACCCCTCTCCCCTCTCCCCGGCCCCAATCCCACCGGAGACAGCAAGTAGAGATTGAGGTAGAGAGTGATCATGATCACTACCAGAGCGACCTCTTCTAGTAGATTCGTGGACTGAGCGTTGCAGGGGGGGGAGGGACGGGACGGGAGGGGAGGAAGAGCAGAGCAGGGAAAAAGGGGGAAAAAATAAATGTTATATTTATATAAATTCTTCACGGCGTTCAAGATTCCGGCTTATCGAAATGAACAACGCAGGGGGCGGTAGGTTGGAGGTTGGCGCAGAGGGGACGTGAGAGCGTGTGGCCAGCAGGACCGGGTCGCGCCGCCCCCCCTCCTCATGTATTGATGGCAGCGACAGAGGACCCGCAGCTGGAGGTCAGTCGGACATCCTCATTGCCCCACACGCATTATTGCCCCACACGCTGCATCCATACCCCCACCACCCCCCACCACCCACCACGGTCCTGAACGGCTTCACCAGCAGCTGAGCTGCAAAGGCCAGGGCCACCACCGCAATGACCACCAGCATCTGCACTTCCACACCTTGCGCCGACAGCAGCACCACCACCACCGCCACAGCCATCTGCCGCAACATGATGACGCTCTCCCAGTACAAATACCTACGTGGGTGGGGTGGGGGCAACCAGGTGGGCCTTTTTTGGAGTTTTTGGATTCACAAACGGTTAAAAAATAAATATATATTCAAGGCCTCGGACAACAACCTGTAATGATTACCGTTGTTACAAACACACAAGCAGTACAAGCTGTACAAGCAGTACAAACACACAAGCAGTACAAACACACAAGCAGTACAAGCAGTACAAGCAGTACAATAATACGGTACTAAGGACACTTAAGCCCCACCTCATAAGGTACATTTCCCTGTACGAGGCGTAGATCACCATAGAGTAGTCCGAAAAGTCCAGAGCCTGCTCCCGGCCCTTGAGATGTAGCCACAGAGCCACGCCCAGAGGCCACCCCACACCGAGCAGCAGCAGCTCGGTGACCCCCAGGCCCAGAGCCAGGGCCAGATGGCGCCCCACGTAGCACTGCTCGCTGTAGTCCAGGGT